GAAGAAGACGACTATATTATATTAGAATGTGTTAATGAGTGACCAAAAATATTAAGGCAACGCCATCCGTGCTCTGGATTGTTACTGAAATTGGGAATCATCTTAAACTGCCTCTGAACAAGAGTATAGACAGCAGCTCATACAATCCTATTTTGCTTCATTACTAGCTACAGAACCGCAGCAGTATATAAAAAGTATATTACTAATTCATTATGTATTTTATTGCCTATAATATTATAGGCATATAATTATTATAAGTTAATAATATAGGCAATAAAATACATAATGAATTAGAGTTAATATTATTTTTATATTACTAATAATATTAACTTATAATTATTATAAGTACATACTTGTAATAAACTACAGCTACACATTAGTTAGGGACCTATGAGATTTTCACTAGGGCTTTTATTACATATGTGAGTTAGCATCTACCTACTTTATTACTAGAATTTATAAATAAAACATGTGACTTGATTAATAAACTGTTTAATTATAACTTAAATACAAACCATTTTTATTAAAAAAACATTACTAAATTTACATGAAACCCTAAAGTAGCAATTAAATATTTTCTAATTGTTTCTTCTTGCATTCCACCTCAATTTGATGCAACTCTTTTTGCTGCTACAAATATTTATTGTGTCTTTCTTCCATCTGCTACATCACTTTTTGGTGCGCCTCCTCTTTATGCAGTATGAATTATTGGTGGGCCTCTTCTTTGTGCAGCAAATGTTTTTGATGCTCTTCCTTAGCATAATTGGACAAATCATCAATGTTTTTTTTTCAAAAACTCCATTTTTTTTATCCGTGTGGATCATAATCCGCTTCCTTGTTTCCAAAGGGTTAAAATAAATTTTCCTTTTGTTGTAGGACACAGCTGAATACAAGAATAAATATAAATATGTGCCTACACCATCATTAAATGTATATTAAATTTAACACTTCGGTGTCTAGACCCATCTAAGTTGAAAACGTCACAGAGATTTCCAAGATGTATCTTTTATAGATTGCTTCAGTGATCAGTTTTTTTTTTGCAGGTTAGGACTGTGTAATCCTTGAGAAGTATCATCAATTTGGCAGTTCCTTCTTTGGCGAAGTTAGCAGTACGGTCCCTTTAACAAAACTTACTTTCTATTACGAAACACAAGATAAACAGGAATAAATAACACGAAAATATGATTGTACTTACTTGTTTGACCGTTGGCTGTTTGCGGATATCGTTATTTATATATTTTAGTATCGTAGAAGGTGTAAACCGTATTAAAATACAGAAAAACAACTTGATTAATATCATGTTATTTAGATTAATTTGACAGTTGACACTTCAAACTGTTCAAAGCGCAAATAACGAATGAATATGGCAAAAATGGATTTCATTCACTCAGTATGTCTAGTGTTGTCATACTAAATAAATGACCCCACAAAAAAGAACTACATTTTTTGGGATGTCATTGTTCATTGCACTAGCAACAAATTGACCAATTGTTAAGTTTAACTATACATAAAGGGGCCTCATAGCCTAGCGGTCTTATTAAGTGGCAGCTAGGTGAGGGGTACCGGGTTAGATTCCCTGTTCGAGGGCAAGTTTTAATTAATTTAAATTTGTTCTCGGACTTTGGGAAGGTTGTGCGGTACCGGGCGAGTGCCTAAACCGTACATAGAGGACATGGTCGAATTTCTAAGGCAAAAAAAAGCACGAATTATAAAAATCTTGTACTTGACGCTGGCTAATGCACAAACCGTGCCAGAGCCATAAAAGAAAAATTATAGTTAAAATAGACATCGAAAAATGCATTTACGATTTTACTACTGGTTAGTCATTTAACTATAGTTAATGTAACAAATGGTTATTCCATTTTTAACTACGGATCAAAAAACTGGCCCTTAGTATTAACCATGAGTCATGACTCCCGTATGTTAAAAAGGTATAGTTATTCATAATATGTCTAATACATACGGAGGCGTACTCAGTACTCACGCTACAGTTTGAATTCTAAATCTTATCCTATGTGAATATCTCGACTCTGAGGATAAGGCTATGTTCAGATGGCAAAAACTTGACGCGCGTTTTCAAATCGCGCGACTAGACATTGTGGTATTTTCACACAACTGTTCACATGAGCGCGCGTTAACGCGGCGCTCAGAGAAAAAGTCTCTAGACGCAGGTGATCGCGCGTTGACGCGCGCTTTTATATTAATGTAATGTCCGTTTGCTGTTCAGTTGAGCGCGCGCTTTCATCGCGATCGCATGTTATTTTGTTAATTTTCGTAATTATTATAACAAACTGGGTCTATTTTTCAAAATTGGATGAACCCAATGTGTACGTTTTCTTTTCTATATTTTTCTTTATAATATAACCACAAAATAATAGCCTCTTCCACGTCCATTTTCTACGTTCTACTGAACTAGACTGACGAGTACTCTCGCAACGCGCATTAGCGCTCATCATCTGAACTCTCTTCAAATTTGATCGCGCGTTGACGCGCGTTACATGTGAACATAGCCTAAGAGTGAATGTAAGTGACACAGGTAAGAACTAAAGGCCGATTTACATTATCTTAGTGTTTAGGAGAGTGCTTTAGTACAACTTGAAAGGCAAGTTCTTTAGTGCTTTAGTGCGTTGTGAGTGAACGTTTACATTTCTTCCAGTAGAGTATAATTACAGCGCCACAATGAACGCGCAACGACGTCGGCAAATACGCTCTATTCTACGCAAAATACACTGTGCGTTTTCCAATTACAGAGCATTTTGCGACTCAGTGCCGCACAATGCCGCATAATTCTGAAGCTTAATTGGAACGTGAATTAGTTTTCAAATGCATCAGCAGAGTGCGCTAAGTCAGTGTTGTAAAAAAAATGTTATGAATTGAGTTAGCAACCTCATTAATGTATAAATAATGTGGTAAACAATAATAATTGGTTGAAAACTTTTTACGCTTATTTTAATCATCAAATTATTTCATTAACATTTTTTTAATTGAAATAATAGAAAACCTTTAGAAGAATATAAGGTTTTAACAAGCTAAATTAACAGTAAAATGTTTAGTTTCATGTAAGAAGTTTACATCATTTACGTTTTAAGTAATATTTTTTAATGATTTCTAAAAAAATTAAATACTTTTCAAAACCATTGCAATTTTTTCTAAAGTATAATCCTGTAAAATAAATTTGTTTACAGATCCGAATTTTAAAATAAAATTGTATTCATATTTTAAATGTGGAATATAAAAAAAGTAACTATTTATCATCCATACTAATATTTTTTTTTTAGCAGTTTGAAATAACTTTAATTATTTTCAAAATCTACGACGAAACGAAAGCCTTACAAATTTTTCAACAATAAATAATATTTACTAACGAAAATTTCGATAAATGCCAACTTAAAGAAAAATACTGGTCAATTTTTTGTCACTGTGTTGGTATTGTTTGCGAGAAGCTCGCGAGAGCATTCGTTTTGAGAGTGCTCAATTGTGCGAAGCGTTGCTGTAGTTGGAACACTCGACGTTGAGCATTATGCCGCAAAATGCGCTCTAGAGCTGTAATTGGAAAACGCACACTAACTGTAGTTATGGAACAAATAGAAGACGAGATTTTATTCGAAATAAATAAACTAAATATAAATAATAAACAAAATAGCTTCTTTTAAGGCAGTGTATGCCGAATGCCTAGCCGGTTTGTTTTTGTATAAATTGTTTTTAACGTTCCACAAACATTCGTGAACAACATATTCAGACACAAATTTGATAGTTGTATCTTCCGACCATTTAGCCATCTTTAAAAATCAAAAAACGCGTGCGTGACGCGTTTCACGGCACTTATGCACTCTCCTAAAGATTTGACTAAATTACGTGTTTACACATAACGAGGGAAGATCTCGGGGGGTGCGCGGGCGCGAGAGGGGTATCACTTGAAACAAAAATAAAAAGCGATTCTATTTTGATTCAACTTGAAAGTCAAGTAGAACCGTACTAAAGCAAGTAGCGTTTACTAGTTTCAACTAAAGTACTATCCTAAAGCACTCTCCTAAACACTAAGATAATGTAAATCGGCCTTAAGAGTATATAAGTGGACACCGGTAAGTCAGATAAATATGAAACTATAGAGTAGAACTAAAAAATTGCTAGTAATTTTTATCTATCGTATTCATAAACACAAGACGCCAGATGGTATTGACAAGTTTATAGTAGCAAAAGCCAAAAATAAAAAAGTAAATCTTTGGCGATTTTCCGATTGCGGCACACGTGCTGTGGTATTTGTGATATTTTTAAAAAATACTTCTTTTTGCCGTTACTCCAGCATATATATTTGTCTCGTTGTTTGAGATAAATAGTCATATATTTTTTTAATAGATATCATCAGAATAAAGTGAGTTAATTATTGTTTTATTTTGACATAATGGGGTGGGGCAAAATGTCCTCAAAAATTATCGCCACGTGTCCTATTTTCTATTTATTTTTATCGATATTCGCGTTATAAGCACATTAAAATAGATAACGAGTTAATGTTTTTGTATGGTGACTATGTATTTTGGTTACTATGACTATGGCTCTACAAGTCTGCGCTAGTTGCTATTACTAATCGATTTGCAGTCTTCTTGTTTTCATAGCGGCGTGCTTGTGACGGTACGATTATTCTAGGTTGGAAAAAATTATTAATCTAATAAAATATAAGTTTTATATATAATTGGAGCAATTAATGACCATTTAGTTGATTACGCTATAAAATTGCTTAAATAATATCTAAAAAAATAATACAGAGAAGTGGAATAAAGATTAAAAATAACAACTAGTGTTTACTAGCATTTTGTGAAAAATTTATTATGTGAAGAGCATTTTCTAGTATTTTTTACCTACCTACCCTGTTGGTAAATCACTTTTTGAAAATTTTACCAAATTTCTATGTACATTTAAACGGATTTTTGTTCATAATATGGTCATTACAACTTATAATAATGATCTTCAAAACTAATAATTTCTGTTCAAAGGCAGTGTTCATGGAAATGGTTTCGGAAGCTAAGGTTAATGGAAATGATGCACCTTCTGAGGTGCTGCCGGCTTTGGCTGAGAAGCCTGTTGGCTTACCACCTGGTAAGTACTCTCTTGTGGGTTGGGACATGGACACTACTGGCCGAAGACTTATTGATGAGGTAAGCTATTACTGCTTTTTTGTATTTTCCTTTTATTTATGCTTTGCAATTAAGAATTTTAGTTTATCCTGAAAATATGAACTGACAATTCTTTTTTCAGATATGTCAAATAGCAGCATATACCCCTAAGCAAACATACTCTCAATATATAATGCCTTATGGTGACTTGAATCCTGGAGCAAGACGTCGGCACAATGTAAGAGTTGTTACTGTTGGACGGTATCGGATGCTTAAAGATACTATAACTCATAAGGTAAGCTTGTAATAGATCTGGTCAACATCTGTATACTTGTATTCAGGTTGACAGTAGTTCAAGTGATATTATTAAAAAAATTGTTATAAGGTTTTATTTTGGTTATAGATATTAAAGACAAAGTCTGAAGTGTCAGCCTTAACAGACTTCCTAGACTGGCTGGAGAAGGAGAAAGGAGATGGCAGTGTCATACTTATATACCATGAACCTAGACGTCTTAGCCCCACAATGTTGCTTGAGGCTTTAACTCGGTAGGAAATATTATACTGATATTTACAAAAAATTGGGTAGGTTAGTTTACTTTTTCTTTAAAGTAGTTTTTTTTGTTAATATTACAGTTACAAGTTGTTGGACCGTTTCAAGACCATAGTAGCAGGTTTCACAGACAGTTATGCCTTGGCTGCCGAGAAATGTAAAGCAACAGTGAAGTCTGTTTCTCTACGGGTACTAGCTCGAGTACTTTTAGATGCAGATACATTGTCTGTTGATAGTGCACTTGATAGAGCTTCAACAGCCTATCGGATTGTTGAGCATTTGTCACAAAGTAAGTAACACAATTAATGATTATTAAGTTCTTTGATTAGGTGATTTACTGTACTGTTTGGGCACTTTTGGAACCTAATTTTAGATTATTGTGGGAAAAGTTAAATTATTATTGTCTATTATAGCATTTAAACAATTTACTAGGTGAACAGCAAGAAGTAGGTGGTGGTGGTGAGGGTATTTCAGCCAGTGAAGACATGGTAGAGACAGCCCGGGCCTGGGCGCGACCTGTACATACAGAGCTTGAGGCACTTGATAAGCTTAAAAAGCTGCTGGAAAGGTAAGTCATTTGAACAAACTCAATTTTCTTAAATTTATTCTGTATATTTCTCCACTTTGTTGATTTTTTCCAACATGTGAATCAAAATATGTTTTAAGAATTTTAGATTTTAGAAAATGGGTCCAAAGATTGATGTGGAATAACAATATTTCTATCTGAAATAAATTTTTCAATAAGCTGTGTAAAAACTGCTGGTCATTACCAAGCTTAGATATATCTGTAATTCCTACATTACAAATTAACACAATCATCAATAATCATAGACTAATGGTCTTTTTAATTCATACTGTGGTTTTATGTGAATAATATTGATTCCAATTAAATAAACGTACAGACAGAACACTTTCCGTCCGGTATTTGCGCCACTCCTTCGTCTGGCGCGACCCGAACGCAAGCGTGTCACTCAGCTAAGACGGCTGTTAGCCGACGCCGGCTTGCTCTATGACCACCTCAAAGATGCTTGGCAGGAACAGCAGGTTTCAGGTGAGCCTAAAGGAATCTATATAGTTGTTTAATATTTTTTTATACTTAATCCATTTTTCATGTTATTATGATGTTAATGTTATTGAATTATTCAATACTTAGTTAAATAAAATATTTGGTAAGAAGCTTAGTTTTGAAATGTAAAAACACAACTTTGTCAATACACTATTGCTAAGTGGAACTTTTTTTCGCAGGTTTAGAAACACAATTGTCGGCACTTTCCGTATCAGCAAAGGAAGAAGACATAAAGGAGTTGATAGATATATTTGATCGCCACTTTGATCCAGCCAAAGAACCCAAGTCACCTAAACCAAGGGTCAACAAAAATAGAGTAAGATATTGCAAACATTTAATCTATTTTATTTAAAAATTATTTTTTAATGATGTTAAAAACAAAATACATTCTCCAATATTCTGATAAAAGTTGAATTCTTATTTAAATTTACAGTTTCTAATGCATGTGCTACATTATTAACATATTACCCATATTGTTAGAGACATACCAAAAACAGTTAACTGTTTTATGTATATAGTATACAGGCTGACCACTGTTAATACATATCTTAATAAGGGTTTCTGTTATTGAACAAAACAAGCATTTAATAATCTTGCTTTGACATTCATGATATAAATAAGGTTGCATAATATCTCAGACAATATATTTTAGACATTTTATTCAATAGAAAGACCGGTAACAACTTTCAAAAGAATTCATTGGAGTTCAACTCCTTGGTATTTTAAATTGTCTTTATCCAATTTAGATATGCAATACGGAGGAAGTTTCAAATTTATCTTGATCATAATTCACAGTATTAAATTATGTTTTTTGCACAGACAACATCTTCGGCTGGTGAAACAGGTGAGGCAGAGGGTAGCACCAGCGAATCCCAGAAGAGCTCTGAGCAAAACTCTCCAGTCAAGACTAATGGTAAGATTATGGTTTTAGTATTGCAAATAATTTAGCATTAAATTCTAGATTGAGCCAAAGCCACTCACATTTTCTTGGATGAGGAGATATATTTCTCTTTCAGATGTTATATCTATTAAGTATAGCAAACACTGCCATACTAAAGGAATTTTACAAATTTTCCAGATGCGACTGCAAATTTGGATCAACAAAAAGAGGCGGTGGTCGCAAACTAACGAAATAAAGCTTTTAAAATTATAATTTAGCATCGGCCATACGGATGTGAATTACATTTATTCGTATTATACACTTAGGTTAAGTCCACAACGGAATTGATTATTTGTTTTGCATTGGTGGTCCTGGGGTCCTCTACTACAAAATTTCAGTAATTTAGTGATTCTTAACTTGTCATCAAATAGCTAATATTTATAACATAAAGAATGTGCCATCTATAAGATGAATTAAGTGGTTAAGCCAGTGGCATACATGTACAAGCCCTGTGATTTAATATACTAGTTAAATGCTTGATACTGATTTTAATTCAATATAAGACAAGTTAAGATCCTATATTATTGTAGTAGAGGTATGCCCCTATTCATAATAATTTACAAAAAAAAGGAAAAGTACCCGTATGCATTTTTACAGCATTCCCCTTTTTTTTGTTAAAAATCAGTTTTAGCCTGTTTTTAGTTTTCGTTTTACAATGCTTAGAAAACTAGAAATGTGTAGTGATGAGTGCCTTAGCAACTCAGTAATAATTAGGTAACGTACTACAGATGAGACAAAAATTTTCGTTGCTATTTTATTTGATAATTAGATTTTTTTTAAACTTGGAAATCAATAGTTTTCAATATTAGCCCATCATATTGAAAATTAAGGTTTTCAAGTATTCATGGGTTTCAGAAAACTGCAATAAATCTGCATGTGACCTGAAATTTTGTCTCATTGTGTATATCTTTATATAATTGGCTACAAGATTGAAAATACTAGACAGTTTGCCTGTCCCCTTTTAAGTGCCGATTTTTCAAGCATCACACCGTTTTTGAAGATGTTAAAATTGGAAAATTGGCATTGGTAGCCAATCATAAAAGAATAATTATTTTATTTGGCGATTGCTATTTTTGGCGATCTGATGTCTAATGACACGTGTGGGTTGTTTAAAAATACTTATCCTTAGCTTTTGTTATTTGAAGTACAATTATTTATTCGTACTCGAAAGCGTTTATTTATATAGAGATAACATTTATTTATTTAAAACGTGCAATCTTAAGAAAAGGATGGACTGATTTTAACATCCACTTTTGTTTTTTTTATATTTTATTTGCAAATGCTATACTAATTCTGTCGCATGTACTCTTGCTGTAAGTTTTAGCACACATTACCGAAGTGTGTACCTTACCTTACATCTAACTTAGTTTTAACATAGACTGTACATATAATTTAATTTCTTATTTTGTCGAGATCTCTAATAAATATGTAAGTCTAATTTTTTGTTTTATTTTTTATACAAAATAGATTGTATAAAATTTTATAACAAGCATTATTATTTGTTTATTTTCCATGCCTAAAGGAATGGTGAGTGGAAAACAATAGCGGAACTATTTTTGATCACTTTTAAAATATCTTATTTTACAATGAAAAAAATTACTTAATAGAAAACATTTATTTCATATAGTAACAATATCTTGCTTTGTCCATCCTTCAGCTAAATGTTCCCTCACAGCCTTATCCAAAATAACCTAAAATATTTTTAATTTAAGTTGTAAAAGGCGTTATACACATACAACAAAAAATATATTTACCTCAATATCTCGACACCCTTGCATTGCTCTAGTGATAACAACTTCAAAGTAGTCCATATGTAAGCGATGTGACATTTCCAATAAAGCTATGCTACCTGCAATTATTATTTAAAATTGAAACCAGTAATTATTAGTTAACGTTAATAGTAAATGTTACATTTATTCAGTCTACATATACTAATGTTACAAATAATTTGGAACCAAAAACAAAATGCTAATTGAAATCTATGGTCATTTCCATGACTATGGAAAAACCTTTAAAATAAATTAATGGTTAAATTTAAGATAACCATATTTAGATATACTATACTGTCTATTGATTAAGACATGTTTACTACTTTACATTTTTATTTATTTTCTGTAGTACGAAAACTTATCGTTAACTCTGTTGACTACTGGGTAATAGAGTTTCAATTCAGTCAGATTAAGGTGGTTAAGCTTGGCAAATCCTCCCTAAAAATTTCATAAATCACAGGAAACCTCGCTTAACCACGACGCATTTTTGGCAGAACTTATATGAAATCATCGTAGTAGAATTACCTGTACTGGGGAGTGCTGCTACAGTTAAACAAACTCCTCCAGCTGCCTCTTCAACGTGTCCAACGTCAAGTAGAGGCTCAGGCTGACTCCCACACCATGCGACTGACGACGTGCACGCACATGCGTATGCTCGTAAAGGTACGCCTGCGTCTATCAACGCGAGCGTTGCTGCATTCACACTCGCACAGTACGCACCGCCATCTGCCTACATAAATACACTTTTAGGGTTAACTTTAATTTTATATTTAGATTTGAAACCTATCTGTTGTTGTCTGTTGTTTAATGTAGTTAAAATCATTGCAAAAAAAAGATCGGAAGTGCGGGATGCCGCATATTTGAATGAATGTTTTTAAACATCTCTCACATGTTACAGTTAACAGAAGTTATTTCTGCCAATCCACACGTTATATTTTTGTAGTTAAAATCTTTAGCCTCTATAAAAAATAAAAACAATGGTCAAAAACGTGTCGAATTGTATAGGAGGTACTTGGTTCAATATATAATAATATAGAAAAGTGTTTTAATGACGATTTTGATAAGTAAGTTTATCGTATGCAGTACTTGGTCCCAAGATCCCTCCGCCAGATGTTGCAGCTATCTATTTTTTTTGAGAGAGAATACAATAGATTACCGGCATTAGGTTGCCTATAAACAAATTAGCGACAATAACCTGTACTTAATTTGTTGATATAAATTGCATCTATATGTTTTTTTAATCAATGTTATGCCATTTTAAAGTAAATGATGTAGAGAATTAAAAAAAATGGGTGTTAGATTTTAGTCAGCCACAATGCTAGGTGTAAACAGATATATTTTTAATAATTTACAGTGATCTGCTTTTTTTAAATTGTTATAGAAAATTAAAGTTTTATATTTCCTATTTACGATTATCCGTAATTACCAGTTAAAAATTGGCCGCAAGCAGAGGTTGACACGCCTTCAATGAACTATTCTCGTTCCAGGTTAGTGTGAGCGTAAGAGAAAAGATGGACAATTCGTTTCGTAAACATGATAATATTTATGTAAGAAATAACGACAAAGCATGGAAAGTTTAGACTTCTCGTTTACGAAGGGTAAACACATGCGTGTTCATATTATTTTTAAATAATAAAATTGATAAAAAAACATATAACATTAAAAATATATAAACATTAGTTGCAATAAATATCAAAAAATTATATTAATTTTTTATAGGCTAGTTTATTGCAATCTCCCCCAACATTAATTTCATAAAATGAAATGAAATAGCTGCAGAATCGAACAATGGGATCCTGTACTTTTAGTTTGTATATTTGCATTCTTGTTAAACTTCATCTAGTTGTAGAAAAAGTGACATTGATAAATGTAACTACAGCTCTACCCTAATATAATTATAAAATATATTCGGTTTCTTTGTGCTTTATGCTCGATGCTTTATTCTGGCTATATATATTTCTGTGAGCTATATTTGTTAAATTTTTGATTTTGGATCACATTAGACAAACCTGTAATACTTCAATGTAGATATCAATCTGAGAGCGAGGATACAGTTCAGTTTTTATAGCAGATGACAAAGCCTGCCTAAGGTGTAGTGACATTTCTTGTGATTTTCTATCACCTCTAGGTCGGTTTTTCCTTTCACCTAAAAGTTAACATGCTTGTATAATGTAATTTGAAATATACTAAAATTTATACTGTTGCTAGGCAATAATGTATTTCAATGATAATACACATTGCCTTGTTTCCCTTTGAATGTGTAACTGTTAATAGTTGATCCAAAGCAAATAATGTAAACTGTGTATAAAAATTAAAAATTGTAGTAGAAATAAAGTCTATAAATTTTTTTAGACATTGTTAATAGTTGAGTGGCATGAGTTCAGCCATTTAGATCCATTTAATCAATCAGCTATTTGCCTACAAAGAAAAATGAGCAATGGAATAAACACAATTATGTAACTATTATTCAGATAAAAGGCTACATTACTACTCATTCTATACAACTATAGAAAATAATTTTTATATACCTGTAGAAAATGTTGCCATACTATATTGGCAATTAACTACAACTCCCTCAGTAGACATCTTTGATTTTGCTGCCTAGAATATTAAATTGCATTAACTATAAATAGTTAAAAGAATTTGTAAAGGGACAGGACTAATAAACAGTTTAAATTGAAGTTAGCTGAAATGTAATACAATGTGAATTAATTTTTCTTTGCCTTAATATAATAATACACACAGTTATAGTACTCCACACTGGTTCAAGTGTGTTCACTGTAATACCTTGTTTAATTCACAGAAAATTTGAAAAAAACATTCTGGGTTTGAATTGCTATATCAATAAAACTAAAGTAGTAATGATTTTCAGTAAATTAAGGTTTTGCAACTTTCAAGTGCAAGCCACTTTGAGGTGGGGCAGGTGAGATTAAATTTACAATACTAGAAGATGAGGATATATGTAAATTTATATAAAGTTGGACGGTTTATGGATGAAGCTGTTTCTGATTGGTTGGTTTCAGGATTATATATAAATTATTTCTTCTTGAATTTTTTTAACAGGGATTTGATTATATACCTGATGTGGACCATATACGGCTGCTAAAACTTTCGTGTTTCCTTGTTCTAAATAAGCGCTACCATCCGGCTGTGTGAAAACACCTAACTTACATCGAATTCGACGTAACTCATTAGGTCTTCGACCATCAAGGCGCAAACCTTGGCTCGACAACAAATCTGGTCCAGGCATTATGTTTTTTTTATTACATTAATGTTTTAACTTATATCTAACTAAAAGTACAATCTAATAAAAGTTTTTCCGTTATCACAAAACTGAAAACATAACCTCTGTAAATAATGAATTACTTATTCTTTTTTATTTCTTTTCACAGCTTACATTGAAAGTGGGAATTGATAAATGACATATTGACAAAACTGTATAATTCTTGTCAGTTAAAAATAAAATACAAAAACATGAACAAAATAAAAACCGCGTTCTGTCCCGCTCTAACGCGCTAGGTTTTTTTTCGTTACGGAATTTCTGGATTCGGTCTCCACGCACGAGGCCCGCGATAGAAGCTATGCAATAGCTTAATATTTATAATTGCATGAGTTGATAAAAAATGCTATGCAATAGCTTTACCACTACAGTCCCCGAGTGCCACACGTTTTTTTTTAATATAAGACAAAACTCGTTAAATACAAAAGATCTGGCACTTACCTAAATATTTGATGTTTCGTATTAGGTAGTAACCATTAAAACACGTTTGTCTTTTTCTTGAAATGTAATTCTACTGTATATAGAGTCTACATTACTGTAGAAAGAATAATATTAAAGATGTTGAGAAGAACTTCTCTATAGATTTTCTTGCGGGGTTTTTCTTAGATGATCACATCCTGTACACACTATTGGTGTATTGGTATGGTAATTCCAATAATTAATAAAAAATCCTTTAATTCCTTGTATTACACTTGATCTAATTATAAGAGAAATATAACACGATCGAAAGAAATGGACATCTTAATAGGTTTTTTCGGCGTCGGGACGTGACGACCCCATCGCCCACTGGTGAAATAACCTGTGACAGAGGTTATTTCATCAGCGCAATCAGTCAACCCCTTCCTAGTGGGAGTGCCATGCTGTTGCCTTCGGGCTTCAGCCAAATGGGCAGGCACGACCGGGGCAGTACCACTGATCTTAGAAAACCGGCGTGAAGTGATGCAATAGGTTCGCCTTATTGTACTCGCGTTTCGTACGGTGAGGGAGACTCCCGGAGCACAGGCTGCCCTTCGTATTCTGGGGGGGGGCAATTCTGCGCTCAACAAAAACAGTTATCGTTCTCGGGGCAAACGGAGCAATTCAACAAAGGCACCCCCGTCCACGCTCGCCGTGGACTTCACAAATGTTAGGGGGCTCAATTCCAATATCAACGCAGTCCACTACCATTTAGAGACTGCGAAGCCGGCCTTGCTCTTTCTTATTTGAGGACTACTTCAATGATCCTTATCCTTGGGATTGAATTGCTCCAGTTCAAACAATTTGTATGACAATACTTGGCGATTAAAAAGAGTGGCGGAAAGTTTCTTGCCAGTTCTTCTTACCGATAACTTAACTTGACGATTCAAAAGTGTACTTGGTTACCCACTTGAATAAAGATATTTTGAGTTTGAGTTTACCGAGACTCAGATTTCCTCCCCGGCTGATACTTCCTACCTCTCCTACCCGGGGTACAAATTGGAACATTCATTTGTGCCGCGGGCGGGAGTTTGCGTGTACGTCAGAGAGGATATCTGTTCTCGTCGCCTCGGGACGCTTGAAGGAAGGGACCTATCTAACCTCTGGCTGCGCGTAGACTGCGATGACCATCCGCGATTCTACGCATGCCTGTATAGGTCCCATAGCGGAAATACCGAAACTGACCGACTCATTGAGCACATCCAAATGGCTACAGATTCCCTGCTCGAAAGGGTTCCTACCGCTGAAATCGTGATACTTGGCGATTTTAACGCCCACCATGCCGATTGGCTCGGCTCTGAAACCACCGATCACGCGGGAAGATCCTTTCACGACTTTGCTTTAGCCTACGACCTGACACAAATGGTCCCTGCGATTACGCGAATACCAGATGTGGATGGTCAAAAACCCTCTTTGTTGGACCTTCTGCTGACTTCTCATCCGGAGAACTATCAAGTCTCTGTTGACCCGCCATTGGGTTCATCGGATCATTGTGTGGTCCGGAGTACTGTGCCATCTACGCGCCCTTCACGGCCCCGCTTTATGGGTTGTCGCCGTATTTGGCACTATAAGTCAGCAGATTGGGACGGGATGCGGTCTTTCTTTGCGTCCTACCCTTGGGGGCCTATATGCTTTTCGCCGGAAGCTCCAGATTCCGTCGCCGCCTCTGTCGCCGAAGTGGTTCTGCAGGGCATGGAACTCTTTATTCCATTTTCTGCGGTGCCGATCGGTGGCAAGTCTCAGCCCTGGTTTAAACGTTCTTGCAAGGCGGCCTCGCGTCGAAAGCGAGAATGCTTTAAGGCATGGGCGGAAGCGGCGAAATCTCGTGATGCCAATACCAGCGAACTTAAAACAGCATATAACTCAGCCTCCAGGTTCTTCAAACGGGAAATCACTAAGGCAAAGTCAGAGCACATTGCTAGATTTGGCGAGAGATTGGCCCAGCTCCCTTCAGGGACTCGAGCCTTCTGGTCTCTCGCCAAAGCTGTCCAAGGGAATTTTTGTCAGCCCGCCATTCCGCCACTACACAGGGAGGATGACTCTCTGGCCCACACTGCGAAGGAGAAGGCCGACCTTTTGGGCTGTCTCTTCGCGTCCAACTCGACTTTGGATGACCAAGGAAGATCACCACCGACCATTTCGCGGTGTGATTCTTCGATGCCGGAAATCACATTCCGGCAACGTGCTGTCCGCAAAGCACTATCTTCCTTGGACATTCATTCATAAGTCGAGCGGGCCGGATGGTATCCCCCCAATTGTGCTGCGTACTTGTGCTCCTGAGTTGGCTCCGGTCTTAACGCGCCTTTTCCGGTACCTGTACTCGCTCGGCACTGTCCCAAAGTGCTGGAAGACCGCTTCGATACATCCGATCCCTAAAAAAGGCGATCGCTCTTAGCAACATTCATTGCTATGCGGATGACAGCACTGGGGATACTTTTTTACACTGGCCGGGCAGGTATTTCTCGGGCAGTTGTTGATGAGTACCGGAACAAACTTGTGTCTGAAGTCGAAACTCTACTACGTGGAGTCTCAGACTGGGGCAGACAAAACCTAGTCCAATTTAACCCCAAGAAGACACAAGTTTGCGCGTTTTCCGCTAAAAAAACACCCTTTGTCGCTACTCCTCTTTTCGAAAACACTCTTCTTAAAGCCACAGCCAGCATTGGAATACTTGGCGTTGACATATCGAACGACGTTCAGTTTCGCGGTCACTTGGAGGGAAAGGCTAAATTAGCCTCCAAAAAAGCTTGGTGTGCTCAGCAAGGCGAGGCTGTACTTCACTCCGGGCCACCGCATGCAACTATATAAAGCGCAAATTCGGCCCCACATGGAGTACTGCTCTCATCTCTGGGCGGGGGCTCCCTAGTACCAGCTCCTTCCACTTGACCGTATACAACGCAGAGCGGTTCGAATCGTCGACGACCAATCCCTCTCCGAGCGGCTTGATCCTTTGGCGTTGCGTAGAGATGTGGGGTCACTCTGCATCTTCTACCGCATTTACCATGGAGAGTGTTCAGAGGAGTTGTTCGGATTAATACCTGCAGATGAGTTTCATCATCGGACGTCGAGACAGAATACGAAATTCCACCCGTATCACCTCGACGTCCGCCGTTCCACAACTGAGCGTTTTTCAAGGCAGTTTTTGCCGCGCACCACCACTATGTGGAATCAGCTGCCCACTGAAGTATTTCCGAACCAATTCGACTTAGGGTCCTTCAAGAAAAGAGCGTACCAATTCTTAAAAGGCCGGCAACGCACTCACGAGCCCTCTGGCATTGAGAGTGTCCGTGGGCGGCGGTATCACTTAACATCAGGTGAGCCTCCTGCCCGTTTGCCCCCCGTTATATATAAAAAAAAAAAAAAAAGGTGACCTTTTCATAATATGGTGAATTAATAAATATCTATACTTCATCACTTTCACGTATCGTTATTCGTTACTAGTAACGATTTTCTGTTACTAACTATTAAGTATTAACTACTCTGTGGCTTAAAATTTGTTGCTTGTTGAGACTTGAGTGTCGTCAGATAATATTAAGTGGTTTTAATAACACTTTATACATTATGATTCTTAGAAATTTATTTAAAAACTAGACATTAATGTGAATACTATATTACCACGAGTTATTGTTCATTTAGTTATGCTAATCGCGTGTTTTTAGTAAGCTATGTGTCGACGATAGCCTCTTCAATTTTGAAGTAAGGTGTCATCAATCATCTCGAGAACCCAAATTATCATGTTTACTAACTAAAATATTTTAAAACTTCTTTCTTATTTCCCTTACAAAGAAACTTAGCAAATATTGATTACCTTTATCATTACAATTAGAACATAATTAATTACGCAAATAATAAGATTTCGCGGCGTGTTTTGTGTCATCCAAAATTTCATAGTTATTGATTTTTGTGGAGATTGTATAATTTCGACAATTAGTGGGTTAGAGAACAATGGACGTGGACGATTCGGCTGTGGATCTCAGCGTGAGGTAATTAAGATTTAAGTGTGGTTGATATTTAGAAAAATAATATGTTTTTATTATTCTTTTAATTTTAAAAATTTGAAGAAAACGTGAATGTGAATTTTTCATACATGAGAACATTAACATTAATTTGTCAAAAGTATTCGTAATTGTCTTTATATAGTGTACGAGGGTTCGAAATACATGGGTACACGGTGTAAAAACGAGATAATTTAATGCTATTAGAATATTAGATATGTACAAATTAAAATGTCATTTGTAATATGTTAAAATAAATAATATTGTTTATGGTGGTCAGCAGGTCCCTACCACCAGAGCTGAGTGAGCTGCGAGCTCTAACTGCAAGTGGACTAACTATTACACCAGCACAGCCTCCACCACATGTAAGTATATTAAAAACTTTTATATTATTTTTTTTCTTTAATATTTTTGTGAATACATTACTGTCATCAGTAATAATTTGGGTTTAAATGTAGTTTAGATAATTTAGGTTTAAAGAAATACTACTATGATGATCATGGAAACTTCCTAGTTTTAATTCAAGTACAAAGTAAATAAAAAATATGAAGTACAAAACCATGTTGGTGTAAAATTAAAATCACCATACATTATGTAAAATTTGTATATAAATCTCAATATTATAAGCACTACAAATATTCCCACCTCATACTTATGATTCTAAAATTATTATGAGTTTATTAATTATAAATTTACATTTTCCTTCCTGCTTACAAGGTGGATAGAGTAAGTATTGATTTATTGAAATTATTATATGGTGTATGACATTTTTTTTTTTTTTTTTGTTACAATGTATTAATGTTAGTTTTTAAAGGGTTTTGTTATATTATGACAATCTCAATCTTAATTCTGAGTAAGATAATCCTACCTATGTGCTAACAATGTAGTAAGAATAATTTCCTATATTATTATTATGTATTCTATGATTACATATTAAAATACATTTTTATTTAGATTATTTAATGTAGATTAGATTTATGTGAAACATTATTACTTTAATAGAGATACAATAATTGTAGAATACAGCATCACAAAAACTAATACTCTTTATTCTTATAGGGTGCAAGTGGCAAACGGGTGCTTCGTCCCAGATCTGAGACCCGTAGTTATGCAGAAAGTCCTGATATTGTGCTACTCCCAGCGGCACCACCTCATAGAAAACCTACTCTTGCACCGCCCACACCTGCTCCATTTACTGGTAATTATTAATTACATATATAATACTCCAGTGGCACTATATTCGTTCACTGCAGATTGCATGCATTCATATGTTTAGACAACTATATGATCATGATGTCGGTGTCCTCACGACGTTTGCTTTCACTGTAGGAGCAAGTGGTTATTGCACACATAGAAAGAAAAATCCATTACTGCACAGTAATTGAAACACAGCTCAGGGTTGAGATTCGTACGCTTAAGCCGCTAGGCTCATATTTGCCCTTATTTTTGTTGCACAACAATGAAACAGCAAACACCTAGATATTAAAAAAAAATCTAATATTATCTGATTATCTCTGCAGGAAGTGTCTATTAGAGATTGATTGAGGGAAAAAAAAGTTAATGTAGGCATCACAAACAAGCTACGGGGCTCTAAGCAATGATATTTAATATATTAGGTCCTTACATATGAAATTGGCGTTTTGTATGGGAAGAACAAAACGTCGAATATTTTTAAATATAATACATATATTTAATTAATCAAAGTATGAACCATTGTTTTCTATGCACTTTTGCCATCTCTTAGGTAGTTCATTGATCCCTTTACTAAAAAAACCAGTCGGACGGGAATCAATAAAATCTGTGAAGGCGATTTGGACTGCCCCATCAGAGTTAAATTTTTTCCCTTGCAAGAAGTTGTCCAAATTTCGAAAAAAAAAATGGTAATCTGTTGGAGCAAGGTCCGTGAAGTACGGAGGATGTCTTAGACATTCCAATTGAAGCTCTTCTAATTTGGTAGCCGTCTGTTGTGCAGTGTGTGGTCTAGCGTTGTCGTGAAGTAGCAGTGGCGTGGAGCGATTGACCAGCCTAGGTTGTTTAGCCTCTAGCTTTACCATCATGGTTTGCAATTGCTGACAATAGACATCAGCCGTAATAGTCTAGCCAGATTTGAGACAACTGCAATGAACAATACCGGCACTAGTCCACCAAACGCTTACAAGTAACTTTTTTGGGGTTATTTTTCGCTTGGGGCAGGATTTGGCTGGCTGGCCAGGATCCAACCATTGCGCTGAGCGCTTCCGATTATCGTAAAGAATCCATTTTTCATCACAGGTAATGATTCGGTTTAAAATACCTTCATTATTGTGCCGGTTCAGTAATGTAACGCAGCAGTCGACGCGCGTTTGCCGGTTTGCTTCAGTCAATTCGTGAGGTACCCATCTTTCAAGCTTTTTAATCTTCCCAATTTGCTTCAAGTGAATTAAAACAGTTTTATCACTAACACCGCAGCCTGCAGCTAACTCGGACGTGGTTTGCGATGGATCCGCTTCCACAATAGCCTTCAATACTTCATTATCAACTTGGGTCTCAGGCCGTCCACGGGGCTTGTTCTGCAGGTCGAAATTTCCAGAACGAAAACGTTGGAACCAAAAACGAACTGTGTTTTCTTTTGCGACATGACCGCCATACACATCATTCACCCTTCGAGTCGTTTCCGCAGCACTAGTGCCACGGCGGAACTCGTACTCGTAAATAGTGTTGCCCAAAATCGGTCTTGGTCTTGCAGTCTTGGTCTTGTTCTTGCGTTCCCGCAAGACCAAGACCGCCTTATTATAGCAAGACCAATACCAAGACTGAACCCTGCAAGACTTGAGCAAGACAATACTTAAGCCTGCAAGAATCTTGCGTCTTGCAGTTAAGACAAACTGAGATTTGGGCGTTATTAAATCAAATACCTACTGTATTTGGTTTCAATCCCGATTTTGAGAAACGTTCCCCAGTATCAAAACCGTAGGTATCACATATCCTAACACTAAACTAAGGGCTGCAGTTGGCAACGTGCCGCTCGTCTGAAAGCACCCTGAAACGTATTGTATTGATTAGGTAGGTAAGTACTTATTATATTTCAACAATTTATTAAGTAGCGTGTTAATACTCTCAAATCTGTTCCCACCATCCCATGTGATAAAATTTACCTAGAATAACTTTATAGCAAAGTTCATACCTTGTAGGTATCTACCTATAATAATATGTTATGCTTGTTTATGTCTAATGTGCAGATCTAATGTTAGTACTCGTAGGTTGGTATGTGCTTAAAATTATAGCTAACAAAATTATATAAACATCATGTAGGTTAAATTAAAACTAACAGCGAGTCGAGTAGGTCTAGTAACAGTTTCTACAGCACCCAATATTATGGTACAGACGCCAGCACATCAAGCTACTAATAAAAATAATCTATCAAATTTCTTCAACAGATTTTCAAGTTTATCGCTAAGGAATTAAGGTTCAAAGTTGATTGGGGAAATGTGACGTTTTGCGAATAAACTGTTGGTCGGTCGGTGTATTATATACCTACTTATTCGATAATTTACCGACAAAGACGCCGCGGTTTGCAACAAGTGTATCACAGCATTTGACACTGTTTGAGCGCCGCATTCGCCGACAAAGAGTACGGACAGAGGCACACAAATTTTTACCTATTTTGGTTACCTTGAAGATGTCCCAGCAGTAGGAAGGTATAAAATGAATGCTCTGTGTTTCTTTTATTTAAATACATTCACACTGCCTGGCTTGAATTCGAACACTACAGCGTTAAAAGCTGTCGGGCGAGATGATAATTAATAACTAAGTAGGTATTGTATCTATTGAATTGCGAATATTTTGATTTCGAAATAATCATTGTTAATATCGGTAAATGATAGATAGAGATTGATACTTAGGTACTAAAATGTGAGCAGCAAGATTGAAAAGTGTATATGCCATGTCAGTGCTTTCAATAAGTTTATTTTAAAAAAGCTCTCTAGTAAGATTTAGAGTTTACCATTCAATTACACACAACAAATTATTGAAAAACAAAAATTATGAAAAAGATATTTAGACTGAGTACTTAGGAAATAAGTAGAAAAAATATTCTATCGTGGATACCGAGTTATTAAAAAGTGGATAAACGTTGTGTTTACTTAATTTTATTTTTCTGTGCCAACATTGACATTGTGGGGTTGCCAACATTGACAACCCCACCAAAATAGGTAAAAATTTAGTCCGCTTCTAGACTTTGTGTTGCCACCGTCGCTTTCATGTCAAAGGTCGCCGCCACTGCCCATGTTCTAAAGAATAAAATAAGTTTCCGGGTGCTATGAACGGACGCAAATAGATTATGTTGTTCTCGCAAGGAAGAATGTAGTCGTAAGGATAGGTAGATTTTATAAAAAAAATTTTAAGTAATAAAAATATACCTAGATTATATTATTATTACCTATTATACCTTTTTAAAGGACATTGCACTGCAAAATTGGAAGTGGGTGATTTTAACAAACTTAAAACGTGGAAAAGCTCCAAATATGAGCGACGTCATATTTCTTTACGCATTTTGTTTTAAAATCACACACTTCCAAAAATCGAGATTTGCAGTGTCGGTTTATCAACTTCTATCGTACCTACTCTAGTAGCGACTATTGTCTTCAGAGATGATTTACTAAATAAATAAAAATAATCGTCGTGTAGGTACGACGATAATTTTTCTAAGGAATACAATTTTGTTGAAGTAGGTACCTACATCGTTTCTTACTTACACATACTTTAACGACAGTACCTACTTAGCAAAGCGCGCCAGTCACGAGTATGACAAATTGCCTAAAAAACCTACCTACGCACACTGTAATGAAATCTGCTAATCTCTCAATCTCTGCCTGTAGCCTGCCTGCTATTATTGGTGATGATGAACATTGTACATTGGTGAATGCTCCAGGATAGCCCGCAAGCCCCCACAAATAGTAATAGGCTAATAGGTATTTGCAAGTCTCGCGAGACTTGCAAGACTCTTGCGGCAAGATCAAGACCAAGACCAAGACTGAGAGTGCAATACCAAGACCAAGACCAGGTGTATTGACGCAAGACAATACCAAGACTGGTCTAAGTCTCGTCTTGGTCTTGCATTTGGGCAACTCGTACTCGTAAATAATGCGATACTTTAAGTTTTCCATTTTGTAAAATGAGTGACGCAAACAGAAAAAACAGAAGAAAAAAACAAATGAATGACGGTCATCGAAGCATGAATACATGAGTAAATAGCTGCACAAATTTGAATTTGGAATTCCTTACCAAAGAGGAGAACATCGTGATTAAAGTGGCCAGTACGAAATACGCCAATTTCATATGTAAGGACCTAATACTTTGCATATGTGTAAAAGTAAATGAATTGGTTCCTGTGCAAAGTTATTGAAATCAATTGTTCTTTTTGATGTGAAACATCTATAGCCGCACGTAAAACCGATTTCTGGCGCGGCGACGCGTCGCCACACTATATGATGGTATATATATAGTCTATATGCAGTAGCGTGTACGGTGTGTGTATTTCGAAGTCACTGATTAAACGAATTAAGTAGTGACGATTTGAAATAAATTCGTAAATTGTTGTATTTAATGAAAATAAATGTTTATTCAATAAATAGTCATCGTTATCTGGAAAAAAAAATCGTAATATTTTATTTTATCATTATGGCATATTCCTATCACAATCTGTTCTTTTCTGCATATTACTTTTACAAAATAATGTCGATGTTTCACATCAGCCAGGCGTCCCGTGACGGCTCACATTTTTTACTTTATGTATTTATAAATTTTTCGTGTGGTTCTATTTCAGATGTAAGCAGCAAGCTAAATTCTGCACCTGTCAATGTGTCTATAACAGCCAGTGCAGTGCCGGCCATTCCAGCACATGTGGAGTCACCACGCGATCCTCGAGATGAAGAAGATTCTGAGGAGGAAAATGAACCACCGCTGCCAATACCAGGGCATAGGGTAAGACACAAACAAGTCTTTTATATTTTTCTTTAAGTGTTACCATTACGTTGTACGTGTAAGTGACGTAACAACCATTTTTATTACTAGTTGATTTAGTTTTAATTCTATTAAGGAAAACCTTTTTTCTTATAATATATGACAATAACATGCAAATGAAATGATTTCACTTCTTTTACAACTAAAATTTTGTTGGAGTAAATTGTTATTTTTCATACAATTGAAATTAGTTATAATAATTATAATCACACATTTTAAAACTGTATATTCTTTACTATGATACTCGAGAAAATGGAACATTATTGATTTTCATTGAAGGAATTATCAAGTGCCGAGATATGGGAACGCGAGCGTCGTCTGCGTACGTTGCGGGAACAGCTTAGAGCGGAGGAGACCCGGCTTGTCTTACTTCGGAAGCTGAGGCAATCCCAACAGGCAGCTACGTTGCCGCCAGTTAAAGTGAGTCTTTCATCAAATTAGCTGCTTATATACAGTGAAAACTCTCATTTAACTTTTTCATACAACGATAACTCTTTATACCGGCCGAAAATGCGCAGTCTCTTAGTGTAATATATAATATACACTGTATCGTCGCTGTTGAATATAACCTAGTATGTCCAGAGAACCAAGCATCTGTAATGAACGAAAAAAATGTTTAATTTCGTCAATGTTCGATCAAATATTATTATGTGCTTTTGTCCATAGTTTTGGATGGTAAAAAGCAATTATTTATTAATAACGAAAATAAGTGCTTAGTTCACCAGTTAAATGACATAAGAAATTAATAAATAATTAAAAAAATATGGTTTTTCGACATACGAGGTTATCATTCTACAGTGACGGTATTATCAAAAAATTAATTGTATAGGAGGAATTACTCGTACGTACGGAAATGTTTTTAAAAAGTGAAACGACTATGTGGCAGAGTATCTTATCGCTAATCTTGTAATAGCGCCTGTGCACTTGAATCACTGCCCAAGAGTCTCTACTCCAAAGGGAACACTATCAAAGTATATTTGAGCCGTTAATTATTTTCCGACTGCTCTGCGGCCGCGCCATCTTTTTTACATTGGGACATTGATGGAGGTAAGAGGCGTGGCGAGAAAAACTCCCCGCACTCTTTTGGAAATTGAGGCCATGGTGTCCACGGCTACTTACTTCAAAGCCACAGGGGAGTACATATAGGCACTCCTAGCGAAGGCTAATAGCAATGCAGAGTGATTCAGGGTCCAAAAGGGTGCAAGTGTTTGTTAGTGGCATTAAGCCAATGACCGGCTTCCCCTAGACCCCACTGCCACCAACCTTGTGCGATCTGTAATTGAAGTGTGATCTATTAAGTTTTGGAATTCAGATTTACAAAGAGGATCATCCGAACTTATTTGAAAGTTTACGCTAGAAGGCAAAACAAGCCTGGGTCGGATGCTAACCACGCATTTCTCGCATCTGTTAAATCCGTAATCTCGTAGTTTGTAGAATAAGATCTAAGGATTTTACCTACCAGATTTGTGAGCAGGTGAGAGAAACACTGGAAGAGCTATACTTGTTATCTTGCGTGCTCCTTATCTGCTAAAGCGAATAGGGAGCGATGCTTGACTACAAGATGTTTAAAAACTAATGTTTAAAATAGATTCCAAAGAAGTTTTTAAAATATTACCTATAGAAATCACGTAATAGAAGTAAATGATTCCATAAATAAATTATATTAATTATTTTATTTCTTATAATCAATTTTTTAACGAATTGGACTTATCAAATCAATTCAAATTATATTTTCATAAAAATAGTTTTTTGTTATGAACTGTAGTGAAGTGCTGCCATAAATGCCACTTTTTCGCTAACACAAACTAGTACTATATACTATATTTTAATCAAACTTTTTTACGGATATAACGCAAATTATTATATCAATCGTGGTCACATTAAGTTGGCAGATAATTATTTGATATTATGGACTCTAATTTAATTGAATTGTTTCCAGGAGTCCACAACGGGTACAGCATTAGCGGGCAGTGGGTGCGTCGTACCCCCCGGAGTTACTGTTACTCCGGCGCCGCCACCGGCTCATCAGCAAACCAAGGTAGTTCTGATTCAATATTAATATATTTATTACTTTACAACGAACTACGATTTTCAGATACCTGTTAAGAGAAAACGAAAATATAATAACGATATAACTTACCTATGTAAATATATTATATATTCCCTAGAAATATGTGGATCAAAAAAAAAAAGAAAAAGCACTAAACAAATTTTTATGACACTTGGTTTTTTTCTATGTTGAGAAATTTCAGGACAGATATTCTTACGAAATAAAGCACACGTGCTTGGAAGGAACCAGTCAAACAGATAAGTTCTTTTTTTAAATTCGGTTAAAATATGTTATCAGCGCACGAGCAGCAACAGCGCCGCGAGTAACTGCAGTACTTCGATAAGCAGCTCCTCCCGCCGCTCTGCCAATCTTCCGGGTGGCGCCACGCTCACTCCGGGCCCATACCGTTCACAGGTATTTATTTAATACTATATCTACAGTATATGTATGTCTTATCTAAATATATTATCACGAACATTTCAAAAATCACATTACATACATTTACTAAACATCTCAAACGATATCTTGTTAACCTGTCCTATTCTGATACTGAAAATATTCTTATTGTGCAAAAATAGTTTTAATATAAATGTGTAGAAATAATTAATATAATTTTTAAAAATACTGTTTACGTGTCAAAAGGAAGAGACTGGCTGCCCACAACACAGGGAATCCTAGTGTGGGGGCCAGTGCACTTTACTTTATCTAAATATCTTGTATATTGTGCATAATAAAGTTTTTTCTTTCTTTCTTTCTTTCTTTCTTTATATAAAAATTTGGTAAACATAAATGTTACAAAAAAATTATAGTAATTTTTGTTAAGCAGAAAAAAAACCCCAGCAAAACAGTACATTATCAGCCCAACGAATATATCCAGCTCCGGATAAGTACTGTTTAATCCGTTATAATCGCGAAGATTTCGAATGAGAGGTGCCTGGACTCCTAGGTTGGTTTTTGCAGAAGGAATTTGAAAAATTCTGCTGATTTTAAACCATGGGAGTTTCTTATTTGTTCTTTTAAACGGCAACACCAAATTGGCGCTGCTGTTTAAAAGAAGTTTATTTACAAACATACGCACAGAAGATTTATATATATATGTATATAAATGTGACACTAATAATCCAGCCTCGATACTCTGTCTTTTAATAGGGGCTGCGTGAGCGAGGTTTAGTTCGATTGCGATATAGTTCTTGAGTTTTGGAAGCACGTTTCCCATAAGCCCAAACCAAAATTCAACAACAGGTGGTACCAAACTTACTACCAATTATTCTAATAATATATCCTTAATATTATTAGATGTTTATCGCCTTATCACACCAGAACGAAAGTACATGAAATAATACTTAAGAATTAATAAGTTTAGGTATTTTCTGATTCACGTAGACACATTTCACGGGAAACATCACATAAGCGACATATTATATTAGAATAATGGATGAGGCGTTTGAAGTAAAGAGATTTAAATTTTTTAAATTTCAGTCGTCAACATCGGGAGGCGCAAGTATTACCCCTTCTGTGACGATCACTCCTGCGCCGCCACCAGCTTCACAACTGTCTGCGCCTAAGGTACATCTTCAAAATTTCACAAAATAATCAACACGCCATAAATCTCCTATAATGATTACAGCCAAATTAATTGAAATCAACAATCAAAATCATTACTAGTCTTTATGAATGAATAAGTCTAAATTGGTTAAATAATTATTTATTTATATTAAATAGACAAATATTTTATATGTATTGAATTAATACATGGTTAACTTTAAGAATTAACAATGTCTTCTTAACTACTAAGAGTATTGTTAAATTTTTCATATAAACATATGTAGATTCGTTGATTACTTTCTCATAATTGAATAAAAATATTGCAAGCCCGCTCAGGATAATTCGTCAGTGACGAGCAGTACCAGCGATGCAGTGAGTATGGGAATGTGATGTCCACTAATATTTTATATAAATTACATATATATATATATATATAAAAATATTAATTTAATTTAAACTATTTTTAATTCGAACGAACGACTGGTCTTCTCGATTATTTTAGAAAAAGTTTAAAATTGGAATAGATAATAACTTTAAGATAGTTTTTAAGTCATTAAAGAGGATATTTTCTTGTTATAGGCAAGTACCCGCAGTTCGGAAGATACACAGACACCCGCCCAACGACAGGCTGCCGCTAAATTAGCGCTCAGGAAACAGCTAGAGAAGACGCTATTGCAGGTAAATTTTAAATATCTTTAAATAAATAAATAAATAAAGAACAAATCAGCTTTAATTATATTAAACTAATTTTAGCATACGATGTTTTTTAACGTTTATTAAGTAATTGGTTCTTATTTATTTATTAGAGCATCATATAAAATTTTCAACTGTTTCAATCTAATGTTATAATAGGTACGGACGGTTATTACCGTGTATGATGTGCATGATAATGTTTGAAAATATATAGCAATTACAGCGGATATAAGATCTACAATTTAAAAAATATATTTCATTTTATTTAAGAAAAATTTACTTTAACTTTATAATTACTTACTTAGATAATTATCCGTCTTATGCAGATTACCTAACCTAACTACGCTTTTTTAAATTGATCGCTACCGAATATATCAAACTGTATGAGTAGCGTTCATTCTGCTGTATTCGTGAAGAATTCAAGTGCTATTTATTACATTGGCCAAATAGTGATAATAATCTTTCTAGGTTCTATTTCATAAAATGAAATAAATTTTTGGCCGCAATATTATAAATTTTACGATCCGACATTATATGTACAATTAATAGCTACATCAAGGTGTACTAATTTATCAAGTTTATTTACGGGTTATTATTTCTAATGATTTTTTTCAGAACATGTCTTACATAACTGAACATTAAAACGTATGCAAATACATTAATTTGTTCGCCATTGGCGATCATAAATGATTGTTGAGAAAGGATGGTGAATAATTCTCTAATCTAAAGGGATGATCCATGACCAGTCTAACCATTGACTGACCGGCCCGAAGGCCCCAGTGGCTAAGGTCAAAATGTTCTATATATCCTTATACATATATAGTACATGTTATAACCTCAACATATATTTTGTTTTAGATCCCGCCGCCTAAGCCTCCTCCGCCAGAGATGAACTTCATCCCGTCTCCTAGCAACAATGACTTTGTGTACCTTGTGGGTCTGGAACATGTCGTCGACTACCTTACTAATGAAGATCGGTTCGTTTACTCTTTTGTCTGACAATTTCTGATTATTAATAAGTGAATTCAGATTGTTTTAAAAGGTGAAATGTTTATTAATCCTGTTTTATGTTTACCACTGGAAAAAGACTTATGTACATTTGTGTAGCGTTTAAAATGTAATAACAAATATTGTTTTGAGAACTTTGTTTGAATATAAATCGTAGATCATGTAGTATTAGCATATCTAGACACATTTAATGAAATGTGAATTAAATTAAATCTAGACGAATGTATCTCGACGATGATATATTTCTCTTCTACCAAAAATGCAATGAAAAGCGTCTCCACGAAATGTCGTGACCAATGGGTCTCACAGCAGTCAGCGATATACACATTAACATTTCGACCGGTTACATTTTATTTATTGATTATTTCAGTAGAGATCGGTGGTTAAATGAGAAATACCAATGATTTTATTTGGATATGATGAACCAAAATTTCCCTAATACGCAAAATCTAGCCAAGGCGTTATATCCTAATTTTTCTACCTATTTCAGTTTCCCGCGTTCGTCAGTCCCAGCCGTGTGCGCGCAGTGCGGTTGCGACTTCACGCCCGTGTGGCGTTGGGAGCGTGCGCCCTCGCGTCGCCAGGACGCAACTTTTACGCCCGCTTCTGCTTCCGCTACTTCTGCGAGACGTCTTTGCGAGTTGTGCGTGTCGGGCAATGTTAAACGGGCGCTCAAGGTGAGATTGTGAATTTATTATATAGGTTTTTATTTTATTAATAACTACCTCCTCTCTAGTGTAAAACTATTAAATCCATATTTTTACCAAGGATACAAACTTAGAATGTGATAGATCTTGATCTTTATAAAAAAAATAAAAAGTGCGTGCGTACACATGTCTGAAGTGAAACTTCTTTGTATAATTATTATTACTAAGGTAAAAGCCCCAATAGATGATCATGTACCAGTATATCTATATTCACACTGTTTACACACTGTAAACGTGCTAATGATGCTGAATGCTCACTCTCTCTCTCTCGATCTTTCTCACTTGATTGCTCCCTACTCTCGCTCCATGGCTATTTGCTTCATGCTACGTTCGCCCTTTCTCACTCTCTCTCAATCGGTCTCAATCGCACTCTCCCTTTTCTTCGACAAAAACGCTGCACATCTTCGTGACGCTAATATTATTATTATTGCGTTTCATGCGTAAAAAATTTCCCTCATGCGCCTAAAGAAGTTTCACTTCAAAACATTGTCGCTACTTTTCTAGGTGTCGGTGTACGGTTTCGTTATCAGTTTCATGATCATTTGTCAATCTAATAGGCAAGTAGGTGAACACTGAACAGCCTCCTGTGCCTGACACACGCCGTTGACGTTTTTGGTCTAAGGCAAGCCGGTTTTACTCACGGTGTTTTCCTTCACTGTTCGAGCTTATATCAAATGCGCACATAGCAAGTCCATTGGTGCACAGCCGGGATCGAACCTACGACCTCAGAGATGAGATTCGCACGCTGTTGCCACTAGGCAACACTGCTCTGGTTCTCTTTATAGCTAAATAACTAAAATTAGTATCCATTGAGCATTACTTTACTAATTTGAATTCCCATATACATCGCTATAATCTCTGTGTTGAATGTTTTTTTACTATTTTAATGGCTAAAATATGTGTCGGATGTAAGATTTCAAAATACGATTTATTGAAATGTATATATTACTTATATGGGACTCGATGCAGGCGGAACACACAGCTCGCTTGAAGACGGCGTTCGTCCGCGCCCTTCAGCAGGAACAAGAGATCGAGCGACGCCTGGCTGCCCCCTCCACCTCTCCACCCCCCCACCCCTGCTCCGCCCCCGGCTCACTCTCATCATAATAGGACTTCGCAGGTATGGCTTATAGAGTCGAAAAGATTCTATCTGAAAGAATAAGAATAATTTTTATTTTCTCCCATATAACATTTACAACAAACAATAAGATAACAGTTGAAAAGGCATTGGGAGACTGGTTTCCAAACTAGGCAAGAACCTGTGATATGGATAACCAGGCTTCCATTCCACAGCAAAGTCATATTAAGTGGTTACAACAAGTGACTTGATTAACAGTGATTCTATTATTTTATTATACTAACGGAGTTCGCATTGGATATAATGTCCTCGCCAAGTATCAGGTGGCGTACATCAAGGATCAGTACTTGGCCCTTTACTTTTTATTCTGTACATGACGGATCTGAGGAACTCACTACAGATTTCACATTCGATCTTTGCCCGACGTCACCAAATTTTTTGGAAATGCACTCTCAATCTCAAGCAATACAATATAAATAAGTGCACAATATCTATATAGAAAAATCTGTGCAATACTTATCGCCTAGGTCAACAACAGTTGTATGCAAGCAAAAAGTCTTGGGTGTTACTATCTGTTATGATTTGAAAATAGAATGTCACATCATGAATATTGTAAAAAACGCTAATTCCAACAGAAAATCATTCAAATGCCTCACTCCAAGAAAACTCTTAAAAATATATAAATTATACAGCATTTGAGATCCTTCTTTCATAAAGTTTGATCTAACTTAAAAGATAGGATAGCTTACATCTCAATGTATACCCGCGATATTATTTTATTTGCAAAATATTTGTTTATTATTTGATAGTCACAATTCTAACAGATGGCGCTGTGTTGAAAGTACCAGCGTTTCATATAAGCTACAAGTTAGTGACATAACTACCAAAAAAGCATGGTGGTCCCCATCACTGGTGTTCTTCTACCGTTTCCCTTGAATTGTTTACTACTAAGTAATATAACAAAAACCTTAGCCACAGCAACGCTTGGCTGGTATGCTTAAAAGGGTTTAAAGAAAAGCCACGAAAATGGTCAGAGCACTTAGGAGCAAAACTTACAATGAGCATCTGAAAGCACTTGATCTTACTGATTTAGGAAGAAAGAGATTAAGAGTTAGTCATTAAAACCTATAAAATTCTTACTGGGCACTATAATGTTCGAGGAATTGAGAAGCTCTTTATTTTAAGTGAAAATGCACATTTGTGTAGTTCTTTAAAATTGAAGACCACTCAATGTAATACAAATTCCCTAAAGAACTTTCTCCCAAACCGAGTAGCTGATTGGAATAGGCTTCCGGAAATTAAGCTGCTAGTGTGCTTATATACATATTAATATTAATCATCACATGGAAACATATTTTAATTTATGTTTTCATAAATTGAAACGAATACAGTTTCTAGTAATATTTTTGCTTACAGCAAACTCCGATCTCGCGGATGTCGCGTGGCGGAGGCACTCCGGCTCCTCCAACGCCACCTGCGCAGCCACCGCCCAAACCATCACCACAAGCCAATAGGTACTTACATAAAATATGTCTGACCTTATATACTTTTGTTTACAGTTATATTTCCTAATAATTTTTATTAATAAGGTTAATATTATAATATTTCAAATACAGTGTAAACTCTCTCTTACAGAGAGACGTCGTTAAACTGAAAGTAGAAAAATCTGTATTAGAAAAAGATAAAGTTTATTTCAGACTAGTGTTAGTATGCTTTGCTAACGCTTTTGCTGTACCAGCAAATATGTTGTATTTTTTTACTTATATTATTTATATCTTGCAATATTGAGGCATCTTTGTGATAAAGTACGCAATGCAAGCAATCCCAATTTTTCAAACGGATTTCTAGAAAGTTCAGAACGTATGATGTCGACAGTCGAGTTTATTACGGGCAATAAAGACAAAAGAACGTACACAGCTCCGTAGTTTTAAATAATTTCGACAACTTATAAAGAGCTTTTTATTATTTAATTGTCGTTATTGAGGCTGGGTGTAATGCTATGTAGAGTGTATCATTGTATGGTAAACAAGCTAAACCAACCAAAACCAATTGATTTCGACACTTTAAGGGGGTTGTCGTTACATAGATAACAGTTCATAATAAGTTTAATTCAAATTCCAGTCGCAGCGTAAGCTCTTCAGATACGTTGCGCAGTCACCACGGGTCAAGCGATCGTGACCGTGCCCGGGACGCCGAAGTGCCCGCCAAGAAAGGTAAAGGTAATCCTATCGAACGATTTGTTTATTATTATTATTTTTACGCTTTTATTTATCTTTGTTTTTCTTTGTATTTACAAGAAAATACACTTTGAAAATAAAACAATGTAAGAAAAGAGTGAGCATATTTTTTTATTGGGCTATCACTGCCAAATAGCAAATAGTAACACTGCTTGTCACTGTAATGACATTTGACAATTGACCATGTATAGGAGTTATTATTTGTCAAGTGTATATTCTCGATTATTTTAGCTTTAATAACAAAACCAACAATTGTTTTGTGTATTAAAATTTCTGTTTGTTTATATTGATTAAATATTATTTAAAGGTTTTGGTTAGCTATTGGAATATTATTCTTGTAGGGTTAATTTGTAATATTAGTGTTAAATTTCATCATCCATTTGATGATTATGGAGTCAGTGTGGATAGGGAAGATTATTGACTCCTCCCCCCCCATGTAACGCGCCGTAACGTTTTTCTGTACCCAAGTTTAGTAAAACGTTTCGTGATCACCTATTATGTTGTGTAAAGTACGGGAAAGTCGAAAATAATATTAACAATAATGCGTAATTCAATCCCCGCCCCGCATCGTAACGTTTTACAAAAGGACCCCCCCCTCCCAAAATTAACGTAACGTAATACTTGAACGCTCCCATAGAGAACCGTCAGTGAGGTCTATGAGGTGCTAATTTCTTTTGTTACATCGACAATACATTACATCATTATAGTTCGACAGTAATCATCTTGATCTAAAAAAATATGTGAATAAATGAAATGACGCGTAGTAAATAATAATTGTATTAGTTCAAAAGAACCGCCACGATAGAGATCCAGCTCTTTCCGCACGGAGTAGCGTAAAATGCATTAATTGTCAGAATTTCAAGAATTATTCTGCATTGTATCAATTAGGCGGAGAAGTTTTTTGTATATAGATAATAAACATAGGTACATAGATAATAAAGAGAGACATTTAAAGAAGCAACCTTATATTTTAGATTGGAAATTTGTGTAATGTGTTTAAACAATTGAATATATTTATATATTATTTTTGTTTAATCTATGAATACTTTATTATGTTTTGGTTGGCAAAATTTCTTTTTACAGAGTTAGTTCGTTTATGTTGTATATAAGCTTGAGACATTTGAATATAGAATACAAATTTGCAGCGTCATCGTCAAGCAGCACAAGCCAAGGTGGTAGCAGCGGCAGTAGCAGCAAACAGCATCAGGTGTGTTGTTGTGTATACTATTTTCCTTTTACATAAAATCATAGCCTTCATTTGAAGGAGATGAAATGCATACACACTGTTCACTATAGAAAAAGCGACGTTTATTAACATTGGGGCTCGTAATAATAATATTTATTCATTTGATTGTGGTGTACTTGATTACAGTATTAGTTTGTTTACATATATTTATTTTTGCTTCATTAACACATTTTAAATTAAATTGAAATTCAGAAAAAGACTACGTTTCATAACACCTTCCAAATCGAAAGACAAAATCATCATTATGCGTAAACATTTTACTTAACCATAGCCTAAACAACAATATTTTGTTTTTTTTTTTATTTCATAAAAAAATAGTTGACAATACATAACAGGAGCACCGAAAAAAATACAAAAAAAAACGCACATTTGAATACCAATCAAGTACATTTAATATAAAAAATAATCTAAATCTAAATCAATAATAAGAATACAACAGAGATGTTTTATTCTGTCCATAAATTAAGTTCGGATGTTTTTATAAATAAAATTACTTTAGAAGTCTTTAAAGTTGACCAAATCATATATAATGCTATATCTAAAGTATATGTACAATGTACATGCTATCTTTTCTAAAATAAATGTAACAAAAAGTATATACAAAAGAAAAATTACTAGATTAGATAGATTACTGTTAGGTAGGTACTTTTTTTTTATGGCTCTGGCACGGTTTGTGCATTAGCCAGCGTCAAGTATAAGATTTTTTTATAATTCGTGCTTGCCTTAGAACTTCGACCGTGTTCTCCATGTACGGTTTAGGCACTCGCCCGTTACCGCACAACCCTCCCAAAGGCCGAGAACAAATTTAAATTAAATTAAAACTTGCCCTCGAACCGGGAATCGAACCCGGTCCCCTCACCTAGCTGCCACTAGATAGGTACTTAACAATGCCTTTTTTAAGTATTTATTTTATCTCACTGAAAATGTTGCTGACACAATCAGATTCCTAAATCGACAATTTGGGGATATAACGTCTTTTCTTGAAGAAAAGGATATTGCAATAGTGAATTTAAAAAAAGATAATGAGAAGTCCACTATGACTGACCTAACAAACCGGCTAAGTTCCGTTGGTCTTCAGCTACAGTATATACTGATTAATGGGATCCCAGAGAAAAGATCAGAAAATTAATTCAGAACTGTCCTTCATACAGGAATGGAATGTGACTGTGGAATGTCCAACTCAAAATGATATTCAATACGTGACGAGCGTTGCCAAAATTACTATTGACAGTAATAGGCCTCGGTGAGACGTGACTTCGTTCTGGATTCTGTGCAAAAGCAAATTTAATAAAAAGAATCCACATGGCAAATTGAACTCTCATCCGAGGAACTAAGAAACACATTTTTGTATCCAAACATCTAACATCAGTTAATAATGTTCTTCTTATTTATTCTGTACTTCTCTGGCCGTTTTTAAAAGAAAGGAAGAGAAGTGCAGTATACATTTGAATGGATTAGCAACGGACGTGTTTCTACAAGAAAAACGAAAACAGCGAAGCCATACTTATTAAGAATAACGAAACCGTCAATCGTTTAACATAGTTATAGTATATTAGATTGTACACTTATTGTATTTTTAGCTTAGTAACTGTTTAGTGTTTTTTATTTATTCTTTAAAAAAGCCAAGCGTAATACTCAAACTTATTTGTATGAAAATGGTCACGTGATACAATGCGTATGCATGAGCTAATGTCATGCCTATACAAATTCGTTTGACGTTAGTGGGTCATGCCTGTCGAAAAGTAATTACATATGTCTAAAGCCCCTGCTAACGATTTTTATCCTATAATGAATTAACCTATGATAAATTAAACTTCTACTAAAATAAACGTGTGGCACTCGGGGTCTGCCGCGGTAAAGCTATTGCATAGCATTTTTTATCAACGAATGCAGTTATAATTATTTATTTATTTTTTATTTATGCAGTATTTGTTTTTCTTTGATATTATTTCAATCTACCACTCTACCAGACTCAGACTAAAACGTCTATACACTCTGTCTCACTCTAACGCGTACCGGCTGCACCGGCCGCGCTCACTCTACGTCACCGATCTGGTCAGAGAGATGGGAATGCGCAGTATGCGTTCTGTCTCACTCTAACGCGTATTTGCCGCACCTATATTACGTCATCGTGTGTTAGGTTGTTTTCGTTATGGAATTTCTTGATTCGGTCGCCGCGCTCAAAGCCCGCGATAAAATCTATGTAATAGACAGCTTAAAAAAAGACATTGGGGCTAGGTCGCTTATTGTCTATACTTAATAGATTTACATAACTCATGGTTTTGTAAAACGTAAATGAAATTGTTTTGCAGCAACTCGCAGCGGCTGCAGCGGCCCAGATGGCATTTGAACAGCACAGCGCGGCTGCTATGCAGGCCTTGCAGCACCAATTGCTCAGAGGTGCGTAATTCAAATATAAGGAAACTTTAAACCAATGTTACTAACTGTTGAAACTGGTAATGCCTTCTATTCGTGTATGATTCGTACAAATCGTAAAACGTTTAAATATATAGTCAAAACCGTTTAAGACGACATCGCTTACATACCGGTTATATTGACCAAAATCAAAGGTCCCGGCTGAATTCTATTGTATTAGGTACTTAATAACAACGTCATCGGCTGTTACTACTATCGGTTTTTACGACCAAATATGAGTAAACCCTTCGATGTCGCTATAACAGATTTGACTGTATATTAATTGGTATCTCAAGTTACGGTCTCGACTTGATCGCTGTCAAATGTCCAACTTCATAAAAAGAGGTTTAACAGTTCCTGAAACTCAAGTTGCATTGACGTTAATAAGGGCCTAAGAATGCCAACTTTTATTATTTAACTAATAAAAATTAATTTAATATTAAATGTTAATCATTTTTAACCGACTTTAATTAAATAAGGTGATACATAATTTGACCTGTATGTATATTATATTGTCGTATTTAGAATTCCAAGCATGTGTGCTGTGCATGCTATGTGTATGTATGTTGGTCCACGAATTAATATCTAGTCTAGACAATCATTTTTGAATCAGGTATGCTTAAATTTCAACCGATAAAGTACTTTTTGGGATAAGTGTATCGGTTTAATTTTCCAAATCAATTTTTTGTCGCCCTATTGAAATAGGCTTGAGCAGCGCCGGCGGCAGCAACAACATGTCTCCAGCAGCAGCGGCAGCAGCCATGATGCAGTTTTCTCCGCTGCTCTACACCTACCAGCTCGCGATGGCTCAGGCCAGCGCGCTAGGTAAGCGTTGTACGTATCACCTCCATCTTTACATTTCATTTATTTCATTCAATTAACCCTTATAATAATTTTATTTACACCGTAGCATTTATTGGTTTTAACCAATATGTACTTTAATAATGATTACTGTAATAAACGCAATTTTTCGTAATTCACTTAACTTATTATTTTTTTATTACATTAGCATAATTACCACATTGAGTTTCCTAATATCATGGTGGAAGACATGTCTTTAATAAGTTGATCGAAACAACACGCCAAAAGTGAAAAGTGTATATTTTAATCAGAAATATTAAATTCGAGAACCTACATGAGACCATGGAAATAATAACAAAAGTTCTTTTGAGCTAGTATCGTTTTGAAAGTATAGTGTAGTGTGTAGTAGTCAAGTCGCTGTCAAATATGTCAAATTTCAAAAATGGTTTGACAGCTCTCGAAACTAGTTTGATTGATTGTAGAATTTTGATATGTAGAATATATGTGTTGTAGAATTTTGATTTTGTTATAATTAGAAATTATTGTTTATTACTTTTCACTGGATTAGATTATAACCTATAAAATTCCTGTCAAATACTAAAATAAATAAGGCGACTCCCATATGTCAAAATCTAATTCTAAAACGTTTTTGGAGTCATACTTAGCGTGTCTCGGCTCTGTATCTAAGGCTATTCTTCTTATTTGCAGCGGGTAAAGGCGGTAACAGCAGCGCTGCAATGGCGGAAATGCAACGCGTAGCGGAAGCACAAAGACAATATTTGTTGGATATGATCCCTGGACAACATTCACGCAATCCTTGGACCAAGAATTGATCACTGTGAGTACATTCGACTCCCCATTCCGTTTTTTAAACACTGGTCTGTAGTTTATTCAAATGACAAAATTTTATTAACATTACATGGCTAATGTTCTATACATCAACAATTACACAAATAATTGCTAAGTTTCCATACCTGCCTTTGTAGATTTTGAGACAAAAACTAGAAGACCCAACAGACGCTGATCTTTACACACCTTAAAAATTAAATATCTTATTACTATAAATCTAAACTATTCCCAAATCCACTTGAACACACCGAAATAAAGTCATCAAAATCGGTTCAAGGGTTAAGGAGATTAATTACAAACACACAGACAGAAGATTTATATATTTAAAGATTATTCTAAAGGACTTTGAAGGACTCTTATTAGATTAGAATGTAACATTGTTTGCTAGATTACTAAGCTCATTGTTATTGACTAAAACTGATTCTTATGGTGTCAATAAATCATTTAAATGTAAAACAAACATACAATTTTTTTTTTTCAGATGCATCGAAAATTCATAAGGCATTTGAGTAATTGATCTTTTACTTTACAATAAGCTAGATAGATAGTTAAGATAAGTTATGGTTTAGTTGATTGAGTTAAGGGAAGTTATAAGAAATTGCATATGTGAGGGGGAGTCTATACGAGTTAATTACAAGTATCACAATGTATTATTTAAAAAATAGTTGATTGAAACAAAATTGCACATTGTATATCATTTATCATTTCAAGTAAATTATAAACATACCATCAAATTGTGATGAAAATGTTCAAGGCGTATAATGTGATGTCAATTATAACTAAATAAAGTGAGTTTCTTTGTGCGTTATACCTTTTCCCATAATCCTCGATTTGTAAAGTCATCACATCCCTGTAATAGAAATAATGTAAGCATGATAATGAAGGAAAAAACGCAACTGGAATATATTTTAAGCATATTATTAGGTTTACTCTGATATATTATCTGTAAAACTTAAGAATAGAACTACTCGTGTAGGCGCCAAAACTCCGTGTTCCAAAAGCTGATAACAACTGTCAAGCATTTGCAAATTACAAAATCTGTCAAACATCAAGTTTGACAGATCATTAAACTCGAATTAAGTTTGTAATACGGAATTCGGTAACGTAAAGTGCTATAATGATTGCACAAGTTTAAATACGTAATTATAAAGTAGATAAGGTTAAACTTAAACTTAGTAAGTGTAATTTTTCATTTTTATGTGGACTTTGAATAAATAATTACACACATTTTGTTTTTTAATAATATACTAATAGTATTTAGTATGAAGTCAATATCATAATGGTATGATTATTACTTTATTTCCAGCCATTTTTTTAGAGGAGGCATGAAATATACAAGAGTGACAAGAGAAGGCACTCCAAGTAGAACAGAATGAAGTAACACATATATATGTCACCGTAAAATTGTAAACACCGTTAGATTGTAATCTATCTCGCAAGATTGTGAACTGTCGAAAGATTGTGAACCTCAACGCACTGCAAATTAACAAAGAAATATGTAACAATGAATATTGTAAGCAATTTTACGACGACATATACATACACTGACGGACTCATAAACTGCATCAAAGTAAAAAAACGACATTGAAATAAATATTTTATGCAAACTTTCTACACAGATTTAAATTGAAACGTCTAGATTGGATCGTTAGCTTTAAAACAGCGTAGATGACCCTACGCTGTTTCCTTTAGTTTAAGTTTGTGTACTGGAAAGGACCTTAAAACTTTTTTGAAGAAAAACAGAAATTTTAAGAAAATTGGTTTAATAAAAAACTTGGTTTTAACAATAGACACAAGCTTTATGCAAGGATTTTTTATGTTTTAATAAGGTTTATTACCTCCACGTGCCCTTATTATGGATTCTAATTGGTTCCGCATAGATTTGATAAGGGTTATTAAAACATCTTGCGGAATATTGTCCCATTCTTCTGAAAGTGCTGTTCTTAGTTGTGCCACTGTCGTAGGCATAGGATTTCTCGCATATACAGCTCTTTTTAAATTGTCCCAAAGATGCTCAATGGGATTAAGATCCGGGCTGCGTGCTGGCCAATTCATTGTACGTATCCCAACCTCTTCGCAATATTGGCGAACTTGTGCAGCCGGGCATTATCCTGCATTAAAGTAAAATTTTCGCCTATAAATCTCATGTAAGGCACCACGTGATCTTCTAAGATCTCTGTTATGTAGCGATGTGCAGTCAAACCCCCGTACTACCGTTTTGACGGACCATGTCTATGAACACAAGTTCTGTTCGCCCGTTCATCGATATGCCACCTCAGACCATGCACGAACCGCCTCCAAAAGGAACACGCTCCTCAATGCAACTTTGAGCATATCGCTCCCCACGTCGACGATAGACTCTTCTGCGACCATCTGCACCTTATAAACATGTCCTACACTCGTTTGTGAACAATACGGAGGCCCATTGCTCATCTGTCCAATTTAGGTGATCACGCGCAAATCTTAAGCGAGCTTGTCTGTGAGCTATAGACAACTTTGGACCATTTGCTGGTCTAAAAGGGGTGATATCCGCTTCCTTTAACCTTCTTCTTATTGTTCGTGCACTAACGTTTACTCCACGCACTTCATTAAGCTCTGTTTTGAGGTTAACTGACGTGAGGAAACGATTTCGCAGGGAAGTTGTAACAATATATCGGTCATCACGACCGGTGGTTGCTCGAGTTCTGCCTGTACCACGTCTCCTTTTGTAAGAACCTGTCTCCACAAACCTGCTGTATATTCTAGAAACCGTAGACTGGTTTAAATTTAAATTTCTACCAATCGTTCGTTGATCCAGCTTGTTCGGACAAAGTATCCATATTATGGTTCAGAAACTCTCGATGAGTTAAAATGCTAACCCAACAATTCTGCTGTTAACAATAATTCAATTGTCAAAAGAATAAAAAATCAATAAGAATCAATTTTAAAACACGCAAAGCTACGATACGACGAGTAAATTTTCTTTTCCCGGCTAAATTCAGTTATTTTACTGCAGTACCTTTTTTTAAATATTGCATTTTTTTAAGATTAAGGCCCAGTCTCTCCATATTTATATAATTTAATCTAAAAAGTTTGCATACTTATTATAAAAATCATTTCGGTCGGTAAGGATATAATATATTTATTATTAGCTCAGATCAAGTTGTTTTATATTATAAAACTGCATGATCTTAGCCACTAGGCCCGACAAAAAGGTCCGTATGATCCAATATCACTAACTTATAACAAATTAATCGCCGCCTCGTGACCAAACCAATTCAAATTAGGGTTAAAACCGCTTTCACTAAGATAACATTCTTTAAAAAAATAGCTGACCAGTCAATGGTTAGACTTGTCCCTCTAGGTTGGAGTAACCGTTTGCTTTCTCCACCGTAGCCTTGTAAATTTAAGGCCACTCGGCTCGTCACAAATAATAAAGAGTTGTAATTCCTAAGATGTTCATTGTAGTTCGTAGAGAATTTTTCTCAAAATTAAATACTTATATAGATGAATAATAATATCAATTTGGAAATTAATCTTTATCACAATGTTTTTCTCTCATATTAAAAATCTTCATATATATATTATTATTCTATAGGACATATTTCGTCAATTTAAAATTGTCCATCGATTAAACGATTGAATTTAAAAAATAAATTATATTTTCTAGTAACCAAAAACGTACGTGTACGTTTTATTTACGGGGTACGCGTCTAATTTTTTCTTAACACATACTAAATTATAGAGAATTAAATTAAACACTGGCAATTTTAAACTTTATTATAAGTTAGTCTGTTTATAATCTAAGCTACGTAAGTTTTTATCTGTGACAATATGTAAGAGCGCGAGTCATTGACAATCTAACACAGAAAAAACGAACCGATGTGTGTTATATCAAATACTATTCTGTGAATTTTGAACATGCCGAACAATAATGGCAATAATGTTGTAGTTACAAAATTGTTATTTTAATTCAATTGACAATTAGTGTTTCTATAACGTTCCGCGGTCTACCTCCTGTGTAAAATATTTATTTCATTTAACATTATCAATAAACAATTATACGAATATTCAAATCAGAATTAATAAATATTAGAAGCATGGGTGATTCTAAGAAGATTAAGGTAAATAACTTTTAATATTTAACTATTTATTCGTTAATACAAGTAACTTTTGTATTTTAATATTTATAATTTTATTGTAATATTTAGTTGTAAAAATTTAATAAGAAAAGTTGTTCAACGATATGTTTACAAAGTGATAAGCGTTATCATTTTGACATATTTCAAAAGTTCCTCCAATAGCGTAGTATTATCTAACCTCTTGGTCGTGTTTTTAACTAATATCACAAAATTGTTACGAAATGTCGGGCTATGATTTAAAAAAAGAAGAAGAGGTCAAGGAGTTTGTAGAAAACCTCGGTATTGAGTACAGATTTGGATGTTATAAGGAGAAAAAGCCTGAAGTATGCCATCTCTTAGGAGATTATTTAGAAGCGATAAAGAAGGATTTTGAGAAAGCAGCAACAGTGTTTAAAAGCAATTGTTTAGATTACAACTATGGTAAATCATGCCTGAAGTATGGAAATTATAAATTAATCGGTAAAGGCAGTAATAAGAGTGATCCTGCTGAAGCTTTAAAATATTTCGAGAAAGGTTGTGAAAATAATGATCCCACATCTTGTCTTCATGCTGGCTTACTTTTGACGGCTATAAGCCCTGATGAATCTGTTATACGAGATGTTCCGAAAGGTAATTTATTGATATTTACGTAGATGCGCTCTCTATTTTAAGTCTTCACTACATCAGAACAACCAAAACAACCCAAATGTTACACAAATAATCTTGTCAATATTTTAACATTACAAAAAATACATTATTAAATAATTTCAAGATTTTTATTCCAAAACATCATAAAACACATTAATGTTTATATTTATTTTGGAATATTTTTTCTAAAGTTCTTGCATTTTTAGGTTATAATTACTTAAAGAAAGCTTGTGATAACAGAGAGAACATGGCATGCCATTATCTCTCAGGAATGTACTTAACTGGAGTTCCCAAAAACCCAAAGGAGTATAACCCTCACAAACCTGAGAAGAATAAAAACATAGATTTTTTGATCAAACCGGATTTGAAACAAGCATTTTCGTTTGCTCTGAAGGGCTGTGAGCTAGGTCATATTTATGCTTGCGCGAATGTTAGTCTTATGTACAAAAAAGGAGATGGAGTAGAAAAAGACTTAGAACAGTCAAAGAAATATTTCACAATAGCACAATCTCTTCAAAATGCTCACGAACAAACAAAGGAAGTCAAATTTCAACAAGGCCTCGATAATAAGTGAAATGCTTGTTAAATAGTTGGTTGTTATATATATTTGTTGTTGTCTAGAGGGTAGATTAAAATATTATTTATCATAAAATGGTGTATTTGTTTTATTGATAATAATTTTAAACAATTTATTTTAAGGTGAGGCACCTTCTAATGCTACCAACTTAATTAAAAACTACTATAGTATTTAATATCATTTTTTAAAAATAAATGTGTGTAAATTTATTTGTGGTTAAAGTTGTAATTGAATTTGGTGTATTGAACGAAAGTGTAATGAAACAATAATAATTAGAGCTGCATTTTAGTAGTCAAAAGTAGTGCTAACTTGGTTTTTATTAAAACTTTAGGAACATTTAAAATTTATCTACATTTACATTGCAATTGTCTGACAGATGATCCTTAATATATTGCACTTATCCATCAATTTTCTTACATTTGATTTCCTTGATTGCTATATCAATCTAATTGTTATTTGATACTGTTAAAAGAAAATATATTTCACACTCTCTTGTTACGTAACATTGAGTTTCATGCTGAGATTATATTTCTGTGTTACGTTTTGGCTATATGAATTATGTTAAAATACTTTAGATTGGCATAATTGGAGGGTCAGGGTTTGATGAACCGGGATTATTTGAAAACCCAGTAGAGCGCGTGGTTTCTACGCCCTTCGGCAACCCTTCTGATGTATTACTTGAAGGAGTTATTAAGGGAGTTCCTTGTGTAATTTTGGCAAGACATGGACGGAAACATCAGTTTCAGCCAAGGTACCAAAAATAATATATTTTATCTGATTAAATATATCTTATAAGATAATGGTACTATTGCTTATAAATCTTCTGTGTGTTTGTAATTTATGTTCTCCTATATGGCTGGACCTATTTTGATGTTTTTTTTTGTGTTCAACCGTATTGGAGAATGATTTAGATTTACAATTACATGTTTTTTTTGTAATTAAGCCTGTCGGGTCCGCTAGTAATATAGTATAAACATATATATTATGACATTGCAAAATATTACACCACGCACACGACTCCATCCCACTGACAGAATTTTTTTAAGTAAATTAAAAAGATAATATGTTTTAAATTATCTTTGCATGAACTTCTGTTATCTTACTTGTTTATAACCTTAAATCGATCAACGCCTCAGTCGTGAATCGTTAGATATATAACTGAGGCAGTGAAACCAATTTTTATCGTCAATTGATTCAAATGCAGTGACGTGAATTACCGTGCGAATATCTGGGCTTTGAAGGAAGTGGGGTGTACTCACGTGTTGGCAACTACGGCCACCGGCAGTCTGCACGAGGATTATCAGCCCGGCTCCCTGGTTGTCGTAGATGACTTTATTGATCGGTAATTATATACAAGTTTTAACTAAAATAGGGACAATCATTTTTCATAAGTAAAAGAAGTCGATGTTCATTGTTGATATTTCTTTTTGGACTTGGCCTTAGATTTCTGAATCTACCATTTCTTTATTCTTATAGGCAAGTATATGATCAGTATGAAACACCTGGGCACGACTTTTAGGGTCTGACTTGTCCATGTAAGGATTTTTCACGATGTTTTCCTTTACCGTATGAGCGAGAGTTATATGAACATATACAGAAAAGTGCACAGCAGGGATTCGAACTTACGACCTCAGCGATGAGAGTCACACGTTCAAGCTACTAGGCCAACTACTCCAAACTGTTGCTACAAATTGCTAGTGGTGCCATGAAGTTTTAATGGGTGTACACCGGTAGTCATATAGCCCTACATGACAAAACAAGCGCGCCCTGATAATAAAAGAATGGCATCTTTTTGGCTCTTCAAATGTTCTTAATGCAAACTTCAAACATTTGTTTTATTATATGAAAGTTGACGAGTCTAAAATATCGTTGAAGTCGTATTTTTCTTGTTCCTAGGACATGGGGTAGAAAATGTACTTTTTACGATCGAACCGAAGGTGGCCCCAAAGGCGTTTGCCACCTTCCAATGAGCCCTGCTTTTTGTGAAGTAGCTCGTAATGCTCTGTCGACCGCCGCACGCGCACGGAATTATCCCTGTCACCACAAAGGAACTATTGTTACTATACAGGGTCCAAGGTGATGTAATTACTTAGTATTGTCTTTGTTTGAATTAATTATTTTATTTATTTAAAACAAAACTTGCCAACGCTCGGCACACATTGGTACATTAAGGTAAACACATGGAGGGGAAAAAATACAATCATTCATAAATTACAAAGTGTGAGGGGAGCAACTATGAATACTTATCTCATTTATCAGTATGCTCAATCTGAATATTGATGACAAAGAAATGAGATAATGGGATGCCTTGAGTATCAAGAGCATCGTTTCTCAAGCGGGGGGTCGCGACCCTTGGCAGGGGGGTCGAGTTTGGTTTTAAAGCGGGTCGCAGTCTGTTGAAAAATAATAAATACAAACTACATATAGGTACAAAGGATTCGTTTATTAAAGGGATGACTAATTACAGTGTAGTATAAAACTAAATTTTAAGAAGTAATAAAAAATTGGTTTACTTTTTGTCTTTTTCGTGAGTCGCGACATAAAAATGTTTGAGAAACGATGATCACAGAGAGTACACAAAATTTAAATTTTTGCCTCAACATTTTATAAATATTTTAAACGCAAACGATAAAAAAAATTCTACGATTCTCCAATGGTAACATCTTAGAGTGCTCTAACCTAGTTTTGTATGTTAGCAACTCTGTTTTCGAAATTCAATCGGGGAAAAATAATTTTATATAATATTATGGCCAGATCGCGATTCTGTTCAGCTGCATTGGTCTTTTTTACAATTTGATTATTCTCGCATTCACTCACGTTTATATAAAATAAAAGAATCGTAAAAACTAAAATGTAACTGTATCGTATACATTCTTACATATTATGCTAATGACCTAATTGTTTTTGAAATAAATTTGGTATAAAAACAACTAAGACATATTATCTAAATTATATATATATATGTAGGTAATATATTATACTTATGTAGGTCAGAAAAAAATTGCTTCTAAATGTACATTTACTGCCTGTTCTCAAGGGCGTGGAATGGACGAGAAGTACCTACTGGCAATAAACTCTCCATCCCCCTTTTAAATCACCAAGGTTTTTCTTCATAAACATTTTGTAAGGACCTTCAACCATTATATTATGCTCCTCATCACATATGAAAGAAATCTTGATGTTAAGTAGTTGGTTGTTGGTTGTAGCGTGTAACAAAGATTTTAATCAAATAAAAAATCCAAACGGTGTACCTCTATCACGTTGGAACAGGAGCATGCGCTTAAAACACTCTGGGGTGGCAACAACACGCAAACATGTTCGAGGTGAATCAAGGCAGAAAATAATTAAAGTATATATACACCGATTTGAGTCCGTTCTTTCACCACATTTAGCACTCGTTCACGAGTATGACGCATAGCCAGCTCAACCCCCTCACCATATTGTAAGGAGAGACACATCCCGACGCATGGACAATACCATACCAAAAGCAATAGGAATAAATAATAATTGGCCATAGGTACATATCATTCTAAATTACGACAGAGTTTATTTTTAATACCAAGTCTTTTATTTTATCGTTAAAATCTGGTAAAATCCTTCAGATTTTCAAGCCGAGCGGAGAGTCTGATGCATCGTCAGTGGGGAGGACATCTGGTCAATATGACAACAGTCCCAGAGGTATGTATCACTCTAATATTATATGAAATGACAATAGTATTTTAGACGGAGATCTAGACTACTAGAAATATTTGTATTGTATATTTTGGTTCTAAATCTTTCTAGGAATATTAATAGTAACATTTTAAAGGATTAATTAAACAGTTCTGTACATGTGTTTGTACAACCAACAACTCGTGGCTCTTAAAAGATCACTTACTTTTGACAAACTGAAGTAGTTTTTATGTATTATATTCTTTTTAACTCAGTCATAATTAAACGATACAAATGATGTGTTCATTCTCATTTATACGTAATTAATTGGTACATGTCATATCAGGTTGTGTTAGCCAAAGAAGCTGGTTTAAGCTATGCTGCGGTGGCTCTTGTCACTGATTATGACTGTTGGAGGGATAACGAGAAATCGGTAAGTCAAAGTAGGAATAAGGCCCAATTAATGAATTAACTACTTTATACAATGGTTCTACTGACATCATTACATATCGCCGACATACCATATGACATAAAAAAAGAGTTAAGCTTGACGTACAGTCCCGAGCTATAACGCAAGTTCATCTATGTAAATACTTCTTCTTCTTTTTATGCTTCTGTCGCGCTCCTATCAAGACTGCAATTTTTACATAAATACAAACCACAGTGGTTTTACAACGGAATATACCACGATTTAGATTGTATTATTCTGTAAAAAGAAATGTATTGACAGAAATTGTACGGGGTCGTTTATGTTGATTTTTTGAATAAAATGTATCATAGGTAAATTATACATTACATCGACGTCCTGGTGGATAGAAAAACTATGTATAGTTTGTGATTCCACCATGCTTCTATAAACTACTTTTTTTAAACGCTTTTAGGCTCTGTCAGTCCTTTCGTATTCAATAAAAAATAATAAAAGTATTTTAAGTATGTTAAGACCTTTGTAGATTTGTTACTGTGTATTAATGTTTTGTATTTGAAATAGCTATGATGCCAAGAGCGACTGCTTAGAGGGACTTAGAGGCCTAAAAAGCTAAAATATATTTATAGTATTTGTTATGTACTCTAATAAGAGTTTTCTATTATCAAGGAAATATACCTTTAATACAAAATGAATAATAATACACAATATACACAGGTATGTGTAAGTGACGTCCTAGAGGCATTCGCTAAGAACGTCAAGAAAGCGGCTGACGTCATAGTGGACGCTATTCAAATACTTGCTGCTTCCACAGACCATCCCTATTTAACAGCACATAAGGTAAGGTTCAATATAAACATTCCTTCATTTTATATAAAGTATCCTGATTTTTTTAGGTCATTATTTGTGACCGTCGTTATTGATGTTGTTTGTCTTTCTTGTTTCACAGAGCATAGGACACATTTTTAAATTGTATTTTAATTTGCGTGTTTGACATTTTGAACTCATAGCTAAGACAGACATTCCATATTATTTCCATAAATCAAAATCCCGGCGGACGACTATAATAAGTGTATTTTAAAGAAACATTTTTTTTAAAGTCGGTCAAGAGGATTGGGTTGTGTTTAGATAGTTAGCTAATTTTAAAGACCAAAGTTTAAGAGTAGTCACTTTATATAAATATATTCGGCGTTAGATATTGCTTATTTATATTTTAGTTTTGCGTAACAATTCATTTGTATTTCTGTTTCAGGAATTGGTGACATCCGCCATAATGCTGAAGGAATAACGTCGAATCCATATAAAATAATACCCTATATATGTAATAAACAGAACATTTAAAAAATGTGTGCGTTGTCTCAAAATTAACTTAAACAATGTAAACCAGCCATATTATTACCTTCAATTATTTAATATTAGTACATATAACTGACGCGCATGGAAATTTTTACATTCGTATTATTACTTTTAAAAATATTAAAATAAAAACAGCCTTTTGGTACCTTTCCGTGGACCGTTTCCAGCCTAGATTTCGAACTTCATGATCAAAATTAAAATGTAATAATTTAAAATTTGAAATACATAGCCTTTTTTATCTATTATTCATATAATCAAAATATCGTTTTCCACTATACATAATAATTAAACCAAAATTCCTTCGAATTATGATACATAAACAAATTGTTATCGGTACCGCCACTCCTTCCGTGGTCCAAATAAATTTGATTTTGAAGAGTCGATAATTGGAACGCAACCTTAGAATATTTATTTTAACTGGCAACATTCAATCTGTCAGTTCAAGTATAGCTTAGTCCATGCGGTGTATGCAAGCACTCCGTCATTAAAAATACAAATCTCGCCTATTAGTCATTGTTTTACTTTAATGTCAAAGATGGTTGCGACTTTTCTGTGACTTCTATGGTACGGTAAGTGTTTTATTGAAATATACGTAAATCTATTTATAGCTATTGTTACTGGCGTCCATTTACAAAAACAAGGTGCGTTATGAGCTAACCTATAAATGTCACGTATTATACCGCTTGTTTTGATTGGTTTACCCTTCCGTGGACAAACTTTTCTGTGGAGAGTCACTCTTGTGGACGTAGTCTTTTCTGTGGACTCTGCCACAGAAAAGTCTGTGTCCACAAGAGTGACTCTTATTGAAACTTAGCATGCTTTTTCAAAACATATTCTGTGACTTTTTTATTTCTTTTTGCCAATATTATGTTGCATTAACCCATTATGTTTGTTGAATGCTTAGCCTGGTGTGTATGTGGTTCATTGTAATTGTATCAGCAAATCAAGATGCCTAGAACAAGTAGAATTAAACATCTGACTGATGAAGTAAAAAAGATAAGACGTCGTGAACAAAAAAAATTAAGTATGCGCCGAGCACGGGCAAAATTAACTGAAGCTGCTGTTGAAGAGATACGCAAAAAAGATAGAGAAAGGTACCATAAGAAAAAGGACAGAGGAGAAATCAAAACTATCGATGGTTATACACCCAGAAAACAGCGACAAATAAGAAAAATGTGGCGTAAAAAATCAAAGAAACGACGACAATTACTAAAGATGCGAAAAGCTACCAGCGCTCTCATACAAGAAAATACTCCACCATCGAGTCCATCTTCATCATTCTCCCGAATTGAAGTCGGACGTGCAGTAGCTGCTCGGAACAAAAGAGAAAAAAAAGCTGAAAATGAGACTTTAAAGAAAAAGGTATTACATATGGCAAAACAAATAAAAACATAAAGAATGCGAATACGGAGGCTAGAAGAAAGAAAGCAGAAAGCGTCGAATGTGGCTAGTCCTAAAAAGAAAGTCTTGAGAACAAACGTCAGAAAAGATGTGCATAATTTTTTAATACAAGATGAATACAGTAGATTAACATCAGGGAAAAATGAGACAATAACCCGGAAGAAAAGCAAACGGCAAATTCGTCTACTGAATGACACACTCTTAAACTTACATGTGATATTCCAAAGCAAAACAGGGATCAAGATTTCATATCAGACCTTTCGTAGATATCGACCTTTTTGGGTATTGTTTCCGAAAACATCAGCAAGAAACACGTGTCTTTGTGCTTTGCATGAAAATAATGATCAAATAATTTGATCACTTCAAAAGGCGAAAGTTGTCACTTACCGATCTGCTTCTGATGCTGTTAAGGTACTGTGCTGTAATAATACACTGAATCCTAAATGTTTAGAGAGAGAGTGTCAGAGCTGCCGAAATAAGAAACTTGTGATTAATAATTTTAATGAAAACGATTACATTGCTTATGATAGATGGGTCACTAAAAATGTAGATGTAATTATCAAAGGCGAACACAAAAAATACAAGAAATGTTTGAAAGAAACTGTTAAAACTATGAAAGACTCTCTAGTGAAGTTATTACATTCTAATTTACCGTTATTACATTCTAAATATGATTCATCAAATAAGATCAATCCAAACAGTTAAACAACAATTAACTTCTGCTGAAGGCCTATTGCATATAGATTTCTCAGAAAATTATCATTGTAAATACAGCGCTGAGGTTCAGTCCGCTCATTTTGGTGGTTCTAAGCCTCAATTGTCTCTTCATACTTGCGTTTACTAGAGCAATGCTGAATCACCTAATAATGGTTTTCAAACTATGTCTATGTGCTCTATCTCAGAAAATTTGCGTAATGATCCTGTGATGATCTGTGCTCACCTAAAACCAATCTTACAGAGAATCAAAGAAATTAGTCCGAACTTAACAGAATTACACATATTAAGTGACGGCCCAACAACGCAGTACCGAAACAAAACTATATTCTTTTTAATTGTAAACTTCATAAGCCAAGAATTAAATGATGTCAACAATATTATATGGCACTACAGTGAGAAAGGTCATGGCAAAGGTGCCCCTGACGGAGTAGGTGGTTGCATCAAAAGGCTATGTGACAATTCAGTCGCAATGGGTAAAAACGTCCCTGATTATGATTATCTTATGTTATGTTTAAAAGAAAATTGTAAAGGTATAGAGATTTACGGAATAGGAGATCCAAATGTGCAAGATATTCAAGAAATGGTCGCCAAAAATAACATGAATGCTTATAAAGGGACATTTAAGATTCACCAACTTTCTTGGAATCGAAGCGAACCAAATATTTTACATGTAAGGAGGCTTAGTTGTCTGTTTTGTGCTACAAATGCAGTTTGTCCACATTTTGAAATGAGTCAGATAAAGGTGCCAGCCGCTGATACGCGATCACATAGTCCCGTGAGTTTAGCTGACGCAAACATATCTCCGAGAAGTGTAGACATAGCCAATGTTTCTACAGTTACTTATAGGTCAAATGTGGTTACACCGGAAGAAGAAACAGTTTCTTAGGATCCCCCTTCACGTCCCTATAAGAGATCGAGGTTCCTATCAGACTCTGATGATTCAGATGAAATTTTTCCTCTACAACGTATTCATCCATTACGCACAGACGGCAGCGATGAAGACGACTTGATTTTACAACCTCAGCAGGCTAAAATACCATTTTTCAATCCCTTCTCTGACGACGAAGATGACGAACCTATATTCTAGCCTACTTCTAGCATACTATAAGCGACGACGTTTATAACACGCTAGAGTATAGTTTCGTCATCTTTTGTTTTATGATCTCATTTTTTTCCTCAATTAATTTGTAGCTGAGCTCAGTTTGATTGATAGTAATATTTAATTAAGAGTCGACCGAAAAGAAATCTCTTCTTTGGACATAAAATAATTATTTTTTTTAAACTAGAGGGTTTATTTTTTTATCTCATTTTTAATTTGAAGTAGTATAATACAACCAGATTATAATGATTTTAAGAAATATATCATTTTTAGTTTAGTTTTACATAGCCAAAATACACATTTTATCTTTTCTGTTGATTTTGTTGTCTATTCTGTGGACAGTTAATAATTAAAATATCTAGTTATTAGTACAAATTAAGGCTTCGATCTCTGATAATATTTTTACCATGATTATTTTATCTTTTTTCTCAATAAATGCTGATTTAAACCAAAAAAAACCACTTTTTATTTTTTTATTTTTTTCATACTAGATTTGTTTATGACCCTATATATGTAATAGAATAATGCGTGAATAAAATATTATCACAGTTACTTGTATTTTTTGTAATAAACGTTGAAATGTTATGCTAGTTACTTTATTTATACCGTTAATATTACACATTTTAAAGCTTTATTTTCTATACCGATAAACCTTTGTCCTGATGATTTATTACGAAACTAGTATCAAAGATATTCGTTTTGATTAAAATTTTTTGTTCCTAAAAATATACCTAACTTTAAAAATAATTTTAGTTCTATTCCAATTTGATGACCTTGTAAGACACACACACCATATAGGTCGGTTATTGAAAGCTGGCGCGTTCACAGTACTCACACTAATGCAATTTCACTATACAGTATGTTTAAAAATATGACTTTTTTGCCAAGCTATATATTTTTGTCTACTCTGGTTTTAGTAAGGTTGAGTGGGTTGTAAATAAATAAAATGTGTCAAATACATATAAATATTATGTGCATATGAGGGTGGATCCAAAAGTTCTAAGCCCGACCAAGAACGTAAAAGAGAGGTTCGTGTAAATAATTTTTCATTTTTCGACATAAGTTCCATCTAGCTCAACACACTTCACTAACAATTCTTTCAATACTCTTCTTAGAAACCCCAGTCGCATCTGATGTCAAATTAAAAATAACATTTTTTCATTAAACTGTTTTTATTAAGATGCTTAAATTAATTAAAAACATTGTGCACCATTTCACGAGATTGTCCTGGTAATGTTTAGACGGAATATATTTCATAAGAGATTTTTTTCAAAGTATTCTAACCTCCAACCAAATAAGTAAACAATCACAGACAAAATAATAATGAGAAAAAAGATCAACATGTACAGTAAAGATCAACATAAACAGAAGCAAAAGCAAAACAATAACTGTCTCCTTTATACTCATAAGCTTGACCGAGCGCGAGAGAGACGGACAGTCTTTTCATAATGCATAATCAGTTTGACATAACGCCTCGCGCTTATTCACAGACACTAGACAAGCACAAAGTGTTAATGTGTTGAAGCCGCCAGCTTTAGATAACATACCAATACACTGTAGTTTTAATTAAAAGATCGAAAGACAATATTACATACGGCTTTTGAGAATTTGATGCAACTGTCTACCATGAAACATAGTGATAGCAAATTGATTATTAAATCAATTGTATTAACAAAGATTAAGTCGTTATCATACGGTTAGTGTTTAGGATCCATAAACATACAAAATTTAATATTGGTATTATATATCTCTCCCTCTTCGGTCTGTTAACGTGTCTAAGCGTCTTGGTCCACCCTTAACATTTAGGGGGATGAAAAATAGATGTTGTCCGATTCTCAGACATACCCAATATGCACACAAAATTTCATGAAAATCGGTCAAGCCGTTTCGGAGGAGTTTAACTACAAACACCGCGATACGAGAATTTTATATATTAGATATTATTTAAATAATGTAGATGTTTTGGAGTAAAGCTCAGGTGTTCAGGAGCTCCCATCTCAAGTAGTACCTAGTCAAAACGCGAGGTCGCGCTGGAGCGTTTTTAAAAAGAATAAAATTTTATTTTAAATTAATATTTAATCAACCGGTTACATTGGTGATTAGCTTAAGACTAACTTAATATCTAATTATCGAGACTGGGAGCTAGACAGTCCGTCAGCATATTCCGTGAGAACACGCGTGGGTGTTTCCGTTTAAAGATTAGGAAATATGTCTTGTGACTGTATAACTCCTCTCTCCTTAGAATCGAGATTATCCTCAGGGTTTGGATGATCTCGAATATTCTGTTTAGGTTGAAACATAATTTTCTTAATTCTATTTTTAAATGCTAATAAAATGACACATGTCATGAGTAAAAAACTTATTACTATATTAATTATACCAAAGAACCATTGATTTAATTCACTTTCACTAACACTTGTAGGAACACTATTTTTCACCAAAAGGTTTAAGAGTTGAACGTCTGCAAGGTCGATTCCATCTAAATTCAGACGCTTGTTCTGTGACTTAATTTCGCTGGAGATTAACGGTAGGTTTACAATTGGGAATCGGGTAAACGCGATATCGTTTCCCTGGTGTTCGTTTCTTTTTAAGTTGAAATCCTTGATTCTTATCGAACAATCATCATCTAGGGTTAACAGGTAAGTGCCCATTAATGGCTCATGTGAAACGTCGTTGTCACACGTTTTAGATATAATGGTTTCTATTCTCGAAAATATTATCCAATGATTTTGTTGTACTAAATAAATCTTGACATCTTCGATTAGAACGGGCACAGGACGACATGAAGATGTGTTGGGGGAAAAATTAATTAGTGTAGTAATACATTCGTCCTTCAATACCAGTGTAGTTTCAAATTCAGGACATAAAAATCGGTTTTCATCTATTTCTTGGCATGGTTGTGAGAGCGGCTCGACTTTCAACCCTTTCACTAGGACATAGGGATACTTAGGAAGGATAATGTTAGATATATTATTACTATAACTAGGCACTGGTAAAGGTATTAATTTATAATAATTATAAAGTTCATTTTTAATTAAGGGTATGTGCATAATAAACTTTATCTGATTTTGTTTGATATACGCTTCCATCTCAATATTCAGTTCAATTTTTACAATATTTTCAATATTCACTGGAAATACTAAATTATACATAGATTCTATTTCTTTTAAAATTGACAGTAATTCCTTAGTATCAATAATAGATTGATGTAATATTTTAATCCTAGCAAAAGCGAGAGCTGTTTCAATTTCATTTAGTCTTGAGTAAATAGTTTGAAAGTTATGGGTAAAAATATTATAAAAATGAATAATTTCATTACTCATTTGTAACATTTTAGAATTGTTTAACCTGAGATCTATGTCCTCAAAACGTTCTTTAATTTGAATGAAATTATTCCTTGTTACATTAATAATTTTTGTTACAGTACTCATCATTTCGAAAACTATGGTTATTTTATTACTAATAGCGTCCTGTCTAGTTTTTAATTTATTAATTAAATCTTCATATCTGATAGCATCTTCATTATCAAGATTGCCAGTTATTGCTTTAATGAATGTTCCAATAGGATTCAATAAACCACGTTTAGATTTTGAAGTCGGAACTAATTGTTTATATTTTTCCACTGTTATATTCATTATGAAACTAATTTGTAACTGTACTTCTTGGAAGTGCAAATTGAATAGGCTAGTGTCGAAACAATTTTGTACTTCGGTTTTAAGTGTTAAGAAGTTATTTATATTTAGTTCTAGTTCGTCGTTGATAGCTTTAAAATCTAAAATCTTTATCACGGTCCATCTGTCGTAAGCTACTACTGCTTGACCTTCTTTAATGGGTAGGAGGCCTGGGTTTCTATAAATCTTTTGCAGTTGAAGGGCCTGGCTTGGGGTCAGATGTACCAGCAGGAGTAACAACCTGTGAAGGGCGTTTTAAATCTTTAGTATGTACCTTAGTTTTTCGTTTCTGAGTTATCACTGGAACAACGTTTCTATGAATCGGACCCAATACTCGGGCTTTTGATAACGTGCCTTATCCTTACTACGTCGCGTGTTAACTCCCTTTATAAACACGGTATCGCCTATGTCTATTTCTAACTCTTTTTCACCGCCATGTTTCTCGATTAAATGCTGTTTTTGATGTATGATTTTATCGGTTAAATATTGATATAAGAATTTAGTTTTTCGAGCATGTTCCTTAACTAATTGTTGTGTATACATTTTATTAAAATCTACAGAAAATATATGATTAGACTCGGTATGGCCAAATACGACTTCAAAGGGTGTTAAGCCTGTAGTAGAATGGATTGAATGATTATAAGACATAATCGCATAAGTCATTACATCCGTCGCATCAGTTATCTTCCGTTCGTATTTAGCTATTCTATATATTTCGATGATGGTGGAATGAAATCTTTCGACTATCCCCATTGAGTTGGGGTTATGTGGAGTACTAATGTGAAGATTTATTTTGTAAAATGATAGAAGATCTCTTAATAATGCATTATTAAACTCGGCTCCGGGATCCGCACTAATTCGTCCAGGTACGCCGTATAAAGAAAAATATTTTATTAAAGCCCTAACTACTTCGGGAGTTGAGCGTGAACTTATTAAAAATGCCTGTCCTAATTTACTAAAACCATCTACTATAGTGAGGTAATATTGTCCTTCTATTGAAAATGTATCGATAAATAACTCCTGAAACGGTCTATCTTGTGTTTGTGTCAATTGCAATTCAGGTTTTAGAGGTCTCCTATCGTACTTCATCTTTTTACAAGTTTCACAAGCGTTAACTACACTCGCAACAGTTTGTTCTATGTTGTTCCAGAAATAGGTTCTTTTTAAATGAATTAAAGTCTCTTTAATACCACGGTGACTATTTTTCCCATCATGATATTTGATAATTATATCTCGCTGTTCCTCTTCATTATCTACGTAAATGACTCGTTTTGTGCATTCATAAAATTTAACAGTGCCTTTTTTAAAAAGTGATATTGTAACCGCCGCAAATTCCTTACGGTGCTGTTCATCTTCAAAGTAAAAGAAATATTTAATATTAGGTTTTGTGTATTCTTTTAAAAAGTTTTTAATTAAGTCTATATTATTCACAGGTAAGTGTACCTCTAATATTTTTTGTTTCGGCCTAGATAAATTTTTAACTAATATTTCTTTCCTATTCCAGGGAATACAAGTACTTGATTTGGCTTTGTGTCTATAGCTTCTTGCAGAATACATATACCATCTGTATCTATATCCTCCGCGGAATGGATTGTGCTCATTATTTCAGATGCAGTAATGGTGCTAGACCCTAATGATTCCACACTGAGTGTTCGTTCAGAAGCTGGAGATACTTCCATAGGTGTTGGAGGGTTTTCTTGATGTTGGTTTCTAGCTAAGCGGGTTATCTCTTCTGTTAGATTGTCAATGTGACCTTGAAGATTTCGTTCATTTATGTCCACGTTTACCTTTAGCGAGATATCATCATTGCCCAAAGCGTTGATCCTAATTCTGGATAATGCGTCTGCGTTTGAATTTTGCTTCCCATTTTTAAATACAATATCATAGTCAAATTCGGCTAAACGTAATTTCCAACGTGTTAATTTGGTATTCGGTTCCTTTATTGAGTTAAGCCAGGTTAACGGCCTGTGATCGGTGTATATCGTGAATTTACGTCCATATAAATAAGGCCGGAAATATTTTGTCGCCCAGACGATGGCCAACAACTCTCTTTCTATTGTGCTGTAGCGTGTCTCTGCTTCGTTCAGCGTACGACTTGCGAAAGCGATGGGTTTGTCGCTACCAATTTGACCTTGGGAAAGTACTGCACCTAATGCGACATTGGATGCGTCTGTTGTAAGGACAAATGGTTTACTGAAATCCGGAAATTGTAAAATAGGCGCGTTAACTAAAAGTTCCTTGCACTTTTCAAAGGCTTCTATGTATTCGGGCTTGGTGATGTCAATTTTATTCTTTTTTTTTAAACAAGATGTCAATGGCTGTGTTATTTTAGAGAAATCTCTAATGAATTTTCGATAGTAACCAACGAGGCCTAAGAAACTCTTTATTTCAGTTGATGTACGTGGAATCGGGAATTCTAAAACTGCTTTAATTTTATCATTGTTTGGCATAAGGCCTTCTTTAGATATGGTGTGTCCTAAGTATAGAACCTCTTTTCGGAGAAATTCGCTTTTGTCTAGTGTAACCTTTAAATTAGTCTCACGTAAACGTTCAAAAATTTTCTTAAGTTTTACTATAATATGTTCTTGTAAACTAGCTGAGTATACAATTATGTCATCTAAGTATACCATGCAGTGTAATCCTTGTAGGCCGCGTAAAACGTTATCCATTGCTCTTTGGAACGTTGCCGGTGCTGTTTTTAAGCCAAACGGCATTCTTTTGAATTCATAGTGACCTGATTGTGTAGTAAACGCTGTTTTGTGCTGATCTTCCTTTTGGACTTCAATTTGATGGTAACCACTTGCTAAATCAATTGTGGTAAAGTACTGTGATTTACCTAATTTATCAAAAAGTTCCGATATGTTAGGCAAAGGATACTTGTCATCTATTGTGATTTCGTTCAAACGTCTATAGTCGATAACCATTCTATATTTTGGTTCGCCGGACGCATCTAGCTTTTTCGGTACCAAATGAACTGGTGCACTATAAGGGGAAAATGAATTTTGTATGACGTTATCTTTTAAGAGTTTATCCACCTGTTTTTCTATCTCTTGATTTTGAGAAGCAGGATGTCTATAAGGTCTAATATAAATGGGGTCTTCGTTAACTGTCCTAATTTTGTGTTTAACCTGATTTGTGAATGATAAAGGAAATTTATCAGAATAAAATATATCACGAAACTCGTAACATAGTTTAGAGATTGCGTCACGTTCCTCCCTATTCATATGATCTAAACGAAGCTTGGACAAATTTTCTTTTAAAATATTATCAATTGTTAAAGTATCATTTATAAAATTACTTTTACAAATTTCACTTATTTTAAAAACTGAGACTTTAATAGGTTCCTTAAAAGTTATTTTAAATGGTTTCTCGGATACATTTTGTATAACGGTGGTTGCAAAGAAGTTTTCACATGTAACGATAGCATTTGGCATACGAACGCCAGTACTGAAATAGACCTGTTCTACTATGGCATCTCCATTTTGTAGGTTAGTAGGGATTTTAATTTTTGATTCTGTTCTGGGTTCAATTATAACTTCGTATGGAGGACTATATAATATAGGTATGGCAGAACCAGTTGTATACAGTATTTGATTTTTCATATCTATGCTAGCTTCTAATTCCTTTAATAAATCTGAGCCAATTAAACCATGATATCTAGCATCTACATCATATACATAAAATTTATGCATTAAAGGGCTATTAAAAATATACGGCAAAGGGATGTATACTACTTCGTTATGTGTACTTTGAGCATGAGTGCTAACGACTGTAAATGGTTCATAGCTTTTATATTCATTAAAAAATTCATTTACTTTAGAAGGACTGATAAACGAACGACTACTACCGGTGTCTATAAGAAATTTTGAGTTTAGTTCCGGAATTAATATGTGTGGTAACTTTAAAATGCTATCACAATAGTTAAGATTTATTATTTCGGAATATGATTCGAGGCTTCTTCCTGAAAATTTACTTCCTGTGATTCTATTTCCTCGTTGTCTTTAGAATTTTCTTGATTTTCTAACAAATTAAAATTTTCACACATGGCTGTTTCGCTTGATTCATAGTTATCGTAATCGCAATAGTCGTTGTAATAGTATGGTTCGTAATAATATTCAGAGTCATTAATCATATTTTGTCTTATCGGCGCGGTTCGCATAGAAACGTCTGTGTTACCTGGTTGTGGATTCTGTTTTTGGTGTGGTATACCGAATCTAGGACCCTGCTGTGGCTGGTAACCAAATTTATAGTTTTGTTGAGGTATACCGAATCGACTATTATTTTGAGGCGAAATTCCAAACCGATAATTATTTTGCGGGGGCATTCCAAATTTAAAGTTATTCTGTGGTGGTATCCCGAATTTAAAGTTGTTCTGTGGTGGTATCCCGAATTTAAAGTTATTTTGTGTGGGCATTCCAAACTTAACGTGATTTTGTGGGGGAATTCCGTATTTTAAATTATTCTGTGGGGGAATTCCGTATTTAAAGTTATTCTGTGGAGGCACATTTGATGCTAAATTATTTTGAGGAGAAATGCCAGGTTTAAAATTATTTTGAGAAGGAATACCAGGTTTAAAATTATTTTGTTGGGGGGATGCACTATTCTTCCACAATTTATTTTTAATAGAATATTGATAATGAAAATTAACCTCTTCAGTAACAACACTTAATGCACTCTCTAAATTAGTACAGCCCTTTAGACGAACGATACGTAAAAGATCTTCAGATAAATTATAAAGGAATACATTAAGAGCCGTATTATTATAAATGATTAATTTGGCTGCTTTAATACTCTCATCGGTTAACCTATTAACCTTTGAGGTTAGGGAACTTTTAACACTTTGTATTCTTTGACAGAACTCTATATATGATTCTCCAGATTTAATTTTTAATGATTCTAATTATATTGCTATACATTCTTCTGAACGCGGGTCGCCGAAATGTTGAGTCAATATATCTTTAAAATGATCCCATGATGTAATATTTTGATTTTCACTTAATAGCGTTGCCGCTTTACCCACTAAGCGACTAGTTATTGCATGAAATAAGTATAAATTTTGGGCGGCATTACCTTCGACTCTAAATTCTTTTATCACATATTCACTTTTTGCAATAAATAAATTTAGTAAGTTTTCTGTACCATCATATTTGGGAATCAAGGACAAAACCTCCCTTGGTACAAATTTAAATGTTTCCATTGACATTTTTATTCTTTAATTTTTATATATAAAAATACAATATAATCACTTACACTTCTTTAAATTACTTATATAATTTTGAATTTGCAATAAATCCGTACTAATTAATAATATAATTTCTTATCTATCTCTATATTTAACCTATATTATATTGCCTATTCTTGTGCAATATAATTTTGTTTTATCTATCTATATATTTAATCTATATTATATTGCCTATTCTTGTGCAATATAATTTTAAAACTACAGTTCCTAATCTAATTACACTCTGAGTACAATTTTATTCGTAGATTTGGTACGAAACAAAATCAGATAATGTAATAATATATAATATGTGGAATAAAATGAATTTTTTAGCGGGAAGTGAAAAGGTTTACTCACCGCCAGCCCAATTCCATTCTTCCTGAGTCACTAATCACACACTGCACCGGATATTATTTTAATGCTCTTCTATTTGACTTATTTATTTGATTCGCGGATTTTCACTCTGCTATTAGACAGTCCACGGTATTTCAAGAACTAAGAAAATCGATTTGAGTATTTTCAATTTAGTTATATACTCGCGGGATGTGAAAATCCTACCGGCTGCGCCAGTCAAAACGCGAGGTCGCGCTGGAGCGTTTTTAAAAAGAATAAAATTTTATTTTTAATTAATATTTAATCAACCGGTTACATTGGTGATTAGCTTAAGACTAACTTAATATCTAATTATCGAGACTGGGAGCTAGACAGTCCGTCAGCATATTCCGTGAGAACACGCGTGGGTGTTTCCGTTTAAAGATTAGGAAATATGTCTTGTGACTGTATAACTACCTACCTTTCACAGTTTATTATGGCATTGTTTAGTCAACAAAACATAAGATCATGGGTGTTGAATTCTCTACTCTTTTTGATGATTTGGCGAATGTTTAGAATTTATTCGTTCGTTCCTTTGACTTGTACGAAGCCTGCCTGTTACTCAGGTATCTGTCCTGATCGGCTAAGATACTAATTAAGACGTGACTTATTTACATGGAGGAGGATCTTTCATCTTACTGGCATAAGATATTATGACCATGCTTATGTAATTCCCAGTCTTTAGAAGAGTCTTTATCGCCCAAGATGATGGTAATTCTCATTTTGGAAAATCTTTCAGGGTCGCAGTTCTTCTTCTTCAGTAGACAGCGATGTGGGGGCATATACCTCCACCATGTTTGGCTTGTACGGTTTGGTGTTATTTTTAAGATCGCAAACTGGCTCGAACTTGAATTCGTGTATGCGGTGATGTTAGTTATTTCGAATATGTATTTGCGTGTTGTTCCCACGAGACTGTAACTGTGTGCTCCTATTTCAGCATGCCTCCTGCTGATAGAGGACATAATATCTTTGTTTTTAATTTATTTTATTATGATTCATTAACAATTGATTACTTAAGATGTCATGTGGAACATGGTGTATTGGTTGCTCCTTACTAACATTGTGTAAAACAAAAAACTTGGGGATTAAAAAGAGTGGCGGAGAGTTTATTGCCAGTTCTTCTCTTCCGTTCTACGCCCTTGATTTGAGAACTGGCAGTAAATGTTAAATTAGAAGCATTTAGTATATTATATTATTTTTTGACGTTCATAAGTGTACCTTGTGTTACCTTTATGAATAATTAATGATTTTGACTTCACTTGACTTGCTTAAATATCCTATGTAGGTGTTATGTAGTCTGTGATAATAATTAAAACATCTGTGATAAGAGATTGAAAAAAACCGTAAAAAGTAAAAACCGATAATGTTGTAGTCTGTGTTCGGGACTTACACAAAATAAAAACAACAGAAAAAATAATACTTTGTGAAATCGTAATTATTTCTTTGTTTAGAATTTTCTTGAAAATTCGTGTTTAATATGGCTCAAGTTCATGGTGAACTTTTTACTACTCGCATGAGGAAAGCTACAAGAAAAATTCATTCAGTGAGCGATGCATTGGTTAATGCAAAGTTTGCGATTTGTAAGTGATATTGCATTTTAGCTATAATGTTTCGTCATTAATTATACTTCCTCTCTATCTAATTTTATGATATTTTTTTAGCATTACGTGATGAAAAAGTATGGGGTGGAGGACTGTATGTATTTTACCATATATTCGCTTATCTGGAAGATGCGAAGAAAAGATTGAATTTGTCAGACTTTGATAGATTATTTGTTCACAAACTCTTATACAGGTATGGTTCCTTAAGGTTTATTTGTGAATTTTTAATAGGTTTAGTGTATTATATATGCAGTATTCTAACTTGACAGAAAACTGGCCTTTGAAGAAGACCTCGCTCATTATCTGGGACCAGATTGGAAGTCTCTGCCTAAGTCTAATGCTTTAGAAAATTATTTAGAACACCTGCAAAACTTAGAAAAAGAGAATCCGCAGCTTTTAATGGCTTATATCTATCATTTGTATCTGGGCTTACTTAGTGGTGGACAGATACTTACAAAGAAACGCAAAATGTTTGGAGACAGTGAGTTTTGCTCATTTTAGTTTTTGATTATAGTTAAATAAAAATCTTTGTTTTAGTACAGTATACATGAGTAAGCCGTTTCTCGACTATTCAACTCAACATTTAACAATATCTTAAGCTCTTGATCTATCAATTTAAGAAGTAGTTTAGTTGACTCATTCTAAATTATTATAAAGTTTTGGTTATAATATAAGTCATGACTACATGTTTATATATACGTCATATATTTTAGAAAGTGATGCAACAGCTGGATACAATGATAAAGTGACAGATTTCACTGGAGTAGATATAGCTCAATTGAAGAATGACTTTAAAGCTGCAATGAATGAAATCGCTGAAAAAATGACTGAAGAAGAGAAAGAAGCATTTATAGAGGAAAGCAACCAAGTGTTTCTAATGAATAATCTGATTGTCAACTCGGTAAGGGGCCAGAATAAAGTTCTCTGTAATTTAATGTATAAGGCATCAGCTGTTATGTTAGTAGTAATTGGTGTTGTTATGGTATATAAATTACACAAATAATCTTCTTAGAAGTTCACTGTTCTCTTTCTCATATTTAGCTTTTTATATTTTAAAGTATAGTCAAAATCTGTTATGACAACATCGAAGGGACTACTCATATTTGGTCATAAAAACCGATAGTTGTAACAGCCGCTGACATTATTAAGTACCTAACACAATAGAATTCAGCCGGGTCCTTTGATTTTGGTCAATATAACTGGTATGTTCTAAACGACGTCGTCGTAAAGGGTTTTGACTGTATAGTGACAATGTTATATTAATTTTTAGCAATAATACACAAAAATATTTAGGAAATGTGTGAAACATATTTCGTAACAAGTATTTCCAACTTTGTGATTTGTATGTGCTGACACTTAACATATATACATTAGTTCCTCTCATTGTGATTACTAGTTTTAGTTGACCCATAAGAAAAATACTTTATGTAGTTATTTTTGTTAATAAAGACTGATTCTAATATTTTTTATTAACCTTTCACAACCTATTTTAAACTTATTTAATTTTCTTTATTTTGAAAATTAAAATTTCAGGCTATTTGTTAAAATGACAACAATCGACATTGGATTTTTCACATTTTAATGTTAAAAAAATTAGCAACCACATTATGTAAAAATAATTTATTGCAGGCATTAAAATAAAACAATAAATTATTACACTAAATAAGTAATTGTCATAAAATTAAATACAATTAAAATATAATCCTTAATTTAGTTATGAATTATACTAGGCTTACATACATTACATACATTTAAAATTAAACAATTGAAAGTCTGGTGATATTGTAACATTTTGTAGTCACACCTTGGTCAAGCTGTAGGGTCCATATTCAGAATAGATAAATTTTAACATTTTTGTTTCCTATCAATCAAGTTTATTGTAAATTATTGTAGATTTTTGGAAATGAAAAATGTGAAAAATATGTTTAAAAAGATATTGGGCATAGAAGCTACACAAATCTTTTTCATATTTATGTAAATCTATAAAAGATTTGTAATGTATCTTCATTGTTTTTTTGTTTACCTAAATTTTTAGACCTGTTTCATTTAAAATATTGTAAGTTTTTGTTCACATAAACATATTTCAATTTCTATAATAACCTAGAGTATCACCTAAATGACGGTAAACTGGGTGTGTCCATTGCTAGATCTATTAGCTCGTCGATGTCTTCAGTGTTCCAAAATGATAGCTCCAACTGAAAATATTACTCATATTGTTATACTTGTAAAAATTACAACAATATTTATATAAGTCGGTTGGAGTTCTTTACAGCAGTATCTTGTTGGCTATGTTATTAATTATATATTTATATTAATTACTAGTGGACCCCACAGACGTTGTCCTGCATGATATTTAAAGCGATTAGGATATTAAGCAAAGTATGAAAGTACCGACTGCAGTGCCATCTGCCGGGCTGATTTGTGAATCTAAACCATTCCCAGATCCCCTTGAACACACACAAAAAATTTCATCAAAATCGGTCCAGTCATTTGAGAGAAGTTCAGTGACATACACACTCACAGAAGAATTATATATATAAAGATATATTTATATTAATTATATATTTATATCAATTATATATTTATATGGTAAACCAATTTTTGTTATCTATGTAAGCAAGGTTTTACCTTATATTACAACAAGTGTGTTTGAAAAAGACTCGGGAACGTCGAACTTAAATCTTTCAAAAACAGCTAATGAATTTTGACAGTAGTCAGAAACTACGAAATTGTGAAGAATATTAAACAGTATAGAGTTGAGACAGTATTAGCAATTAAAGACTTATAGTTACCGGGTCATGTGAAGTGCATGGTCGGCAGTGGAGCCTGGCCGCTCGGCACTCGCAGCGTGGGGCCGCGCAGACGCTGGAAGCACGAGCCGCTCTCGCCCCCACCACGGTGGCAAAGCGACGCGCCGCCCCACGCTCCCCTTGCAACTTGCCGCCCGCCCAAATTGTACCTGCGACAACCAATTATAATTTATTAGTACATGTTTGTTGTAACTCGTCACGAACTGAATAAATGAAACGTTTTATTCGGGGTTCTAAGTTCGATATTAGTTGAAAATATGTGTAAGTATACACGATAGAATTTTAATTAATTAAAATAAACTGAGTCAGATTATGCGTGATGGGAAAAGTTGTCATAAGTAGCAAATAATTTATATTTTCCCTTTCTTGGCCTGCACGGTTTGTGCGCCAGCCATGCAAAAAGTTAGGAAGTGCGTAATTAGATTTATTTTATTGGATTAGAAATTGGAGCGGAATTCGGAAAAGGATTAGATAAATTTAGTATATAAGTACATAAATGGTTATTTTTTTATATTGTTATGAAAAATGAAACTGACTAAAATTATATTATACATCAATATTTATATTAGATAAAAGGACATAATTTAAAGTAGGAAAAGGAATTTTAATGGATAAAAGCGGAACGGTAAAGTCGAGTACAAGCAAAGAATATATGATTAAAAAGCAAATAATTTGACCACTCGTCAATTTGCTGGCAACAGAATCATCTGTGTGATAATATTTAATAACTAAGTTTACTGTACCATTGGATTCAAGTGCTAGTGAGGTGCACAATCCCAGTTTGTCTTTAGGCAACTTCACTTGCTTCCTCAATCCAGCGTCGCCTACCACTCTTTCGTAATCTTTGTTTGTGTACGCCAGAGTACTGTCCACACCTAGAAGTTATCATTATGGGATTAGTTTTTTTTATGTTTCAAGAAAGTAAAAAGTGAAATCATGTCACCGTTTTGATTGTACTAATATGTACTACGGTGTGTTTAATATATGTGCTAAATCCTGAATAAAAATCAATTTTACAAATATAAATATCAGGTTTTATAATATAACCAACTTCATATGAGTTTCTGGTCCTTCGATCTTTTCCAAATGGTCTCTGAAGCGGTGAATTACTATAACGTTTCTAAATATAAATAACAAATGATAAAAGTTCACTTACCGAAAAGATATTTTGCCACTCGTTTTTTGGACAGCGTGAAATCCTCATCCATTAGTATGTGTAAAGTGATGGAGTTTTCCATTAGGTGGTGGTATATAGTCGAATAGTCCAACTGAAAAAAAAAAACTTGTATACTAACTGAAGCCGGATTTACTTGTGCTTACCTACTGTGCATCTATTTATTTAGCAAGGTACTAACTTTATTTAAATTAAAAGGAACCTAGGACCAAGTCGTTCGAATTTTTCCGCCCCTCCTTTATATGCTTAAATTAGTATGCTTCTTTATATTTAATACTTGTTTTAGAATTCTTTACCAATCCCCAAGCCTAAATATTCATTTCACTGAAAAAACAGTACCTTTTTAGATAACATTCTTACCTCACTTCGGCTAGCGTCGCACTTAGTACAGGGCATAAGGAAAAGAGCGCGCGGTGCTGCCGCTCGGAACGGAAGTCCGCTCGCGAATCGTACAGCCGCGAACACGTCTGAACGAACCGTACGGTTTCCACGGACTAAGTCGCTTTTTTCTATAAAATAAATATAGACAATTATATCTAAATATATTAAATTCAAATTTGTTAATAACTAAATAAGGATTTATGTATTATTTGTGTATTTATGCAGACCGCGCAATGCTTCATGATTTAACAATCCTATACGTATTTCGAAAGGATCTGGATATTTTTCCGGACGGCCCATCTGATTATACTTAGAAAGAGTATTCTGTTAGCACTTCACTCTTAGCTTCTTCTGTAATATTGGTCTCATTTTTTTGCATTTTTAATTTATGTAAACTTATTAATTATATCTTAGAGGCCACTCTTTGGTTCTAATTTATGTAACATCTTTTTGTTTCTTATATGCGGCCATATAAGTGCGGCTATAATTAAATAAAAAAATGATAATGATAAATTTGTTATTGAAATGACGCAAGTAACAACACTACAAAATTCGACCCAATTTCCAAAGACATGTTCTAACTTATTTATCTTTTCCGAGGTTTAGAATGCTTGATACTTATGTAATAATTTGGCGTGAAATATCATATATCATGAATAATTATCTACTTATTAAAACCTAAAGTGAAACACTGTTTTAAAGAAAAAAAATCTCACCTATAGTAAATGTGTCAAAGTGTCGTGGTATGTCCACCGTATTCGTGAACAATTTATTCTGATGATACAGAGCTCGTGGTTTGCGGTAAACCCCGCTGCCTCCATACACCACTACAGCGTATCTAAAAAATTCAAAGATTTACTTAAAGTTTTAAAATATTAAGATATATTTTTTGTCTATATAAATATTGTCATGTTTATTCCGATTTAGATACCTTTTTAGAACTCCCTTAGATCAGATATATAGAGTTTTGCTAAAAAAATAATTAGTTGACTAAGCGATAATTCTATAGTTCTTATCTCAAAAATTTAGGCATGCAATGAAATAACTAAAAACTACTAGGAATCCCCAAAGACTAAATATTGAATTTTATAATTTAATATACAGGTTATTAGCCTAATCAGTTAAAAATCTTACCTGTTATCAGAGAATCCATTCTCCTGCAATTTACTGTCAAACGTGTCGATGAAGAGATCTATGTTCTTTAGTTTGCGCACGTTCTTGTTACAGTATTGAGCTTCGACGACAAATACTATGTCGGCGGATTTGGGCGGGCTTTGTAACTCCAAGAAGGATCCTTCTTCTACCGTATCTCCTTGAGGCGTTATGCATCTATACAATTAAATATTATTATTTTGTAAAAGTTGTGTCCAAAATATGAGAATTAATAATAATATAGGAACATGTCAATGGGTAATGGTAATTTCTTTATCTACTGAACCGATTTGGAAAATTCTTTTATCAATAGATTGTCACTTTATTAGTAAATATTAAAGGCTATTTATTGTACTCGAAAAATAAAAAAGGCATTTACGTGGTGTTGAATTTCTGTTTTTAGAGAAAAGTTGCAGAGCTTGATAATGGTTACAAAAACGTCAGCGACAGCATATGTCTAAACTACTGCACGAAATGAGGAAGGTTTAGGTATATAATTTTTAAGGTTAACGGGTCACGGTTGAGTGTGCGAAGCCGGGGCGGGTCACTAGTCTTATTAAAACGAAATGCAGTAGAATAGTTTTTAAATTGAATACTCACTGTACACAATGGTCCGGTATATGGGTAGGAACATGTTGTTGCCCACAAAGTTCTAAGTATGAGTTAGCGAGCGCGCACGCGTCTACGCCACGTACGCATTCTGAGTAGAATGGAAGAGCGTCGATCTATATGGAATAGTATAATATTTAAACATATTTTGTAAATACATACGTGAGGACTGTAAAAAAAGCAAGTGTACACATATTTGAATTCGAAATTTCTTCTTAAGGATTTTAGTCATAAAATGTTGCTTGGCTTTAGACCCTAAGACCTAATGCTCCCAGGGTGAATTATGGGCAATTGAAATATATTTTAAGTACAACGTCAGAATTTCTTTTCAATAAAAGTTATAGAGCATCAAATTTAAATAACTTACCACAGTGAAACATGGATGCAGAGGTGAAACTTTGTTCATAAAGAATTTGGCGCACTGTGTATCATTAAGTGGACCCCAGGTGGGCTGCGAGGAGGCCATCTGTCTCAGCAGCCAGGCATTGGCCACCAGATCGATATTCGCCCGGATAGTACTATTGGGTAGTTGTAATTCGTCGTATTGTTCATTGTTATACGTTCCTAGTAACCCGCCAAGACTTGCGTAGTACCAACCTATAGGGTAACAAAAAAAAATCGCTTATAATATATACACTAAAAAACTAAACTTAGCATACGAACTATATTATAAAATCAAGAGCTATTTATCTTCCATTCTCTGTCATTTTTGAAGTTATACTTCTTTAGGCGCGTTATGAAAAATTTATGAGAGTGAAATTTTACGATGCGCGCGCACCGTGATACAAAATTATCAGTATGGGCGCCGAGCGTGCGCGAGCGAGATGGGAATAAGACAATCTACAAGTAAAAAGAAATAGAATATGCGTGACGTTAGCAGCTATGCCAAGAATTTTGAATGACCATAATGACATTTGTAGTACCTTTTAAACAAATAAAGGAGTTTTAATTATTTTTTCAAAGAAAGTTAGCAATGCCTTTTCACAAAGACCTATTGTTACTTAGTTAAAAGGTTATGAAACATACCTAGTTATTAAATTGAATTAATAATATAATAAAATAATTATTAATATTAATTAATAATTGAATAATATACTAAATATTAAATATTGTTAAATTATTAACGTTAAATATTTATTATTAATTATTTAATATTTAAAAAAAATAAAGAAAGCCAATGAAGTATAACTTCTTACGCGCGTACATAAGTACACGCACCATTTTTTTTGCTTTAAAGATTTAGCCAACATATACAATTTATTTATATTTAAATAAATGGAAAATTTATATGAATTACGTGTCAATTTTTAATAAAATATGTCTAACACTCTTCTTAATATAACTTATGTATATCCATTCAATTGGTATTGTAGTAAAAAGTAAAAAAAAAGCTCACCATCAACTTCTAGCTTGCAAGTCTTGAAAAGAAGGTCACAATGTACCTCCAGTCCGGTCTTGGTCTCTATATGAATTGTATCGGCTTGCCTATCTACGATGAAGTTTTCTATAGACGCCGGTAAGTTTAGGGGCTTTGATCGGCCGAGTGAAACTTGCTGCAAAAATATTTTTGGTTATTTCGAAAAAATTACAGTTTTTACGATAAAGGAAAATATTGTAAAGAAACCAGCCACAAAAATTGCCGGCGTGTCATGCACAGAAAACTTATATTCTTGACCATAAGGAACAAATGATACGAAAGATAGATAGATAAGAAACAGAGACCATGAGTTGTAGAGCCGACAGACTTTGTTACATCCTTACACAGTGAATTTTTTAAATCTTTCTTTTTAACGCACAATTAGGGTTAGTTAGAGTCGGGTCTTAGCATAAGTCATTACTTCCGTATGTCAAAATTCAATACGTTTTTGACATACGGTAGGAAAACTTATATACTTAGCGCTACGTCTGAAATGGATGTTAAGGATGCGCTTTGCGATGAGACAACCTTGTCTCATGTATCACTATGATGATAGTTATGCTAACCTATTTGATGGGATTACAAAAATAAATTATTAAGAAATATATGTAAAGAAATCATTATATTTCTTAAATTAGATTTTTCTTAGATAAGTTTCTTTAGATTATTATCTATCTTGAGTTATTAGATGTTTCATTTAGTTTGTTTATTAGTCTGTGGAAAAGAGGCTTTTTTTGTTTGTCTATGTATGTTAGTCATTTCAATTTGAAATCAAAGATTTTTTGTTAGTACATTTTGGAAGTGATTTTCACGTAAAATACAAACTCTAAATGTTGTTTCTTAAAATACATATTTATGCAACACATTTGAGTTTCATTCATCATATATATTTTAGAGAGTTATATTTACCTCCTTATATAGATCGATATAAATAAGCGATCGTCTAGTTAAAACGACCAAATCATATCGACCCTGGTCGTTGCTCTCCATAAGAACTGTGAAATTGTTCTGTCTGTAGTCTTTGGTTAGTAAGAAGGTTCCCGGCTGAGATATTGTGAAGACCTCCTTGTCAAATGTTACCAATGTACCTTGACCTGTCATCATTGCCATACCTGCAAGTTGAATAATTAAATAAATAACGAAAATTAAAAAAAAAAAACAACATTTAATACTTTAAAGAAAACACTTTTTTTAACGGATTGAAGCTATGTATTATTATAAACTTATAATTATTTTACATAATTTTAAATTTAACCGACGTTTCGTGTGCTTTACAGCGTGCGTGGTCACGGTGACTGAAGACAAAAGGTGTTGAATGTCAAAAACTATCAGAGCTGTAGAAAAAGTTGTATTATCTGTATTTATTTCCCCGGAGTTGATATCGACCGTTAAAAAAGTGTTTTCTTTAAATGTGTAAAAGTTATGTTAATAAAAGACAATACTATTTAAAAGTTATTAATACTTACCAGCAAACGGTGGTAGGATATTATTAAAATCCAAATATGGCCGTATTTCATAGTAATACGTCCAAATGCTCTTATTACTTGTGACCCATTCATCAAGGAAGTCTCGTACTGCCTTATATTCAGCGATTTCAGTGAAATCTGGAGTTTGGTTAAATGCGTGCCAGGACATTGGGAGTTTTTGTTCGAGGAGGATTTTGCCCTTATGTGGGTCGAATATGAAGTTTGTTTTCGGTGTACGGTGTCTGTAATATTATTTTAAAAAAGAAAGATTATTAACATATAGAACGGGCAACGCATTTAACATTTCATGATGATCTTAAAGCATTTGTTAAATATTTAATTTCTCCATAGATTTGTTAAACAGATCTATTACTGTCCAATTAATATAACGAAGAATCAAAACTAAACTAATTTTTAGGTATGTCAATCTACTATTAGGGATAATTGAATGAATGGCTTTAAATGACTAACACGTTAGACAAAATTATAAAAGTAATAAAATTATAGGGTACAAAACAACGCCTTGAAACGAAAATAGCATCTAAAATAATTGTTCAATCAATAAAACCAGCGGTTAGAAAGCCCATTTCAAGAAAATATTGTTATTGTACGTCTAACACTAAAAACGTATTTTTTTTATTATATAGAAATGTTCTCTACTTAGGTTTATAATACTTACAGTTCCTCATATTGAAGAGCAGTTTTGGCGAAGTCCGTTACTTTTTCATATAAAATATCCCATAGAGAGTCCAAGGCGTCGCCGATCATGAAGTAATCGTACCACCATTTTAATCTAACGTATGCTTCTTTACACTAAAAGGCAAAGAAATAGTGGCTTTAAAATCATGTTTGATTTTTCGTAATACAATATAAATTTATTTAAAACTGGAATAAAATCGAAATCATAGTTTACAAGAACCCTTTTAATACGCTTTTGGAATCTACGACTCTGCGTACCTACGTAACGTACTGAGTACGTACGCATTTTTTTTTTTAAACAATTCACACCAATTGACCTAGTCCCATGCTAAGCTGGTGAAGCTTGTGTTATGGGTACGAGGCAACGGATATACATACATATTATAGATAGATAGACATATAAATACATATTTAAACACCCAAGACCTAAGCACAACACCAAATGCTCATCACATCGATGTTCGTCTCAGCCGGGGATCGAACCCGGGACCCATGGATTCGCAGTCAGGGGTAGTAACCACTAGACCAATGAGTCGTACGTCATTACGCACGTAATGTACGCACTACGGGTGTAATGCACTAAATTTACCTTTTCTCTAACGTAAACAACTTGTGGCGTTTCTAAGAAGTTTTCCCAAGCAGTTTTAAACTCGTTGTACAACTGTTTGAACTCTTCAGTGAATGGTATATATTTCTCGATTTTACTCCAAATGACATTCCATAGTTTTCTTGTGTATTTCTTTACATTCGTAATTATATCGTTGTTCATTAGGTCTTTGTAGATTCTGAAAAAAACGAGAATAGATAAATTGTGTGATGTTCTGTACTAATAGTTTGTGTTGCTTTTGTATTACTGAGACCGTTTATTTTTTAAAATCTATTTACATAGATATATTGAAGTAACGCTAGCTTTTATGATGTCAGATTTTTGCATCGTACTTTTTTATTGCCAAGTATGAGGTGATCCTTATCTGATTTAAAAAAAAGTGCGTGCGTACAAAGTACACATGTCAGAAGTGAAACTTCTTTGGCAAACTAATTTTTAACTCTTGTTTATATTTATACAAATCTAAAACTTAGGGAAAAAGGAAGATATGTTAGGAATTTAATGAATTTAATTTATTTATTCGATGATAAAAACACGTGGCACTTTAATTTACAATAAGTAATTTGAGATATTAATAAATTATTTTGAATAAAACATAAACTATTTCATAAATTAATAATTTTAATTTTAAAAATAGAATTTCTATAAGGTAATTCGCCCTTCTCACTCTCTCCCTTAATCGGTCTCAATCCCTCTCTCCCTTTTTTTCAAAAACGCTGCACATTTGCGTGACGTTCAGTAAAAATTTTACTCTCATGCGCCTAAAGATGTTTCACTTCAAAAATATGAAAGTGAAGCTGTTAATACTTACTTGTCCATCTCGTGTCCAAATGTAGAAACATAATTGAAATATGGCGTGTCCGTTAATTCATGTGTCCTCTCGTGGAAGAAGTCCATGACCTCTTTCCAAATAGCTACAACGAACGCTTCTGTGTAATGCACTATCTTGAAGAACAAAGGCTCTATGGATTTTAACAACTCATGCCAGTATTTCGACAATCGAGCAGTCGCATTAACCCAAGTCTCCTCCCAATACTCCAAGAACCGCATATGCAAGTCCCTAACGAAGTTATCGTATTGTAATATTATTGCTTCCAATCTCTCCGATACTAGTTCCATCAAATCGGCTTCCAGCACTTTGTTGACGGACTCCAAGAAGTTCGCGTACGCCTTTTTTATAGACTCAATCACGTACGTCAGACTATCTTTGATGGATTGACTAGTGTTACCCATCATTCCCCACATATCATTCACGAAACCGGGCAAATTCTCCAAATGATTACGTATAGCCATCTCATCTAGCACATAATAGGTGAATTCAACTATATCCTTGACGTAAAAGTCATTCTTGCTGTAGGATTCGTTCAAAAATCTTTCGAATTCGTCCAAGTCGTCCTTAATTACGTGTAAATCATTCAAATCGTCAAGGAAGTCTCTGACTCTCGGTTTTGCATCGCTCCAGATGTTTCGTAATGCTAAATGTGCCTCCATAGGAACTTCCTTTATAATAAGTAGGGTTTCATTGATTTGAGCATATATTATTTTTAATGAAGATACAGCTTGTGATCTGATTTCCCCGAATATTTGTGGACGCCACACAAGTGAGCTGGTCAGTAATCGGGAATGGTTAAGGCGTATGTAGGAGGCTATGTCGACGGTTGTGATGTCATCATAGTTCCTCCAAGCGTTAAGTTGAGCGGATCTAGTGTCAATGATTTCGCCAATTAAGTGGAACGAAATATCTGGAAAATGGTAGAAAAGATTAGAAGACCTTAAATTACTTTTTAATTATTAAAAAATATGCATTGATTTCATCTTGTGTACCAAGTTCCCGTACTTAAAAGTTTTTTGATACATTTTAAAGTAGGATAAAACGCTACAACGCAATGACGACAAGTATACCAGTTTCCTTAAGTATATCTAAAGTAAAAATAGATTACCCTAATAACATACCATCAGTACTATTATAGTGAGCAATTAATGCTTTATCAATCATAGAGAGTTGAGCGATAGTCGTATCGTTAGCATCTGGTCGTTCGACGAAACCTCGAACTTGGTACAGGGGATACACTAACGACCATGTACCGTTCACTTTGTAGTAGTAAGTCTCATTTACGCGCTGAAATATATGAACAAATCAAATTAAACACTTATTTGTTAATTAATTAAGAAATAAACATTAAAATGAACGAAAAATACAGGTTATGATAATTCTGACCATATTTACTTAAAATTAGGAGATTAAATGACAGTGGTATGTTAAGAAATTAAAAAAAAAAAGGGTGCGTGTACTTATGTACGCGCGTAAGAAGTTATACTTCTTTGGCATTATTAAAAATAGTTTTTGATTGCATGCAAATAATTAATTACAATTAAATAATCAAAGACTGGAAAAGGAGTCATTATAGTCAATAAAGTTCAGTTTACATTTGAAAAATTAAATAAATATTTATTATTATTCTCTTACATTAAGTGTAACATAAATTCTATTATTATTCGAATGTTGTTTTTAAATTATATCCAATGCCGTAGCATCTTCCGTGGGCAACTTCATTCTGTTAATTTTGTGTCACGGTGCGCGCGCATCGTAAAATTTCACTCTCATCAATTTTTCATAACGCGCCTAAAGAAGTATAACTTCAAAAATCACTTACCTCCCAATTAACAGAACTTTTATTCAAATCCACCAACAGCTTATTACTCCGAAGTTTTTCATAGAATAATGACTTTTGGAACTTGTAGAAATTGCTCAAGTGATACCATCTGCTTTGTATGTTTATATCACTGTTCATATCTAGATCCAAATTCGTGGATGGATGAGTGCATTTTAATGAAAATTTGTAGTCACGTATTGGTCCGTTTGAATTGTCTGTTAGTATCGAATTGAGTTTCAGGTATTCGTTGTCATAATCCGAGTATTGTAGTTCTAGTGATATATTGGACATGACCACTGGCGAACTTAGGTACTGGCCTTTTAAAGTTACGTCCTGGAAATAAATAAATGTAGCAACACTTTTAGGAATTTACCCATACATTTATGTGAACCGACTTTTATATACCATATTGATTACGATAATTGAAGAATATCTAAGTATACATTGGTATTGGTATGTTATCTAAAGCTGACGGCTTCGACACATTTACACTTTGTGCTTGTGTAGTGTCTGTGAATAAGCGCGAGGCGTTATGTCAAACTGAATAACATATATTTACTGTACATGTTGATCTTTTTTCTTATTATTATTTTGTCTGTGATTGTTTACTTATTTGGTTGGAGGTTAGAATACTTTGAAAAAAATGTCTTATGAAATATATTCCGTCTAAACATTACCAGGACAATCTCGTGAAATGGTGCACAATGTTTTTAATTATTTTAAGCATTTTAATAAAAACAGTTTAATGAAAAAATGTTATTTTTAATTTGACATCAGATGCGACTGGGGTTTCTAAGAAGAGTATTGAAAGAATTGTTAGTGAAGTGTGTTGAGCTAGATGGAGCTTATGTCGAAAAATGAAAAATTATTTACACAAACTACTCTTTTACGTTCTTGGTCGGGCTTAGAACTTTTGGATCCACCCTCGTATGCACATAATTTTTATATGTATTTGACACATTTTATTTATTTACAACCCACTCAACCTTACTAAAACTAGAGTAGACAAAAATATATAGCTTGGCAAAAAAGTCATATTTTTAAACATACTGTATAGTGAAATTTCATTAGTGTGAGGACTGTGAACGCGCCAGCTTTCGATAAACAACATATAAGTCATACTTATGACTATACTAATGACAAATATATGTAAACTTAAAATTTTGACATATTGTTAATTTCGCCTCTGCTCTCTGAACTTGAATCTGATTTTTGTTTCCAATAGCTCAAACGTCTTCGATTACAGCAAAATTAACATTACAAGTAAATAAAACCGGTAGGATATCAATAGAAAGAATACCTTCTTAAAAGACGGATGCGATAACGCAAAGTTCACGTTGTGCAAATTTCCCTCTGGATTCGGGGGATTTTCCCATTTACCACTTATTTGGGCAGTTTTGTTCTCGGCCCTCACATTCCATAGAAGATCTGCTTTTCCATCCACCAAAGAGTCTTGAAGATGGTATATTGCAGCCACACGGAAATTACGCATTGGATATTCAACATCCATTACTATCTCTTGCGATTCTGTTTCGTCCTGTTAAAAATAAATTTTCTTGACATTAGGGTGGAGATTACCATAATCCTCTAAATATATATGTATATTTTAAAATACTGTTTATTGGATTAAGGCATCGTCCTGTTTTTATTAAAGGAATTGAAAGAGTAAGAAGGTTTTAATGTTTTAAAGTGAAATGTTACGTGAAATACAGTTTGATACGTTTTTGGTACGTGTACGTTCATTTCCTCTCAGAATTTACACGTACGTATTTCTTTACTATTGAAAAATTCGTTTAGCGATTACGATACTTGGTTTATAGCTTTGGTTCGATATCTCTCGAAATAATGATTGTCTTTGGTAGAAAGAGAAGGCAAACTTATGTTACATCAAACACTAGAAACTATAAAAACTTACCACACTCATATTAGTAACATGGATATTATATTGTATCCATACATCTTCCGCCCATGTTAATTTGCTCCCCTGGGTCAGTTCGCGATCCTTAGCTTCATATTTATTGTCGAAGGTCCAGGTTCGATTACCCTGGATGGCTGTGAACTGCATCTTCTTGCCAATGTCGTACGTTTGCACATCTAATTTCCCAGTAACGTTGAACTTAGTGGCATTGTGTAAATGGAATACTGTAGCTTGTTTTACGTCCTGTAAATATTCTATTATGTACCACAAACATTCAACAGATAAAAATAACGTTCGGGGTTCTTGAAGTCGGTTAAAAATGGAGCAATCCTCGGTTATTGAAATGAGTATAATCGCTAAGACGGCAACACTTTCAATATTGATAAGGTTTTGTTAAATTTTTATGTTTTTTTTCTAAAAACTCTAAAATCGATTTTTCGTAATATCAACTTGGTACTGGAACATAACAATAATAAAATGAAAGAAAAGTTGTTCTTAATATATATCGGAGTATATTTACCGTATTTCCTGAATCATCATATTCGTGTATATACTTAATTCCCACTGGCGTATGTTCGTTTTCGACCTCTATATCTGTGGTAGCAAGGTCCAAGTTCCTGTCGCTCTTACTAAGTATCTGATTAAAGCTTCCCTTAACGAATCTTTCAGAGTCAAAATCGATTGTGGTATTTCCATTGCTCCATTTGTCTCCTTGTATGTAGAAATACTCTGTGTTAACTAAGTGTTGAGTACTCAATGGAATTGAAAGGGCAATAGTGCCCGTTTGTGTGAAGCCGTCCTGCCGTTTTTGGTAAGTATGAGTTGTATTTATTGACGTGGTGTGGTTCGGCCAGAATAAGTCAACTTTGTTGTCTGATATCTCTTCCAGGTTGTTAATCTGAAATGGTATTAAAAAATATGAACGGCAATTATATTTAGAAATTTCTATGATATTAAGAATAAACCTAGTAATGGGGGTAACAATTGTCACCAAGATAATTCTTGCAATCAGTGGCGTAACTATATCATCTAGGGCCCGTGGCAAATTTTTTTGATGGGGCCCTATCAGTAAAAATCGTCACGTACTCAGTTTATTTTAATAAACTTCGAGATTTTCAGCGTACACGTTGTATATGTCCGACTAATGGCTATAGGCCTCCTATCTTAGGCGATAGGGAATGGTCTGTAGTCCCCACGCTAGCCAAATGCGTATTGGAGACTTCACATTCATCAATAGAACATAATATCTCTTGGGCAGGGTCCCTCTTGGGTCGGAGCCTGTGGCATTTTGCCAGCCCTGCCTGCCTTGTTACGCCACTGCTTGCAATATCTGTCCTACCGTCCTTACTGTCTAGAGGACATCCTAGACCCACATATTTACTAGCAAAATAAAATTAAGCCTGTCCTGGTTATGGACTTTTGAAATGAGATAAATCATTTAACGATAGTGTTTTTGTCGAAAGTAAACCGTCTAAATAATTTGTTAAGCGAATGTGCTGTTATTTAAATACAGAACTTCACATTTCTGATGTGTTAAGATTAGGTATCTAACCGAATAATCGTTCGAAAAAAGAAATGATATTCAAAAACAAACCTAAAATCTTTCTAATAATATAAAGCCCGTTTTATTTCCAATCATGACAAAAACAAATTATAATACACAGCTTAGATTATTTTACATTTTAAGAAAAAAAAATTGCTTGTTATTCTATATTCTAGCTTCCTTCAGTACCGTCGATCGGAACCCCTTCACGGGTAAAGGCCTCCTCCAGCTTTTTCCAACTGACTCTGTCTATGGCTCTCTTTCTCCATTCGTTTCCTGCTACTTCTTAATCTTTCTAATATGAACAACAAATCGATTCGAATGTTTACCAAGCCCAAAATATTCTTAAATAAATGAAATTAAAAATCTACTTACATCAAATATTGACTTCAGCCAAGGCAACCTCGAAAACGGTGTGGACATATTAAAATGTCCGTCGGAATGCTTCAACCCTCCATATCTAATGTCAACTTCACCAGTTTGACTACTTCCTGGCTGATGCATACGGCCTCTAAAAAATAAAGAATTTTTTTTAACGAAATATTTTTTTTTATTGATGTAAGTAGATTTATGAGCAGTGTTGGCCTAGTGGCTTCAGCGTGCGACTCTCAGCCCTGAGGTCGTAGGTTCGATCCCCGGCTGTGCACCAATGGACTTTCTTTCTATGTGCGCAATTAACATTGCTCGAACGGTGAAGGAAAAGAAAACATCGTGACGAAATCGACATGTCTTAGACCCAAAAGGTCCACGGGGTGTGTCAGGCACTGGAGGCAGATCAACTACTTGCCTATTAGATTTAAAAATGATCATGAAACAGATTCAGAAATCTGAGGCCAAGACTTAAAGGGGTTATAGCGCCACTGATTTATTAATACTATGAATATAAAAGAAAAGGGCTTTGTATAAATAAGGAACATCAACAAGCACTGAGTTAAATTTGTACTAAAATTAATTTTAGAGAGAGCTAAATTAAATTTATCGTGGCAAATAAATCATAGAAGAGATTTTGGGGAGAGATCCAGATTCTGCGTGTTACTCGGACTCAGGTATGTGAAATCCAGTAGTTTTTGACTTACTGAAGTCGCATTAGTGCTAAATTTCAACACTGCAAGACTCTTGGTACCCTTCATAAGAAACAAAGAGTTATATTAAATGAATAAAAAAACTTACTTGACAACATGATAATCGTGCAACATGTCTTTTTGATATGAACCCTTCAGAGTAAAGGTAGGTTCCATTTCATAAATCGGTGTATTTAATACATAGTCTATATATTTAGATCCATTGACGTCCCATTTATATGACACTATGTTGTCAACGTTTTTGTATACAGAATTGGAAGTCCAAGTGATGGTGGAATTTCCGTCGAAGCTTTCTTCGAGTTTGATTATCTTGAATTCAGAAAATTTATAAACAATTTACTTTGTATTCTATTAACATTGATTTGTATGGACTCACGTGATCAGGCGTCAGGTAACGTCAATCCAATCAATTATCAATAAATTTGGATACATTCGATAGGGATATTAAGGAAGGTTCCCCTTACGACTTGATTATTTATTAAAGTTTTTAATGGTGAGACATAAAGTGGCAATTTGAACAAAATCAGAAGCTGACGTTCCAATGAGGTTAGTATTAGAACAAATTAGAAAAACCAACCTTTCCTTGAATCCCAGCAATAATTTTAGTGACATCAGTCATATATTTTGCGTCAACATTATATCCCGGATCGTTTTGTTTACCGCCATTTCCGTCTATGTACAGGGTGTGTACATCTACATTCGGCTTCGGAAGTATCGCATTTATGATCAAATTAATACGACGGTCCATTATAAAGCCGAATGATGCATTTGCACCGATTCTAGAATTCAGAGTTTCTTTAGACTACTTAAATTAATTTGAGCGGTGTTGGCCTAGTAGCTTCAGCGTGCGACTCTCATAACTGAGGTTATAGGTTCGATCCCTGGCTGTGCACCAATGGACTTTCTTTCCATGTGCGCATTTAACATTTGCTCGGACGGTGAAGGAAAACATCGTGAGGAAACCGACATGTCTTAGACCCAAAAAAACTCGACGGCGTGTGGAGGCTGATCACCTACATCATGAAACAGATTCAGAAATCTGAGGCCAAGACCTAAACTGTAGCGCCACTGAATTATTTTTTACTTAAATTAATAAAGATAATATAAGGCTACCTATCCATGTCTAAATAGTTAAGGGGAGTATACCTAATGTTAATTTAAATTTTATAGAAGTTAGTATTAGCTAAGTAAATTCATTATTTATAGACTATGGAGGCCAAACTTTATAAAAGTAGTTTTTTAATGTTGTTAGAAGAATGTTTAAATAGAGTTTACCATATTAGCGGTAATTGTTATCAATAAATATCGCTTACTGCCAAACTTTATCAAGATCCATTCTGAATCCAGCATTGGTTTTCGGAAGGCCTTCCACTGTATTATTGCCAAAGAAAATATCTAGGTCCACGCTCCTCTGTATTTCTTTTACTAGTTGATGACCGAGTGCCTGATAATATAAAAGTGAGTTTGTCTTAACAAAGTGGACTAAAGAGTAGTATTTCATCATTTTATTATAAGAGAGAAGACTCATTATCAAGGGTAAATATTTCTACAGAATAAGAAGCGTGGCTGTTCTACGCCGCATCATTAGTATTATTGTTTTAAAACATTGAATGATCCATGTGAACCGGTTTTTCTGAACTGCAGATGTAAATAAATATGATATTTCTGACAATTCAATGTTAAATAGTTATTCAAAACTTTCGGAAGTCGTAAAATAATGTTAACTGTACCCGTATGTAAAGATCGTCAAGGATAAAACTCCATTTTAAATCACCATCTCCCTCTATTTCTGGCAGCTTATATTTCCCAAGTAAATATCCCGATTTGGGTCCGAAACTGTAAGCAATTGAATACATTTTTTAAATCAAAACGTAACAGATTATAGAACAGTTTTTTTATTATGGCAACATTGTCACTAAGATGCTTAACGCCATACAATAAAGATATAGTTGCGCCTTTGGTCGAATGTTTTACTAGAACCAGAGACGCCAATCATACCATCTATGAAGTATGCAGTTCTATTAGTGACAGGTTGACGATGCCTTGTCCTTTCCTCTCATTTTTATCTATTCGGTGCCGTAAATACTTAAATAACGTCTCAATAAAATAAAATAAACACAATTACAATCGAAACTTAGACATAAATTAAACACATTTTCTGTTTTAGTAAGCTTTTTATAGATTAGAAATTAGAATTCCTTCGCGACCAGGACGAAACAAATGCTAACTTTTATTGCCGTAAGAAAGTGCATGTAATATTAAATTATCTGAACATTTAAAGCAAGTATACTCACACGAAATCAGTGTCTCCCTTCACATAGCTGAGTCTTTGTATGGGCGTGGCGGCCTGTACACTCAAAACTCGTCGTAATCCGGGGTAACTGTCCACTCGCGCCTTAAAGTATACTTCGCGACCTTTCACTTGTGGTATGTCCACCTGAGATGTATTATTACTTTTAATTTTTAAAATCTCATTTATTTGAAGCACAGAAAATTTATGTAAATCAACTTAGTTTAACTTCAGAAGGGACAAACCAAAATTAGGATTTTTATAAAAATATTCACTTATTAGATTTATCGTACTGCAAGTCTATAATTAAGTAAAGCTTAGGTTTCCTAGAAAAGCGGTGGCGTTAACTAACGGCCGTCATTTTACGGTTGTTAATGATATCCTTACTTTTTAACATAATGCAAAAAAACATCATTTTCGCTCATCCAAGTCACGTTTCCACTCATTGTATTAATTAAATTTGGGCACCGCTACACGCGAAGAACGTTGAACTAATGTTTATCACCGCTATGACGGCCGTCATGCAAATGACAGCACCGCTATTTGACGTTACGGTGACACTCAACGTTCTCTAGGAAACCTACTCCAATGTTATTTATAGACAACGTATGCTTTTCTAGAAAACCTAAGCTTAATGTCCAGGAAAATATTTAACTTTTGCTTTCAATGTAAAATTCTGATTTACAAAAAAATCAAGAAAATAAATTGTTTTATTTTAATTTACTGACAGTTCTCAAATCAAGAGCTGACATGAGAAAAACTGACAATAAAATGTCTTCCACTATCTTTAAGATGTAATATAATCAATAAAACAAATTAGCACCGTCTTAATCCCGGATTATTATTACTATAAGCAATATATGGCTGGGTTTTACAGGATATTTTCTATAGCGAATCTCGAATGTGCGTTTCAATACTGATACTTTGGACATTGAACCACGAGTTTGTATGACTCAATAACTATACTCCGATTTTTCATTCCGTAGAATTCTTACATTTCATAAGTGTTGCTACTAAAAAATATCTCCACCGAAAAGGGACAAATTTGACTTATTTGAGGGCAATAAAAAATGCTACGTAATTTTTATGTTTACCTACAAAAAATCACAAATATTTCAATATCACGAACAGTATATCGAATTAACTTTAACTACTTTATTTTATTATTTAGCTGGCATCACTGCCTACTAATTCCAGGTTAAGTAAACCTTTTTGAAGAAATAAAATGTTATCATTACTTGTGCATTTTTTACTGTTTGTGATGAAAAGGGACGTAATTACCACTCCCCGTTAAACCACTTTAAATGTGGAGCACTGCACTTAATAAAATGGATACATTCACTAACAAATAAAATGTATGTATAGACTGATAAATATATATTGTATTGAAATTGAAAAATGTGCTCGGCCAAAAAGGTTTGCCATCTCTGACATTTAAAAAAAATGATAGCTGTCAGAATTCCACGGAATTAAAAATCAGAGTTTAATTTATTTTGTCATATAATGGTTTCTTACCTTAAAATATATGTCTGTGAAATTAGATTCGAACTCTGCCTTGGCGTGTACCGTGGACTGTATGGGGCCTGTTATATGCGCTGATAAGCCATATACCGTTGGACTGGTGTCATATTTGGCTCGAATTAAAATTGGTGTTCCTTGACCCTTGGGTACCAGAGTTAATGTCAACTAGAAATAAAAAAAATATTAACCACCAAAGAAACACAGGACACATTTGGTCTCTATCATGCCCATTATTAAGCATGATTGTTTTATTTTTAAATTCTGGTTAGTAGAAATGTAGTCTTTATAGCGTTGACTTAAGGTGTATTTTACTTTAAACTTCTATATATCGTTTTAATTTTGCAACAAATCACATGAGCTATTCAGCTACCAATATAAAAGTGTATTTTTCACCCTTTTTAGTGATTGCGTTTTGCGGAGGAGTATGCTCTTTTTTATAAACAATTGGGAAATAAAGTTCGCAAAAGAAAATGTCTAGAGGAGCGGATCGTGGAAGACTTCCAGCCTACGGTGATAAAACAAGGCAGGAGTGATCAACCCATACAACTCTTGAGAACACTCTTCATAGCACACTTTGTAGAATACGCATAGAGACGCAATGTCTCTGTGTAGAAAGAACGAATCAAGGCAGAAATTTTAATTTCAAAATAATCTTCAATGAGATCTACGACGTTTTCAATCCGATCCCCTAGCTCGTAACAATAATATTAAGTCACCTCAAGTGGTTGTCTATTAAGTATCTTGCCAGTAATGCCATATTCGGATGTGTCCGTCACAAATGAACCGCGTATATTGTCTCCATCAAATTCACTAACTATTTTCACAGCCCTGAAAATAGTAATTAATAATGTAAAATATAATAATTAAATAGGATATTAATAATATTTTTTTTCCACGTCGTACTACAACAAGCAACAGTTATCTATGCCAACATATATCAACTACGTTAATATGTAAATAAATGAAAATGTTTAGAAACCTAGCACCCTCAATAATACTAATTCAATCGTTTTAACTTAAGTACCCATCTATCTCTTTTCATCACAGAGCTAACAGGATTCGACAGAAAGAGACGAAAGATAACTTTAGTTAAAACTAAACTGATTTACTTTTAATGAATAAGTGAGTATTTTCACAGATACCTAAATCCTTTATGCGGACTGCTCAAAGCCACATTCAGAGACGAAGGCCATTGGGCAGCTTTCAAGGAATAATAATTCTCTTCACTATTAAGGTCCACAGTGAGGGATTTTTGATTATTTTCATCACTATAAAGTAATGTTACATCTGCCGGAGACAGAATAGGTGATAATGCTCCACGCGCTTTAAAACGAACGTTCATTTTTGGTGACGGACGCCATACAACGTCTGCGAATATCTAGAATTTTTTTTAAAATAAATGTTAGTGTAAGAAAACGAATAAGTAATGTTTTAAGATAAGGTGTCAAAAAAACTCAAATACGGCAGTATAATGCGTAAAATTTACGAGATTTTTTTGGATTAACATAATTTTACTATTTTATAAACTAGACTGGGTCGCGTTTTAAAAATAAATTGGCAATGTTTAAATGGATTTTGAACACATTTTTTTTTTGTAATTTTATTTATTAAGACACAAACACTTGACATCACGAGTACCAATACAGAATACAGTTAACCAATCTCAGGATTTTCACTACACTACTATTATTTAAAATAATATAGATAAAATACACATTAAAGACTGCAAGTATGTTCGTTAATGAACGGGTACGTAAATGAATATAACAAGATATATGCTTCTTAATAACTTAAAACTTCTTACAGATTCAGTAATGTACTTACATAATTACTATGTTCACCCTGAAGGACTTGAATGCCTCCACCAACAACGTTTTCCACATCAGAAAAGTCTTTTTTGAACTCCATTTTTATGAAATAATCTTCTAGGTATACGGACGTTAAGTTCAGACTGCCAGACGTTTCAACGAAAGGGTCATCTAACTGCAATTGAATAAAATGTATATATGAAAATTTTCACTCAGAAAAGGCATATAAAAATTATATTTTTAAATATATCAATTTTACCTCAAGTCGGGCAAGAGCAGTGACAGTAAAGGAAGGCATGGCAATATCAGCAGACATTTTCCATAGAGCATCCTCTAATCTAGCGGAAACTCTTGCTTCTAGAGCGGGCAACACTGCCAGTGGTGTTGCTATACCAACAGATGCTAAATACGACTTGTAGGCATCATCTTCGCCATTTTCGTATTCATAATAGACTTTGTACGATATCTGTAAGCATATTAAGTGAAATATTTAAAATGAATTCATGATATTCTCTTTCATTCTAGAAAAACATCGATTGTAAGATTAAAGACAAGGAGTCACACGAACTTTTAAACTACTAATTAATTGCTTTTAACAATAATAATGACTATGGAATAACGACCATGGAATAGTCGTTGATTATCTGGCAATATTGGCAAATAAATAAATAAAATTAATAATACTACTATTAACGGTTTTTGAACTGACATCACTTCATCGTTGTTCGTTAATAAGCCTTTTGACAGACAACTAGGACATAATATATAATTCCAGTAAATAGTATAAAATTAATTTAGATGAATATTAATACTATGGAGTCATAGTATTGTCTTTGATTAACATAACTTTTATTCATTTAATAAAACACTATTTTGACCGGATTGAAGTTATGTATTATAAATAATATAAATCATTAAAAAAAAAGAAGGAAATGTATATATGAATATTATATTATTCCACTTTATAGTAAATATGCAGCAATTTGGTCATACGTATTAATGTTAAATTTAAGTTATCACACCGATATAAATTATATACAATTTTGTCTATATATATAAGCTGTTATCGGAATCTGCGATTTTTAAATTATACTACTTTTTAATCCATTAAATTGTTTAATAATCTTACCTCGTGCCAATAAGTTCCGTTGTATAACAAGGCGACACAGGTAACATTGAATTTCTCCCCAATGGCAATGTCCACCGTATACACCGATTTAACCTGTTTCATCATTTGATATGGCGTCACTAGATTCAGTGTATTACGGAAGACCGTATATTCCTGTAAAAAAAGACACTTATACAATTTCACTGTTCAAGGTTCCAAATATGCACACATATATATAAATATATAGTACGCGTATGCGTCAATTCTAGTTTCTAACAGCTTAATAAGAATACAACGTATTCTTCCACGGCTCTTTTCAAGGGAAATTTATTGATTTACGCATTGTACGTGCTATGGCCTGTGACACGTTAACATCTTAGTTTTCAAGTAGACCAATTAATTTTTGAAGTGAAACTTCTTTAGGGTAAAATTTTTGCGGATGAAACGCAATGATAATAATATAAGCGTCACGAAGATGCAACGTTTTTGTCGAAAAAAGGGAGAGAGCGTTTGAGACCGATTGAGAATTTATGAAATATTAGTATTGTATATTTTATGCAAAATAATTTATTGAAATCTCAAATGACGAATTGAAAATTAAAATGCCACGTGTTTTTATTATCTAAGAAATAAATTAAAACAAAAAAATTATAATTTGTATTAATTTTCGACACTTAATATTTTAATGATAATTAAAATCATTAAATTCCTAACATCTCTTCCTTTTTCCCTGTCTCTGAGTCTCGGAAATCTAAAGTTTTAGATTTGTCTAAATATGAACAAGACTTAAAAATTAGTTTGCCAAAGAAGTTCCACTTCTGATACTTTGTATGCACTCACTTTTTTATGAATTTCTACTTTGCACAACAGACAAATTTAGTATAAAAAACTATTTTCTTTTTCTCGCGAATAAAACCACCTAGATGCCTGCAAGTTCAAGGTAGGTCATATTTAGTCAATTTTTTTTATTTAAATTATTTTTTTAATGTAAATTATTTTTTTAATGTAAATTATTTTTTTAATGTAAATTATTTTTTTAATGTTACTTATTTTTTTAATGTAAATTATTTTTTAAATGTAAATTAGATGTACCTCAAGGATGAAGAGATCTGTCAGCACTATCGGGGTTTTGTCCGGTAAGTGAAGCGTTGCGTTCGCTTCAATTATGTCTTCTTCATCAGGACCCACATACTGTAAAAAATATCTTCGTAAGTGTGTTCGCAAATACACATTATACACACACAAGCAGTAACGGACATCTTAAAGATCACTGATAAGATAGGAAAAAATATTGTTATATACAATTTACCTTCATGATATGGCCATGGAACTTGATAGTCGGCAAATACAGAGTATCCAAAGTGACAGTTGCGGCCGTGTCGAAATTTTCTACGATCATATCCGGGTCGCTGGGCTTGCGTTGAATGCGATCGTTGATCACTTCTATAAGTCCTTTGCCGTTGTCCACTAGGAGGATAGCCACGCCGAACTGAAATCAAAGAAGCAAAGTTGCTTAACTTAAATAAATAAAGTTCTAAGAACTACAGAAAAGATATATTATTATACATAAGTATATTATACCATAAGTAAGTTTAGGTAAAATTATCATGTTCATTTGAGACTCTCTGAATCATTAATAAAAACAATATTGGTCTTGCCGCATACGCATATTTTTTGGATAATCTTATAGAGTTACGATTAATCCTATTTTTTTTTAATATTAAAAGCTGAATTTTTTGGTGATATAAAAAATAAACGTTGGTGATTCGGTGGTGATAAAAAAAATATTTTTACGTTTAATTAATTTTGAGAACTGACCTTATGTTTAGACAACCTCACTGACAGCTCAGTATCCAATCCCTTCCCATACACATTTTTCAGTACTAAACCATTTTCCTCAAATCCATCAAGGGGTGTATATAATTTGTACACATATGTAAAGTCTAAAAGAGACCGCCATTGCCAAATTCCGGTGAAACCAAAGTCCATGGAGTCCCAACCAACTCTGAAGTCCACCTAAAAAGTAAAAAAAAAAATGATTTTGTTTAAAGCTTGACCTTGAGAGCAGCATAAGGGGTTCATGCTCCTCCATATTGTACAGTTGCGAGTTGAAGTGCTGAGTTCAAGCGAGGAAGAACTTCCAATGACGACCCCAAACAAGAGGCCCTACATTGTAAGTGACGGAACAAATTATTAAAAAAGTTGAACACATTGTCTGTAGAGTAGAGCAAATTAAGGAAAGAAAATTATTTAGAAAGTGTCCATAATATCATACACAACCATTTGGGTATGAAGAAAGTGTCAGCGCACCCCAGTTCATGCCCGGAATTCTTTCTGACGCGCAGAAACAAACGAGATTGCGTTGCGAAAAACTTGCGAGGAATGCCTCATAATATATCATATAAAAAAATTAATGAATTTTTGACGTGACAACGTCTTATAATTCGATGGAGCCGGCTGCACGCACGAAAAAACATGACGCATGCGGCGTTACCTCGCTCTGAGGCGTTCCATTTAAGGCTTGAAATGCAAGCGAGAGCGCGGAACGAGCGACAAAGAGGCACAATCGGCCTCCGCGTTCGGCAGCGTTCGATATCTGTGTATTTATGCGTATTTATCCGTACAAATAAATGTAACTTGATCAATTCAATTGTGATTTCCATTTACCTCGCAATGCAACCATTCCATCAGTATTTTCTTATGACGTTGTCACGTTCCACTATCGTCAGTAACCCGACTTTATAGAAAACAGATTTTTTTATAAATTTCAGGGGTTATTATTTAATTTATGTGGGATAAATGTCATGTTTGTGGTGCATAACCACCATATCAATTTAAGCACCAAAAGCACTTTACTTACCTCGTCCTTAGCCCGTTTGGCGGTAATGAGAGCTCTGTTCAGATACTGTATTGGCAAAGCCACGTGACCCAAAATGTTGAAGTCTTGGAGCGACACCAATTTTAATAAAACTTCGATACCTGTAAATATTACAAGTTTACATAATACTGTAAAAAAATTATCAAATTTGCACGAAATCTAAGTCTAATAATGAAAATATACCGAGGAAGTCAACAAATTGTACAGTTGAATATTATAATACTACTTTAACTTTCTCGAATACCTCTTTTTAGCACGCTACACGTTTTCCAGTATTAAATCAAAAGAGTACTTGCCTGTAGTAGAGTTAGTAGTGACCACCATGGCAACAAGATGTCTATCAGCCTCTATGAAACCGAGTCGAGCAGTGGTTTGTGAGAATTGGGGTAATGGACTCGTAACATTCACCACGAGCATACAGTTCGTTATACGATGCATGTGTCCTTGAAAGACAAGAAAGACCAGGATAAAACTAGTCACATATTGGGTGAAAATAAAAATAAAATCAACCACATATTATTGAGCTGTCTTGTACTGTAGTGGGTTCCACACAAGTTTCTATTTCTTAAAGCGAAAATAGTTAATTACCTGACCGTTCTTAATTTAATTGAATTTAGATACGAGACTACATTTGGTTTTTTATATTGTACCTTTAAAGTTTAGGACACACTCACAAAATTTTGTTTGTGTAATAAAAATAATGGAGATCATATATTTAATATATAAAAATACTGTCAACCAAACATACCATCAACCCGAATTTCCACAGTTTTTCCTTCAAGATCCATGACAGTTATTCCGTTGATATCTCGCTTGTGACCAAATATAAATTTGGTATCCAAGTAACCCTTTGTATAACCCTGAAATAAACATAGATTATGTAAGAGAAACTCAAATTTAACTTTTTACTCAAATTTAACGTCCATGAATATTCAAATATATATTATATTATACTTTGATATATATTTAGGATCTACTTGAATGCCTTTATTGCGCAGTATCAAGCACGCGGTCTTTAAGTGGTTTATTAATACCTTGGCATAAGAAGAAAAAGCAAAAAAAATGCCGAGTTTATAGGTTGTTTTTACGTAAAAACCGATGCATCTTCCCGATCTTACACGTACACATATAAAGTAAATGATAAAATTCAGAAATCTGTCTAATATTTAAGACGCAAATTCTTCTATTTACTCATATTTGGGGCATTATGCTACGGTCACACGCTCGGCATGCAGCCCGTCCAGGGCCGGCGGACATTCAAGCTGCACACACGCACGCCGTCGTGTCAGTCAGTATGCCCGATTCGCGGCATTCACGTTCACAGGCGCGTTCACGGACTCGGGCGTACCGTGATCACGCTCGTGAATGTGAATGTGCACGTTGAATGTAGAGTTGAACGCGCGCGTGTGAACCTACCATTAGAGGTTTTCGGTCTTCCCTATACTGTTGAGTTGATTTTGTTTAAACGTGGAAACGTAGTACTTACTGTGAATGGAGTCAAGATGGTAACATTGCCCGTTATATTATTTTCCTTTTGTCCCTTATCAAATATCCATGAGGAATTTATCATTAACAGGCCATCTTCGTTATACTGAAAATATAAACAAGTTAATTTGTTTACGATTTAAAAAAACGTTTACCTTATTTAACTTTCTTTTTAATAAAAGGCAGATATAAAATGTATCCTTCGTCCTTAGAGGAAGACTGATATTTCACTAAGAATGGATTTCACGTATATCTGAAATATAATAGTGGGAGAGACCAATGTCCATGTCACTGTCATGAGTTCGTAAGAAGCAAAAGGCTCCTAAAGATTTTTTTATTTTGATCTATTCTATGGTCGTCTACGGTAATTCAAAGAGCGTCTAGAAATTATTTTTTTTTACCTGAAAACTTAACAGAGTGTTTGCACTCTTCTTCCAAATAACTGTATGTTTGGCAATTGCAGCTGCCCTGGGCAACGTCGGTATAGTCGAGTTGACAAGTGCGTTTATTTCCCCATAGAATTTTGTAGTAGTAAATAAATAGTCTGCTAGTAGACTGAAAGCGAGATAGTCTTCCTGCCAATTCATACTGGCGTTTAGGGCTTGTAAGTTGTCCTGGTAGCGCCACCTATGTTTCATGGTAAAAAAATTCAAGCTGGTAATTTATAATTTAAAAATAAGTGAAGCATTATATCTGGTAAAAAGGCAGAATTAAGTTTTCCGTTACACAGTAAACGTTATGAAAAATTCGGGAGCCGCTGGCCGATGTGAAACTTAGCTAATGTAATATTATGTAGTTTTATAAAATGATGACTGTTATTTAAATTTACTTTCAACATTTATTTTCATTATATACACAAATTCAGAATTCAGAAATTTAGTACAAAGTATGTAGTACACATTACTACTTATATAATGTATCGAATAGTAAAGCGTATCGTATAGCGCCGCCAACAATCAGTTTTACCAGCGGTAAAAAAACAATATATAGGGTCTTTCAATAGGGACTTCCGAACTTTTACAGTTGATAGCGGCCATCTTGTTGAAGCTACATCTGTCAAATTGGCTGTCATTTATTCAGTCTGTTTTGCCAAATCACCATGGATGGATCACCGTTCAACAACACGTGCAAATGATAAAATTGTTTTATCAAAATGGGTGTTCTGTTTGGGCAACGTTCCGCGCTTCGCCCATTTTACGGGCGCCATAATCGTCCTACCGAGAGGACTATTGGCAGTGTGGTGGATAAATTTGAGTCCACTGGTTCAGTAAACGATCAACCAACACCCGTACGTCGACGAAACGCAAGATCTACCGAAAACATCACCGCTGTCCGTGAGAGCATGCAGGAGAATCCGAGGCAGTCGATTTCGCGTCGCTCACAAGAACTCGGCCTTTCATAGACCACAACTTGGCGAATTTTGCGTCGTGACTTGGGCCTGCACCCGTACAAAATTCAACTGACCCAGGAGCTGAAGGTAAACGACCATAAACAATGCCATCGGTCAAATTCAGCCTGATTTATGCACCAGCGTCATGGAAAATTGGACATTTTGGATGCGCGCCACCCAGAGAAGCCGGGGCGGACATTTGAACGATGTTATATTCCACACATAATGGCATCGATAGGCCTTTCAAACGAATAAAATTTTTTGATGATATTTAACACAAATTTTGTTTTATTTAAATTTGAAGATAGGAAGCCCTTAATGAAAGACCCTTTATAAAGAGAAGTTAAAAAGTAACTTCATCTTTCAAACGTATGATAAACATCAAAAAGCCAGTAAATGTTTTATCCAACTCGGGAGTCTAGTACAACTTTGCAAATAACGTCAAAGCCATTACCAAAAAACATAAACTATCAAGTAGCATTATGTTTCTTGTCTTACTTTTGAAGTGATAACTTTTTATGGGAGGGTAAACCGCTTCGTTACGTAACGCGTTACGGCAACAGTCAAATCAAATCAAATCAAAATACGTTTATTCAATTTAGATGCTTCTTAGAGCATGCTTATGAATGTCAACAACGTTTACAAAATTCACGAAAGAGCAAGACTACGCCATCCGTGTATGTCTAGCTTCCCTTTCTTTCTAGACAGGCTTCTCCTCTCTAACTCTAACGCGTTAGAGTTACGCTGGCCATAGACGGACCGCATGTTGCAGTCGAGACCGACTGCTCTAGAGCGGTCGCGTTGAAGTCGTACACGACTGCAACACGGCCGCATAATGCAGTCGACTACGACTGCTTGGAGCAATTGTGTTCGACTGCAAAATAATACTGATGCGAGTTCATTTACAAGATGGTAGTCGATGAAGAAATACTGCTACTTGTACTATTATTACGCAGACGTAGGCGTAGAAGACACCGTAGTATATGGGTGCGTCCAATACTACAATCAAGAGAACAGCATGGAATATTTCATACTTTGTATCCCCAGCTGAGAGAAGACACTAAAAAGTTTTTCAACTACTTTAGAATGTCCGTGGTTTCATTTTATAAATTCGTTAGTATTTTATTGAAGTTATACTTCTTTAGGCGCGTTCACCCGTGACACAAAATTAGGAGTGTGATTATAGCGTGCGCGAGCGAGATAGGAATAAGACAATCTACAAGTAAAAAGAAATAGAATATGCGTGAAGTTCGTATGCCAACAATTTTGAATGACCATAATGACATTTGTCATTTACCTTTTAAACAAATAAAGGAGTTTTAATTATTTTTTCAAAGAAATTTAGCGATGCTTTTTGAATTATAATCAGAAGTGATTTAAATTGAATATTTAAACCAATACTAATTAATATTTGTGAAAAAACAGTGCTCATCAACCTTCCTAAGTGCTTAAATACAATTGAGGTTAACTATCCGTATGTATTATTATTATTATCGAGTAATGTTTTGATTAAAAAATTAACCACATTGTTTAATCAAAACATGTAATTTTTCTGATTTTATCTAGCAAATATAAGGAAAAGAGACAAAAAACAATTGATGAATCAGTGTAACTGCACTAAATTGAATACAAAAAAAGAGTTTTCATCTTATCGCTGTGAAACATCAAAAACTGGAGGTGGAACAAAGCCAAACTATTTTTAATATTGCCAAAGAAGTATAACTTCTTACGCGCGTACATAAGTACACGGACCCTTTTTTTTTATTTGAGGGAGAGGCGCGCGGTCGGCAGCAACCGCTTGTAGCGGTCCGTGTTTGTTGGGTCCGGCAGCTCTAAGCAGTCGACCGCACGGCGGAACTCGACCGCAGAGCGACTGCTTCGACCGCTCAGAAACTGGTCGTGCAGTCCGTGTATGGCGGATATGAATTTAGTATGGAAACTGCAGTTCGCCGTGCGGCGACCGCTTAGAGCAGTCGGTATCGACTGCAACATGCGGTCCGTCTATGGCCAGCGTTAGAGGTATTTCGGACAGACGTTTTCCCCTCTCTCTCGTGTTTAGTGTGCGTAAGGAATTTACTGTTGACAGTGAGCATATAAACTCAAACCTCGTTTTTGTAAGTGATTATAAAAAATATGACGAATGAAGCAGATGATCTTTGGGACACAAAATATAATACGATTTTAATTAAACAAGTAGACAATTTTAATATTAAATAGTTAATCTTAGATTAGTTTAGGTTGTCACTTTTGTCGCCCGAGACGCACACATTTTTGAAGTTATACTTCTTTAGGCGCGTTATGAAAAATTTATGAGAGTGAAATTTTACGATGCGCGCGCACCGTGACACAAAATTATCAGTATGGGCGCCGAGCGTACCCGAGCGAGATGGGAATAAGACAATCTACAAGTAAAAAGAAATAGAATATGCGTGACGTTAGCAGCTATGCCAAGAATTTTGAATGACCATAATGACATTTGTAGTACCTTTTAAACAAATAAAGGAGTTTTAATTATTTTTTTAAAGAAATTTAGCAATGCTTTTTCACAAAAACCTATTGTTACTTAGTTAAAAGGTTATGAAACATGCCTAGTTATTAAATTGAATTAATAATATAATAAAATAATAATTATTATTAATATTAATTAATAATTGAATAATATACTAAATATTAAAGAAAGCCAAAGAAGTATAACTTCTTACGCGCGTACATAAGTACACGCACCATTTTTTTTAAATTTATTTCATTACAACATAAAACCAAAACTTTCTTTGAGTTCTTTAAACAATATTTCTAGTTTGGTAGGCATCTTTGGACTGTACATAACTGTAAAGACTTTCCATAGGATCAAAGAAAAGGCTAAATCTATAAAATACTCACATAACATTAAAGCTAGTATCCTTCCAGCCAGGTAATGGAGTTTGGAGGCTTGACAGCAATGCATATACTGTCTGATCGTGAGCTTCAGAATACGCCTTCACTCTCCACACTACAGATGTAGGGTCCGTCCATCCAGCCCGGACGAGCCATTCGCAGTACCAGTCTAAAATCACAATGTATGTATTATTTTCTTACTCTTTATCTTTATGTACTTGTAACTAAGATGTAACTCTTTATAACGTCATTCGCTATAAAGAAAAGTCTATATAATAATGTTTAACCTAACCCTGCCTACTAATTCCAGGTTTAGTAAACCTTTTTAATAAAATAAAATATTATCTTAATTTGTGCGTTTTTTACTGTTTGTGATGAAAAGGGAGGTAATGAACACTCGCCGATAAACCACTTTTAATGTAGAGCACCGCACTTAATAATAAAATAGATACATTCACTAACAATTGAATTGAATTTTGTAAACGTTGTTGACATTCATAAGCATGCTCTAAGAAGCATCTAAATTGAATAAACGTATTTTGATTTGATTTGATTTGATTACAAATAAAATGTATGTATAGACTGATATATAGATGTTCAGACTCGTATTGAAATTAAAAAATGTGCCCGGCCGAAAAGGTTTGCCATCTCTGACATGTCAAAAAATGATAGCTGTCAGAATTCTACGGAATTAAAAATCGGAGTATTAAAGATTAATATAACCCACCTTTAAGTAAAAATTCAAATTCCCCATTGACGACTTGTCCCGGATAATGCATAGTGGCCTGTCCCGCATGGTGCCATTTTCCCTTATGGTCCAGTTTGGCATCAATGCTTATCTTCTGTGAAGGGTCCCGGTTCGCGTCCCAGTTGAAAGAGGCGCTAAGGCGTTTCTGCGTTGGTGTCGTTACTCGGATGTAAGATATGTGAACGTCTCGTAATCTGTAAATTGTTGTTTCTCTAAAAACCTTAATCTTATTAAAATCGAAAAATTTCTGTTTCGAGTAGTCTTCAAGTGCGTATGCGTTTTTAAATGTTATTAATAAACGCGCAGAAAATTTACTTGAGGTTTAAAACTATACCTTTTTTACCTCTTAGATAAGAAAAAAGATATTTTTAAAGCTGGTCTAACTGTAGTCTGTGTCTACTAATCTTATATATAAAATTCTTATGTCGCAGTGTTTGTAGTTAAACTCCTCCGAAACGGCTTAACCGATTCTCATGAAATTTTGTGTGCATATTGGGTATGTCTGAGAATCGGAAAACATCTATGTTTCATTCCCCTAAATGTTAAGGGTAGTCCACCCCTAAATTTTTCTTCTTAATTTTTAGATAATTTTTTTATTTTTTATGATACAGTATTAAAAATACATACAACCCCTAATTTTCACCCCTCTACGATCAATCCCTATTTTTTATTATAAATGATATACATGGCAAAACGACGTTTGCCCGGTCAGCTAGTAATACTATAAGATTCAGAAACGTCAGCGCTAAGTGTAACAAACATATTGAATTTGACATATGGAAATCGTACTTAGCCCTAAGTCGCTACTGTAAATTTTATACTAAGGGTCTGTTTCACAATGTATGGATAAAGTACCGAATAGCTATGCAACACATAAATTATTTGGAAGATAAATTGTGCTATTTGACATTCATCGGACTCATAACTTATGATGGACTTTATGTGGCGAATAGCGCTGACTGACAGTCGTGAAACGCAACAATAGTGTTTGTCCTACCAACAAGTAATAAATATCTAATTTGGAACTTATGTAGAACTTATCCGTACATTGTGAAACAGACCCTAAGAGTTTTGAAGTTCACACGCCTTTTAGTACAAATCAACGATAAAATAACCGTGCCCATTCATATAAGAATTATAACTTACTGGTCGAAATGTATGTCCATATTGACATCCGTGTTATTGTTCAAATCAGCGTTAAGGTTGACACTGTAGGCCTTGCCACTAATGTCAACCTCACCATACGCAGTAAAGTTCTGCTCCGACAGCAGTATGTAGCGAATTAGTGTTTTGTACGTATCCGAGTTGTATTCACCCTAAAACATAATTAAAAAACGATTTAAAAGGCTAGAAGGACATTTTAATTTTTATACAAAATTTGCCGAAAATAAGCCACTTTAGGAATATGTCAGACCCATTCCACTTTTTGACTTTTTTATATTTTAATTTAAAATATGATATATAGGCAATATTGTCTCGTAAATGACTAATTTTGAATCTTCTTTAGAAGATTAAATAGTTCTATTGATGTGATTTTCATATGATAGGTGTAGTTCTTTCACCGTATGACATAATTGGATGATGTCCGCACATAACAGGGTAGAACTGAAGATAAAACAAAATATAAATCGAAATGTGGAAATAAAACCTTAAACTTTCCCAAATATTTTTAGTATATTTTATATTCCTGTTTTATACAGGAAATATTTGCGGCATTTCTCTAAAGTAACTAATATCGTTACCTCAGCAATAAAAGTAATCTGCCGATTGTCCTGCGTAAATCTCGCATCCACAGCGATGTCCTTAAAGTGGCTGCTGTTAATGAGTAATTTGAGACGATGCGACGCCATGTTGGTTTTTGATTGGTCCTGATACACTGCGTCTACGTTGAAATCTACACCCGTGAACCAAATCCCATTCGCGTTTACCTAACGAACAATCGTTTTAATAATACTCTTTATAAATTAAGACTTTATTCTAGGCCACAGGCCTTGTGAGAAGATTGAAAAGGACAAAACTATTTGAATTAGTGTGAGTGTACGTTAGTCTAAGTGCTAAACAGTGGTAAGTGGAAGAAAATAGTACACAAGAATAAAGTATCTACCCCGTAATAGAGATTGTAAGTAGACCCTGCTATTGGACACTTTCTTATGTTAAATATGATTTTTAGTAAATAACGTTACTTTTAAATTACATATTAGACTTAAGTTAGTCTAGATTAAAAAAAAAAAAAAAAAGTTTTCAAATCAAATTAAGTGGGCATACAAAAAGACTTTACCTGGAACTCATTAGGGCGCTTTTCGAATAGCTTTCCCTTCAACATGCAAGGATGCAAATTCGGCAATGTAACGTTTAGTTCTGCGTCCGCGTACAATTGTGTTCCGGGAGGCGTGAGTAAGAATCCAGATACAACTATCTCCCTTGATTTAGGGTTGAAGTTTAATACGGCCAGAGCTGAATATTTTGGTCCTATCTGCAAGTGTTTGAGATTCCTAAGTCATTTGTTTCAGACGTGTTTTTGAGAAAATATCATTTAAACAAAAACGGGTAAGAGGAGAAATTTGCTCGCGGAACGGAATATTTTATCATTTCATTTTTAAAATGTTAAGGTCAAGTTATAGGTTCTATTTCCACCAAAAAATATACATGAATTAAAAAATGATGTGATAAAATATTTAAATGATATAATGATCTGGGAAATGGTAATGAGCTGTTCATTGTTTTATTTTTACTAAAATTTTAAACTCATAAAGCATGCACAAAGTATAGTAATGACCGAAAAACTAATTCCTAATTTTAGATATTCAAATATTAAGAAAAATTGTATACTAATTGGTTATATAGTGCATACCTCTTCAAAGTGCAGTTTCATTAAAATCGGTCTCGGCCTATGCAAATTGACCTCCGTACTCAATTTCATACCACTCATTTTGTCGACTCGCTTGAACGAGAACGTGAAGGACGGGTCTAGTTTGAGGTCTTTCGACGCGCTGACGTTAAAAGCAACGTCTACGTGATTTTGAGTTCTCTGAAAAAGGGGAATTTTTGTATAAATTATATAATTAGAATACGCATTATAGATTTTTTGCAGAATCATGGGTATGAGTTTCGGCTGAAAAAAGCGTGAGTATCTTACGGAATAATACTGTAAAAAATAAAACGGCAACTAATTTCAGCGAACGAAAGTGAATTGTGGAATTAAAGATTTGATGAAAAATCTGTCAGGTATGGTATGTTTGAATTGTTAATGCGTAAGTTTAATTAACACACAAACAAAAATGTATTCTTATTTTAAAAAAAATAGTTTAATAATTCTAAAAATTTGCAATTATCTATGTTTAAAAAAAAAACAGGCTTAAATTCCTGATATCTACACAGGAAGCTAGAATGATTTGTAAATATTTTAATTTATAATCATATAATTTATCAGAATTTTTCCTTTATTAAGATAATATTTGGACGTTTTTTCCAATTATTTGGACCGTAATTTATTTGATGATATTTATGATTTCAGATAACTATCTTAATCTAACTAATATTATGTTCTTGCAAATATTGCTTTTTTGCCTTGATCTTCGGATGAAGTTAATAAAAAATAAAAAATTTAGCATTATTTAAGAAGGTATGATGTTGTTATTACTAATTTTTTAGGCATTTTAGCAATTGACAAAAGCTGGCCTAAGAAAGTAGAACGGTTTTCTCATATAAATGTACTTAAATACAAGCAAAATATAAATAAAAAGGGAAGAAAACATGTCCAAACAGCAGTAAATTGAGTACGCAACTCACCAAATTTTTCAGGACTGCATAGAAATTATACGCCGGGTATGCGGTGAACTCCATGGCCAAATCCCCATACAAATCGTGCCTAAAGTTCATAGACCTTTCGCTGTATACGCCCTCCAATTTTATTGTTTGCTTCATGTTTTTGTAAAATTGGTAATCAAGCTGCAATTTCATGCCTTGTGTCGGTCCGTTTACGGTGTAATAACCTAAAAGACGACTAGCGAGCTGTTTTGTTTGGAAATCGGCTGTTATGTCCCATTGAGTGACGCCGCCCTTTGATTTCACTTTCAGAGTCCCTACAAATGAATAAATGTTAACAAAACATTACAACTGAGCGTTTCTTAAGGCAATTTTTGCTGCGAATCACCACTATGTACCAGCTGCCCACTGAAGTATTTCCGAACCAATTTGAATTCGGTCCTTCAAGAAAAGAGCGTTGAAATTCTTAAAAGGCTGGCACTTGCGAGCCTTCGCTGTCAGTGTGAGTCCATGGCTGGCGGTATAGCTTAACATCAGGTGAGCCACTTGCCCGTTTGCCCCCTGTTATATACATATACTCGTATATATATAAAAAAAACATGTTAAATAAGAAGGTATTAGAGACCATTAAAACTAATACTATTTAACCCAATCTGTTACATTTTGATTAGTTTCTTAGATCCTATGATCAATGTACATCCAAAATTACATATACTTTCTGTATATGTTATGTATTTGTTATTGAAATAAAATATGCGACGAAATTTCCATTTAATGTAACTTACCAGACAATTCAGCAATCCGCTCATCGTTGACAACCCAATATGCGTGTGGTATCCAAACGAACCCATACTTTATATCATGTCGTTTCAAAGACATCACAGTATCAAACTGCTTTCGTCCATCTACATCAAGACTGGCCTCTATCGATTTATCATGGACTAGGTTTCTATACAGCGCTTTAGCCTTCATGATACTTTTAGATGATTGAAAGGTTACCCCAGCGGTACTGGTTGTGTTTGATATACTAAGGATTGCGTTGAACATTCGTTTTTCCTAGAAATAATAGTTTGTAAGCAATAGCGTTTTCCGTGGTGTTCATTTGTTTTCTTTTGAAAGGATTATATACAATGTATATTGCAACGTTTTATTAAAATAAAATAAAATAAAATATGTTTACTATGGAACATAAGATACATGTATCACTTATTCCACGTCATTCAATTTGAAGGCATCCCTACTCATCGGCAAAGAAGACAGACGGTGTAGGCCGAGAGAATAAGCCGGCGTAAAAAACTCTCGGTACTCTTTTAAAACAGCAAATCATCAAACAACACTTATTTAAAACAAATATCGCAAATTGATTAGAAGTAGCCTGTCTAGCACTAGTCCCAGGCCCCTTTATCAACTAGATAATCGTTGACTTTATAGTAAGCCTTTTTACACAGCTTTTCTTTAATACATTTCTTAAATTTATTGAAAGGCAGTGATAAAAGAGCCTCTGGGATTTTATTAAAGAAGACTATCCCTTTCCCCAAAAAAAGAATTACTAACTTTAGATAGTCTAGTACGGGGAAATTGCAGCCTGCGTTTGTTCCGTGTATTAACATTGTGCGTATGTTCTATTCTAGTAAACTTATCACTATTTTTGTATACATACATAATATTTTCATAAATATATTGCGAGGGAAAGGTAAGTATATTAATTTCCTTGAATTTATCTCTAAGAGATTCCCTACATTTTAAATTATAGATTGCACGAATAGCCCTCTTCTGCAGGATGAAAATAGTTTCGACATCAGCAGCATGACCCCATAATAATAAGCCATAAGTCATTAAGCTATGAAAGTAACTAAAATAAACAAGTCTAGCTGTATCGACATCAGTAAGGCTGCAGAACTAAGTCTCTTCGCCAATCCGTTAATATGAGGGGACCACTGAAGTTTTGAATCCATGGTGATTCCGGGAAATACAGCTGTATCATCCAGATTCAATTCCTCACCGTTTATAATTGGTCTAGTATCCATAACCCTTGCATTTTTTGCACAAAATTTAATGCATTTTGTCTTTTTTGCATTAAGTAGAAGGTTATTCATACTAAACCAATGGACAATCGAAGACAGAGCATTGTTCACATCGTCAAAATTTGTTATTTGTCGTTTGATTTTAAAAATCAAGGACGTGTCATCAGCAAACAAAACTATCTGATGTTTTCTCTCTACCATGATATTGATATTATATCAGATCTACCATATAATCTATGGGTGGTAGCGCACTTTTGTTATTCTCAGTGTTATTGTAAACAGACACAAGTGGTGTCAATAAATAAGTCGCAACGTCTCCACGTTTAAATTCCATATTATCGTAATAAAAACTGATAAACGTGCATATATAATTTTTTAAGAAATAATTCCTGAAGCACAATTTCCTGGTATCGACTGTAACTGTTCTGTCCATGTCATTCTATCATCTCTAAAGTAATCCTCGAATTAACTTTTGATTAATTTACTTAAAATAAATATTTTTCTTATTCGAATACTTACTTTACTATTAGGTGTATCGTAAGAGAATTCTAAGACATCAGTAGTTTCATTTCGATCCCATTTGTATTGTAATGCGTAAGTTTTTGCAGACGGATCTGCTTTCTCCAAAGAAACAATGTATTTCGCTGGTCCGCTCATAATGAAATATGGAGCGTCGCGGAGATTCGTCATATTTGGGAACTAAAAAGAAATATTATAGGATATATAAAGTTGATGAAACAATTTTTTTTAAATGTTTGATATCAGAATGTAGAAGTAGAGTAGAGTTTAAATTTTTTAGATCTCATCTCACAAATTTAACAAAATTAGCTTAGCATTTTAGAGATAAATGTAAATACTCATCTACTTTTTTCGTCTTTAATAAAAATCGCAATAATCAAAAAAATCTACCTGATAAGCAGCGCAGACTTTAATACCAATAGCTTTATCGAAGGTCGTCCAACTGCAAGTATTCTGTTCTATTCTGTTCTTATTCAGACCTTGCTGCTGTAATTCTTGATCGCCATGAAGAACTAATAATTCAGATCTGTGAATGAAAACCATATATTTGAAAAGTATTTTGTATGAAAGTAAAATATAAGGATTACTTTAAAAAAAACTTTCTAATAATTGATTATTCTTTCTATTAATTGATATGCCATAAGTTACTTCGTTTTAAGAATTCAAGAAGGAGTATCTCAAGGTGGTATTATAGGTACATTTATGTTTATAATATACACAATGAGGCAACAATTTACTCGCAACCAATATTTTATATTATCTTAAACAGTTTATCAACGTAAATCATATTAAATTTTATATCCTAAATGAAATTGGAAGCAACTAAGAATTAACTTAGCACAAAATATTTCGCAAACTTACTTGGCAGCAAATATCTCCTGTTTGTCCCTCGGTAAAGATAGATCTAATCTCAGTAATCCCAAACCACGTACAGAAAGTTTAGCCTCGACTGCCGTGGCAGTGTACAGTCGTGAAGATAACCGAATACCACTCAGAGCTAAAGAGCCGGCTGGAACACTCATTGTCGCAGCTATATTTAATGCCACGCTGTAAAAGTAGTTATCATGTTTTCCCAAAATAAACTTTAAAATAAGAAACAATAAATATATATTAAATGTTTTATACAAGGTGTCTCAACAGAAAGTTGATATTTAGTTGATCGATTAAAAAGAAAGTAAGTCGTATATCAAAAAAGTTTTTATTCCTTATTCTGGGAATTTATTTATTAAAAATAATACCGTCCTAATGTAGACTCGCGTTCGCGGCACTCATTTAATCGAACAATAAAATTACTTATGACGGCTCGGCAGGTGGAATCAATGATGGCTGCCATTTCGTGACGGATATTTTCTTTCTATTGCGCCAGAGAAGTCGGTTTTCTCAGACTTTAAATTTAAGATAACCCCATAAGAAAAAATCCATATGGGTTACATTAGGACTGCGTGGAGGCCAGGGGTAGTAGGACTCCTTTTTCCGCAATTAGACTCCTAATTGGTCCGTTGTGCGTATGCGTGGAGGCCATTTATGTCACATCTATTGGAGATCAAATTGCCCGAGAAAATTTCACGAACTCGTGGCAGACGTATAGGACGTGTGTGACGTTGCTCCATCCTGCCGGAATCATGTTCTTTGGTTATAGCCAGGAAAGTTTTGAAGTTCAGGCACCAAGAAGTCATCTAACATTTTCACGTAACGCTCTGAATTGAAATGTATACTTTCTTTTGAGACACCCTATATTTCGTATCAATTTACGAGTAAATAAATATAACAAAACACTCTCTAATATAACCTAAAATACGTTTATTAGGACCGCATGACGTCATCGATACAGCTATTTTATTAGGTTGATTATTGTTTTAGGAATTTTACTTGTAAAGTGTAAGAGACATATGTTAAATGTACTAAAGCTTCATATACTCGTATCAAAAATATGTTTACCTGGGCCGTATTTTCCCTTCGAAGTCCAAATTCCCGTGCTGTGTGTATTTATCGACCACCGTACCCGACATTTTTGTATCGACGTAACTAGTACCCATTAGGTTCATATTGAGTGGTAGACCACATCCCGTCGCTACAGAGAACGTTGTGTCCAGGAATAAAGAGGCTTTGTTGTAGGAAATTTCCTAAAAAAGTATATGAAATAGTTAAATTTTGAGTTGGCATTTTAAGAATTTTTTCAAACTACTCTAAATATTAACACCACGAATTTTGATTAATAAATTACCTTTCCAGACAAAATTTCCAGAATCCTCAACTTCGGGTCCAGTCTTTCCAAAGATTTCCTAATTTCCTCATCTCCTTCCGCGCTCCAGTACGATATTTCATTACCAAACACCTTAAATCCCAACTCTGCTATGGGAAATCGGTGCTTAAGCGCATTGTTTTTGTAACCAATATCGTCAATCTTATCCCGAAGTTCATCCGCCTCATTTGCCGAACGGAAGAATCTAAGTTTACTGATATTTTCAACAACTTTATTCTTATTTAAAGGACCATTTTTACCGAACAGGCCCTCGATATATCTTTCGAAGCCTTCTCCTCTGGCTTTTATCTAAAAAAAGCATAATCCAAATAGTTACTAAAAGTACAAACATTTATCCAACAAAGAATAATTTGTAATTAATAAATTTAAAATTTAAAAATTTAAATTAAATTTTTTTTAACAATATTAAGTATATTGTAATCTTAACAATAGGTTATGTTAAGGCTCAGTTTGTGAGTTATTTTATTTTCTTTCTTATTTCTTAAGATACGATCAATTCTCACTTTACAATTTAAGATGTAAATTTCTTTAATTTCACGCAAGAATCTTATGACAAAAGAGCAGTGTTGGCCTAGTCGCTTAAGCGTGCAACTTTCAGCCATTTCTTTTCTTTTATGTATTTGAATAGCACAATCCATTTGTTGTGCAGCAATGGATTTTACATTTTACATACGCAATTAAAACTTGCTCCTAGGATGAGGGCAAATATCATGAAATGAAACTGGCATGTTTTAAAACCTGAAAATTTACGACATACTACACAAAAGGCTGATCACCTACTAGCCTATGAAAGAAACGGATGCAATCTGAGGCCAGAACCCATATAGGGTTGTAGCACAACTGTATTATTTATAACAAAATAACACAGTACCTCTAACAAATTGATGGATTCGCCGAACATATCAACTGTTAAATTGAGAGCTAGAGAACGTGGAATGTAGGAATCCGGCGAAAAAACAACATTTGCCTCGTAGTTACCACCTGTGAACATATTTATTATACTTAATGTAATTCATCAACATGCAGTACAAGCAATTATCATTAAAATTAGATTTCGATAAGTCAACTCTAGTGTGAAGAATTCATGAACAAATGTGTTGTAATTCAAAATATAAGTATGATTAAATGTTTTTTTTATATAAAAGGGCTGGGCGCATCTAATGTTATGTGACACACCTATGGACATTGTCCATGGGCGTTTTGTCAAATGTTTTATTAAATTAAATGTCACGACGTTTCAGGATGGAAGACGATAATAATCTCGAAAAATAATATTTTTTAAATATAACAAATAATAAAAATAAATAAATAGTATACAAAATTGTAAACAGTAATTAAATTTTATATGAAATTATTTAACTTGAAAAAAATTTTGATTAAAACACGAATTTTATAATTTAAACGTACGTGTGTGAAGAGAAGACAAATTATGTTTTCTTTTGAATATATAACATTTGTTTACTGTGTTTTTTGATTGTGTTTTGTGTATTCAGTTTTTTGGTTTTATGTATCAAATCAAACATATTAATAAAAATATGCAAAACTGACGTTAACATATATAATAATATATATAAATTAATATAATCTTACCAGCATTATACTGATCGAAGAATACACTCTGCTCATAATTCCTCGAAAACATTCTAAAATCGGGTATATCTTCTAACTGGGGCATCTCATGCCCCGATAATAAACCTTGGATTTCCACTCGGGAAGGCAATGATGACTGTCCAAGATTGTTCAGATGACTCCATACAAATGTTGCAACTAGAAAAAAATTATGATAGTTTATAAAGTATAAATTTTAAAATGGTAGAGGCGGACATGAAACTTCGTTTGGCTGAAATTAAGAAAAATAATAAATTTTTAGTACTGTAAGAAGCTTGAATTATTTTTTAATTGCCATCACAACAAATCAGAACATTAAACCAAACCATAAAAAATTAAATTAGTTTTATTAAGTTAACGAAAAAAAAATGGATGTATTACCTTGATTAACAGATTCCTGTCGTAGCGAGTGAAAGATCTTCCTAATAGTACTTAGATTGGGGCATCGCATCACTTGTAAGTATGATGCGATACGGACTTCAACATCAATCAGATCCTGGCGATAGGTTTCCATAAAATATTCACTAAAAAAGTATATTAAACTCTTAGTTAAAATCATCCAATCGACTAGTAGAAAATAAAGCCGTTGAGCTTAGGTTTCCTAGAAAAGCGGTGCCGTTAACTAACGGCCGTCATTTTACGGTTGTTAATAACAGCCGTCTTTACTTTTTAACATAATGCAAAAAAAACAATCATTTTCGCCCGTCCAAGTCACGTTTCCACTCATTGTATTAATTAAATATGGGCACCGCTACACGCGTAAAACGTTGAACTAATGTTTATCACCGCTATGACGGCCGTCATGCAAATGACAGTGCCGCTATTTGACGTTACGGTGACACTCAACGTTTTCTAGAAAACCTACTCCGATGTTATTTATAGACAACGTATGGGTGACGTCACCCAACGTTACATTACGTCCGTTAGATAACGGCACCGCTTTTCTAGGAAACCTAAGCTTTAGACTGTAGATTAGTTTTTAAGACACAGCGCGATCGAAAACCATTTCACTATATAAAAATTATAATGCCGCTATGATGTATCACGAAATCACTACGGTAATCATATAATAATTTTACAATTTATTCACTTATCTTGAAATGGTTGACAATTCATTGTACCTAGCCATTTCTAGGACCCGGCAAAAAGATATATAATTAGCAAATTAATGCAATTTTTGCACAAACAAAACCAAGTGTTGGCTCATTTTGTTTAATTTTTTGATTAAACAATTGAACTTCTATTTTATCATTACAATAAAAAATTACCTGGTCTCTGTACACGGTGTTCTCCTAAAAGCATCAATGGCTGTTAATCTTATAGGGACTGAAATGTATGGATCACTGATAATGCCCATTAATAAATCGGCGAATTCTTTGTTGAAACCGCCTATATTTCCTAGAGCTTTGATCGTTATTATGAGCTGAAAAAATAAAATAAAAATGAACGAAAATAATTATATAGTATTAAAATATACGAATGTAAACACGTGTCGTTCTTAGATGTTTCAGTCTGTGCTCACGAGTATCTCCTACAGTATAATCAAGGGAGACACTTATTATTTTCATACCTTCAAAACTCGGCTCAGAATACCATACCAATATCAGCAATGTGTGGAAACGCATACATAAACTGTAATAGTGTCTATTGCTTTGTGTTAGAAATACATTTGTGTTTCTTAAAGCGTACGGCCATAAAATCAGAGGCAATATCGGGGTGGGGAGCACCCTGGATCGCTTCGTGTATAGGCATATCGTACCCGTAATCTAGTATGCTACCGCCGATTCAAAATAAATAAATAAAAAAATCATTTAATCACATAGGTAACATAATGTACACTTATGACTTGTCAGTAAAGAAATACATATTAATGCTTCTAATTTTACATTTACTGCCAGTTCTCAAAACAAGGGCGTAGAACGGGAGAGAAGAACTGGCGAAAACTCTTCGCCACTCTTTTTAATCGCCATTTTTTTGTTTTACAAAATGTTTGTAAGGAGCTGCAACCATTACACCATGTCCCATGTGACATTTTAAGTAATTAATAATCTAATATATAAAATTCTCGTGTCACAGTTTTCGTTGCCATACTCCTCCAAAACGGCTCGACCGATTCTCATGAAATTTTGTGTGCATATTGGGTATGTCTGAGAACGAACGAACGATCAACCCCTATTTTTTTATTATAAATGATATTTATGGCAAAACCGTTTGCCCGGTCAGCTAGTAATAACATAAAAACTACGAGCCTATTTCATCCCCACCCGATATCTCCACTTAGTGCCGTGTGTCTGAGACACTTTTACTGAAATTTTCTGTACACTTTTTCTTGTTCAGCTATGTTCATATAAAGTTATTTTTTCTATACAAATAAAAAGACGACTGGACTAATTTGAGTATTTTATTTATTCCTTATACTCTGAGGAAAAATTGCACGGCAAAATCTGTTTAGTAAAAACTAGTTTTTATTCAGAAAAGCGAACAGTCTCTAAGTGGTAGAATATGTTCCATTGGTTGGTAACTACTAAAAAGGCTAAGTAAATTGATATTAAGGCGAAACGAAGTTCGAGGGGGCAGCTAGTTTATTTATAAGAAAAAGGTATTGATTCACAGCCGGGGTTCAAACGCACGACAGCACTTACTATAGAATGTTGTTTGTATTAAAGTCTACGTACCGTGTCCTTATCACTTCGCATGGGACTAGTAATTCCTTGATGTAACATTTGTTTGACGATATTCTGGAATTCTTCCACAATTGCCTTTGGAGTCTCTTCCTCGCAACATTCTCGCACTATAATGAATTTTATTTTATCACTAAAGGAACATTTTGACTTATCACAGGCCATATTCTTTGAAAATAGTTAAGAGATTTCTTATTGCGTGTTAATGTGATAACTTTTGATATATTCAAAGTATATTTTCGACGTAAGGTAAACCAAATTATTACACAATTTTTGTATCTGTCATTTGTTATTTCTAATATTGCCTATTAGAAATAGGTGATCAGCCTTCTGTGCCTGACTCACGTCGATTTTTTTGGCCTAAGGCATTCTGTTTTTCTTACAATAATATCCTTCACCGTACGAGCGAGTGATAAATGCGCACAAAGAAACATTTATTGGCGCACAGTCAGGGATCGAACCTACGACCTTTTTAGAAGCATTTAATGTATATTTATTCTTGTTTTGACGATCATAAGTGTACATTCTGTTACCTACATGAATAAATTACTTTTGTTTGTTTAAGGGATTAGAGTCGCACTCTGAACAGTGCCGGCTCAAATTACTTTTACCACTCCACTTAATAATTGTTCATATGTAATACAGAGTTTTAATACCATCAAAATAGAAGGACACTGGTCTGCATGAGTGGCAGGTTCGAAGTACGGAATTATTTATAGTATTCCAGAATAACACGAAACAGTTTAACACTTACATGACCTTCCACTGTGTTTACAATATGAATGCACCATAGAAGAGACGGTGAAACTGACAACTTTATCATTCCTCTGACCACGGAGTAGTTCGAGCATACTTTCTAACATTTCGATTTTCGGTCTGAAATTAACAAATTCAATTAAATACCTTACATATCAGACTTAGACCAGGATTCAACTTTAGCAGATTTTTTTTAAAAGCATTAATTTGTAAAAATCTTACGTAGGTAATGAAGACGCAAAAATATCTCTGCACAATAAAAGAGTTGGCTATACAAATAGTAAGAGAGAATACATTTTTAGTTAATTAAAAAAAGCTATATTTTTTCATAAAGAATTTGATACCTTTTAAAAGATAAAAATTATACCTGGGAATCATAGCCATAGACATAAGCCACTCATGTCTAGTGTCATTGTTTACTTCGTTTTTCAGGATTTTGTCCTTTATCAACTCCACTGAGCCCGTACTAGCTATGTATGGGAGAGCATCTAGTATATGTTTCCTGGAACAAAACCGTGACACAAAATTAACAGAATGAAGTTAGTGGCGCATGTTGGCACGCACGCCGCCTCTGTTCACTGTGTATTTATATTTATAATATTTATCAACATGCTTTGAGTTTCTACATTTAAAACACGTGTTTTCATTTTGTTTTCATTATACAAGTGTGAATTTTATATGTGTGTCTGAATTATAATCAGAAGTGATTTAAATTGAATATTTAAATCAATACTAATTAATATTAGAAAATAATAATAAATATAATATTAATACATAATTATTTATTTTAATTTTTCAAATGTAAACTGAACTTTATTAACTATAATGACTCCTTTTCCAGTCTTTGATTATTTAATTGTAATTAATTATTTGCATGCAATCAAAAACTATTTTTAATAATGCCAAAGAAGTATAACTTCTTACGCGCGTACACGCACCCTTATTTTTATTTCTTAATCTACAAAAGACATCAAATATTTCCCAGCTAGGAACAGTATATATTGGAAAATGCAACCTAGTCGTTTCGTTTCGTCGTCGTTTTTAGTACTTTTCCCAAAACTTCCACAAATATTTCAAGATCATAACTAGCAAAATCGGTCCAGTCATTCTCGAGTTTTACAACAGCAATTAATTTTTATATATACATATATATCTTCTATAGAAGATAAGAAAAAGGTTTTTTTAGCAAAAAAAAAATATAATTTGAATGCCATGTAAACTAATGTTATTGCTTGTAACACATACTTTAAGTAAATTTAAAGATTTCGTACACTGACCAATTTTTAAAACAGTTTGTCTTTTTACTTCCATTTTTGAAGTGGTTAAAATAAAACTATTACACTACTTACTGGGCAGTACTGCACATAGTATGTGCTCTGGTGAGTAGCAAGTCAAGTGTAGTGTGATGTAATTTACGAGCCGATCGCACAAGTTGTCCCCACAAACCAACGGTGGAACCACTATCCATGTTATCATCGACTGTGGTCTCTTCATCACTATTTTGCTTTACTCTATGGTCAAAAGAAAAAACAATGTATATATAGGAGCATTGGTTTTATATTTCGCTAGCGACTCACCCGGCTTTGCACGGCAACCATGTCCCGTAATCTTTGAGAAATTAGACTAGATCTTTCTCATGAATCATTTTAAATGTTGCGCACCGCAATAAATTCTGTGCAGTTGTTTTTGAGTTTATCGCGAACAGACATATAGACGCGGTGGTTCTCTTTATATTATATATAAATATGTATATATATAGATAAAGTTAGACATATGTTGTCATTGACTTTTATGTAGTTTTGTTAGTTACTCTCATCGTTAAGGCAGTGATCGTAAGAAACGTTTTCGTTCGAGCCTTTTTCCGACTTACTTTGCAAATCCGAATACCACGAAAGTCTTTTAATTTTTCCTATGATACTCACAAATAACGTGACTTTGTATTGATGTAAAATTTTTCAAAATCGCTTTAATTGATTCAGATATTACCTCCTACGACCTCCCAAAATAACCTCTTTATAATATTTGTTTATACTAATAATAAAAACTACGGAAACTATGTCACAGGTCTTATAAATTAACAAAATTAAATTCAAACCAATCCAAAACCGTAATACTAGTAAGTTATAAAAAAAATTGCCAATATTGCTAAATCTTATAATTTTAACGAAAATCATGGAAAACCTATATTAAATCCGAAATCTGAAACGCTATTGAGATTAATGAATAATGATTGAGTTTATATTCTGGAGTACAAACCAAAATAAAGAGCTTCACATATGCATAACTATTTTCTTGGAAACACATCAAAACTATTCAGCGATAAACTGGTAATAAATAATATTGATGATAATAAATAAAAATATAAATGTATATACTCACTGACAAAGTAGTTTCAATACATCTCTAGCCGACTTGACTTCATTGCTGTCAGACTTGACGTACAGTGGGTGATGGTGGTGGAGGAGGTTCAAACGCCTCTGTATCACAGCCCATCCTGAAAAGGATCTAATGTTAGAAAAACCCATGGCACAGTCCGTTTGATTCGGATTAGTCACCGATATTTCTAATCCAATCACAATTAGTCTTTGCTTCAAAATTTTCACTCCCCGCATCAAAATAATAAGATCGTTACTTAAATTAATATAAAAATGGTCTGTTGTTATAGAATAATTCTCACTACTTAAGAATTGAAAGTTTTAGAGGCAACAGATACATTACGAAAATATTATAATAATATCGTAATAAATTCGATTTATTGGAACGAAGTTCCTTATCGCGCGTTGTGAAAGGGGGCTAGACGGAAAAAATTCTTACGAAAAGTTGTCACGACACTTTTTTGCTATTTGCTATTGTAATACACCGGTTCTCGTCCGATCACCGAAGTTAAGCAACGTCGGGCGAGGTCAGTACTTGGATGGGTGACCGCCTGAGAACACCTCGTTATGTTGGCTTTTTTTTTATCGAGCGTTGCGAAAGGGGGCTAGACGGAATAAATTAAGACCAAAAGTTGTAACGACACTTTTTGCTATAGTTGTTATATTTTACATTTTCGATGTAGCTATCGCCAACGTCCATACCACGTTGAATACACCGGTTCTCGTCCGATCACCGAAGTTAAGCAACGTCGGGCGAGGTCAGTACTTGGATGGGTGACCGCCTGGGAACACCTCGTGATGTTGGCTTTATTTTTCGTCGTAAGATTGGTGTCGAGATAATCTATCATACTGTTATGATACCAATTAACATATAAATTAATCGAAAGGAATTTCGTTCCATCCGGGTGTCCCTTGACACCTCTAAAGTTTTTTTTTATCTCAAATATATCATATCCTAGTGGGCCTGGCATTGCTTGATTAAAGTCATCTATCGTTATCTTTATAAACGAAACCATACAGGGATTTGTCAAGTTTTAATTTTTACATGAAATATGTGTGAAGTACCTAAACACAAACAGCCAAACGCAAAATTTGCTTCAATTAAATTTATTTCCTTATTTTGCATTTTTATAGTAACTTAATACTAATGCATTAGAAAACTTATTAATACAAAACAAGAAAACATATAACCTAAACCTTTTTCTAACAAATTATAAATAATATTCTTTGTGAATTCAGACAGCGTGTTTCACATGCAATATTATTGAGGTGCAATAGGCGCGTAAATTTGGTACTGTTTAAATTTAAATTACTTTCTATAAAGAAAAACACTTTTTTACCGGATTGAAATTATGTATTATTATAAATTTACAATTATTTTACATAATCACCGTGACCACGCACGCTGTAAAGCACGCGAAACGTCGGAAAAATTTTATTATACATAGCTTCAATCCGGTAAAAAAGTGTTTTTCTTTAAATGTGTAAAAGTTATGTCAATAAAAGACATTACTATCTAATTATTTACCCTTTGTATCATCATCGACAGTCAGCTCATCGGTCTTATTAACCTCACGCATAAGTTCCAAATCCTGTATAACAGTGGTCATAGCACCGGAGTTTTTCCCCGAGAACGGCTCAAACAGATGTCGTTCTCGACAGTTAACCGACTTGTAGATGTGATGATCCACGTTGATGCGACACTTGCTTTCCGATTTAAGCACTGGCCATGTTTGGAATTTCTGAAATTAAAAACAAATGTAGTGAAAACATGGACACAGTTGCAAGGCTCGCGGCTAGATGGCGCGGTGCTAAATTCAAGTTGTCTGTATTTATGTAATTATGTCATTCTAATTACAAAGATTGAAGTAATTTCTAAAGAATTTTTTTCTTTATTTGACTAATAAACTTTATTTAGAAAGATTTCCTTCCGCGAACTATATTATCCCTCCATTCAAACATACATAACATTTAAAAAAAAAGCAATAACAGCAAGAGATATTTTAATTACTTACACTTTGAAAGTCATATCTGACAGTCTGTAAGATAGACATATATTTGTATCTGTCAGTGCACTGTGAAAGATCACGCGTCTTCACAAGTATCAAACTGGTGTTTTCTTGTCCTCGCACTGAGTACTCCACATGGCAGGTTCCATGGGTGTCTTGCTAATAAAAAATAAAAAAAATAAGATTTTTTACTCTACGGGATCTAAAGAATAATTCTAAGCAAAACAATTATTAGCTTGGGCTCAAAGACACAAAAGCTTTGGGTCTTTAATGTAATATTGTATCTGTTTTTTTAAAACAATACGAATTCCAAAACTATACTGTTGGACTTACTTCAATGCCTTTGAAATTAATGTCAAATCTCTTCATGCTATTCTGAAAGAGAGACAAAATGCCTCGTTTGAAGTTAAGAACCCAGTCTTCTTCATTTTCTTCAGGACATATCTCTGATATAACACCATCATGAAATGCAAATCTGTAAGATTAAAAATCTTAAACAATATACTGAATTTACCTTAACTTAATTTTTACAGAGTCTATTTAAGTGAATTAAAAAAAAAAAAGAAATTTATGGCTTGCCAAGACAAAACAAATAAATTAATAATTGTTGAGTAACAAATGTATCTTTACACCTCATTGAGGCATTACTAGCTACACTGTGTAGTGTGACAAAACTGTTATAGTGTATTTGTTAAATAAAATTTTACCAAACTAAAATAATATTCCACCAATATATGGTTTTCCAATATTAAATATAAATATGGATTGTGGTTGTTGCTTCACTTTTATGTAACAAGTTAATAAAATATATAAAAATCATATTGCAATTTCATATTATTTTCTTTCTTGACCTTAATTTAAAAACTTAAAGCATTTATAAAGGATTTCTTTTGATTATAATGCAAGAAAATTGGCAAAAATTTTAAATAATGAAGATACAATATGTAAAAACCTGAGATCATTAAGTGAGACGGCATGAATAAATTTTTCAGCTCTTTCAACTGGATAATCTTTATTCTGGTCTAGAAGAGTGACATCAGTTAATTGAATAACACCCTCACAAGGTCTGATGAATTGTATTACAGCCTGGAACATAGAAATAATGGTTAGATTACATTGAAAATTTATGTCACAAAAACAGTTATCTTTTTTAGCTATGCAACTGTGCTAACGAAAATAATTAATACTGCTTACATCGGAAATTAGTTTAATGAATAGTTAAGAACATCAGAATTAGTACCATAATTCCTAGTTCCTATCTATATAGATTTATACACATACAATTTATTTAATACTTACTGGTTTAGCACTTTAAGCGTGAAGGTATAATAGAACATTAATTTTAATTTATAACATTATTCAAACTGTAAAGTTATTAGGTATTTTTATTACAACTTACCTCTGTTTTGATATCAAGTGTTGATCGGTTATTACTAGATCCAGCAAAGAACGTTTCCACATTAACTTTGTATTCATAGTGGTAGCTTACCGACGTTAAATATTTAAACTTTTCAGACTCTGAAAATTCAAATATATTATTTATTCAATTATAATAAAATTTTATTCCAATTAAAATATGGTAAATAAAAACATGTTTATTTACTTTTAAATGTTATTCGGAAATCGGAATTGCAAAATTCAAATAAGCATTTTGATTTTAGACAATTGACACTTCTTGGCTTAATACAAATAGATGCGGCATCTCTGATTATAGAAACCTTCCAATTTACAAAAGGTTAAACGTACTTTCAACAGTAATTTTCGAATAATAACACATTATGTAAGTATTGTTCCTCAATAAAATTTTGTTAAAATAATAGTCTCAACAATGTTTAAAATTTTTGACGTGATAAATATAGCTAATTCAAGTAACTACTAAAATTTGACCAATGGAACTTTATAAATTAAAATCTAAGATTCTAATGTTAATATTGTAGTAGATGAGCGAGAAAAAAAATGAGATTTCGGTGTTCCAGTCAAAAAAATGACGGGCACTCCGGGAGTGCCGGCAGAAGTGAAAACTTGAATATTAACGTTGTGCATTTTTGATATTTTGGAATGGTTAGGGAATAATTTTGCATGAATTGCTTTAATTATCAGTATAAAGTACTATCATTTATGTGGTAGAATACAATATTTATTTATTGCGCTATCGTTCACAAACATGACAATTTATATTACATTAAATACGCAGCGCCAGCTGTCTATTCTCCATCCGTCTTACGAATTTTCGATCAGGGTCACGTGTCCTGACGAGAGTTTAACATTTCTTACCCATTCCAAAAAAACGCCGCTAAAGAATTTACAATAATTAACTCTTGAAAGTTACTTACGTGTACATGTTGGCGATCCACAAATGTAAGGATCTTTTAATGAATCTGAAAAAAAAGAATTAAGTGAAATTAAATAGGCAGAATATATTATAATTGAGTAAATAATACGCGAATACAGGTAATATATTTTTGTCAGATAAATAAATTTATCTAATATTTAGCCACTCATCGCACATTCATCTTCCGAAATTAAAATAACAAGCAGCCCAAAGACCACAATATTATATTAATAATAGAATAGAATAGAAAGATGTTTATTTCCCTAGTTCTTATGTTACATTATGTCCACAGGTCGATGGTGTATTCGGCCTGTGGGTGTGTCAGCTCCTTACAGACTACCTATGTTTGTCTCAGAGATAAGTGTCGTGCAGTGTGTTCTGTGAGCTTGTTAAATTGTAGGTACATAATAAATTTATAATGTTGTTATATATTGTCTTATCCTACTTACAGCTAATTATAATTTATGGGGACGCGGAGCGGTCGTTCGCTTGCTGAGCAGCCGACTGCTGTCTTTATTGATATATAATCTATTTCACCTAATCTAGTATTAGTTAGTAGGGAGTTGTGCTTTCCGTATCCGAGGTAGGCTTCACCAGGGGTTTCTAGTACCTCGATGTGCATCTCAAGGAGTCGACGCAGCCCGACCGATATCCTCGTTTATTATATTAATAAGCGCTTGCATAAAGTGGCCTGGCTACATACTAACGAAAATCTTGTAACAGAGATATAGACAATATTATCTTGGCCTCAGACGTGTCAGAGAAAATTATACGAAATTATTTAAAGAAAAAAGACCGATGCATAGCTGGAACTGTAAACCAGTGGCGCCAAAACCCTTGGTCGTTGATCTCTGTTTCTTTGAATAATTAATTTTATAGGCAAGGAGATGATAACTGATCAGGTTCTGGGTGGCTTGACACACGCCGTCGATTTTGTGGTTTTAAATGTGATCACCACAATGTTTTATTTTACTGAAGGAGATCGTGGCATGGCGACAAGAACTGTATAAAACATTTATTTTAAATATTCTAGGATATTTTAAAATATATATTTTCAACGCATTGCCAAATATTACGCAATATGTAGGAAGATACACTGATATAACTAGGGAGAGATTGTAAATCCCATGCGAGCGTAAATGGGAACGATTGAGTATTGAAAACCGACGACACGGAATAATAACCGCCTCTACTGGCAACACAGAATAAAATGTTGCATATATTTTGCGAATATTTTGCATGATCTGCTTTGATTTTTCTCTAGATTTAAATTTTCAGAATTCGCAAAAAATATTTTCACCCATGGACTATGGTAAATATTGTCATCTTACATTCGTAATAATGCTTTTTATATATAATGCTACCATTAACCAGTTATATTATCTGTAATAAAACTTTAAGAAATTCTTTTGTGAATTGTTAAGGAATTATTTTTAATACCTTGGTAAACGTATTTCAATGAACTATGTCGAGTAACACTTGACGCGATATCTTCTTGACCTGAGCTTTGCGAGCCTGATCTTGATACTTGAAAAAAGTCGGTTTCAACCTAGGTTACTTGTTAGATAAGCACTAGGTCTTGAGATGCCAATCAATAAATGAATACCACTCACGTCGAGCAATCTTAAGATTACATCTCTCAATATTTTTCCGCAGATTCTAATTACTCACTATGCAAACAATAATTCATTCGAAATTTGATATCAAAATAGTTGGCTCTTATTCCTACACTAAATAGATAAACTTAGTTTTCAAAAGTGTACACCTTTAATATCAAGTATTTATTTACCAATCACATGTATTAAGAGACCTATTTAGAACAAAAATGCAAAATACTTTTCAATAATACTTATTCCATTTGTTTGTCGCTATTAGACTAACAGGATAAATGGTGCGCGTTCTTTATTATTGCTCACTACTACTAGCACAGTTTTAAATTAGTAGTAGAAACGAAGGACAAAATGATTTTTTATTATAACAGTATGCGTCTAATATTTTGACTTGTATTATTGAAAAACAATAACTAATTTCTGTCGATAAGCTATCAATTCTTCGTAAAGCGACACAAACAATTTGATACGAGATAATTAAAGTTGGTACTCAGATAAAAGTTTTTGTTAATTTATAAATATGTGGTCGGTAAAGATAGTTTTACTTCTTGATATGGAATTATAAAATTGATGTTGCTCCTTCTATAAACATAAAAAAAAATCACGACGGCAAGTCTATTTTTTAAAAGAAAGCCGAAGGAAGCAGGATAACCTACCATTTGAATTTTGAACGTGTGTGGTCATTTAAGAAGTTAGTTAAGTTTCTAGAAGTTATTTAAGAAGCAGTGGCGGATACTGTCCTTACGAAATTATGTACCTTAGTAATTTGTAGGTAAAAATTATCGTTGTAAAATTTGATTTCACTATAATAGTTCAATTAATATTACTTAACTAATTGCATTTACTATCTGAATTTATCTAGAAAAAATACACAAATTATTAACGTTAAAGCAATATATTAATATTACATTATTTATCTTTACCTGGAAATTTCGTGGTATTTATTAATAATACAATTGTGAGAAACATTATGTAATGTATATATTTAAAATAAGGACTAAAAGTTATTGCAAATTTTTGTTGTCGGGAACCAATACGAACAGTTAATATTATATTTATTAAAATATATTAAATATTTGTTATTACTCGATCAACATTAACCTTTTTCCAACGAAATCGAGACCTCACGATCTTGAAACACTGAACATTTTCTACTTCTAACTACATTGTATCTGGCTTCCTTAGATGAAGAAATACCATTGTAATAAAATTCTAACTAACCAATGACTAATATTTGCGAAAGGAGATTCCCGGAAAATTTACTTAAAAAATTAATTAAAAATATGCCCCAGGATACAAAGAGTCATTAATTAAACTGAGCGTAAAATATTTGAACTTATTCTTTATCTTTTAAAGAATAGAAAAATTGAAGGGAAATTAAAATAGCGATAAAATGCCGGGATTTCTTCGCAATTATCTCTGGAGTTATTAATTGTTCTAGTTTATTTAGTAATCTTATATAGAACTAAAGTTCTCCATTCTAGTAGAACTAATTTTTCAAAAGATTTTATTTCTTGTACCTTCAATTTCCACAAGTCTTTAAGTTTATGATTCTCTCTACTTATTGCGTTCAATAATATTAAAGTATTATGGACAGTAATTTTAATAAAGTGTGTCATAAAGATTGAATATTTTTTTCGTTTTCTTAAGAGATGTAAAACATAACAATGGTTGTTTAAATAAATAAAATTACAAAACAATTCCGAGCAAATTGTCAAAAACGGCTTGTGCGAAGAGACAAAGAAAAATTGAGTCCCTTCCAATTGAGGTAATGACCCTTCGTCTCAAAAAAGGGTTCAAGATCTTCAATACAAATGGATAGGGGCCAATCAAGGAAACAATTAATCAAGGAAAGAGGAGAAATCTACAATTTTATATTCATATTATTAAAAGATAAGACAAAGTTACTTGTTAATTTCCCATAAAAATATGCTTTCACACACTTGCAAGGCTTTACTAAAAAAATGGCGTCTAATTAAAAAAGCTAATAATACGTTAAACATTATAATTATTAGGTATTTATTTTCTATTCAAATGTAAATATGGTTCTCTAGGTTTATAACGTCTATTAAATATAGTTAGGAAAGCAAAAAACTACATACAAAAATTTCCTAGACTAAAAACTAGTTTAGGCTTTTAACGTTACCAGTAAATTACTTATCTGTTTCTATAATAAAAAGTTCAACACAAAATCATATTTCATAGCATATATTTTGGGTATTTAGATATCATGGCTTGTGTATAATAGTGACAAAACAGTGCGATTACATTTAACAATATTTAACTTTAATAATTTCAAATATCAAAGTCGTATATTCTAAAGTTATTATATTATTTGTACAGAATGTATTAGTACAAAGTCCCTTACATAAAATAGGACATATATCAGCTTTCTGAGTCAATAAGATTGATTAATTTAGGGTGATCAGCCTTCTGCACCCATCAAATTGAATACCAGAATCGAACCTTTAGACTACGTGCATTACCAAGTAAGCCATTTTTTTTTATAGAACGGGGCGCAAACGGGCAGGAGGCTCACCTGATGTTAAGTGATACCGCCGCCCATGGACACTCTCAATGCCAGAGGGCTCGCGAGTGCGTTGCCGGCCTTTTAAGAATTGGTACGCTCTTTTCTTGAAGGACCCTAAGTCGAATTGGTTCGGAAATACTTCAGTGGGCAGCTGATTCCACATAGTGGTGGTGCGCGGCAAAAACTGCCTTGAAAAACGCTCAGTTGTGGAACGGCGGACGTCGAGGTGATACGGGTGGAATTTCGCATTCTGTCTCGACGTCCGATGATGAAACTCAGCTGCAGGTATAAATCCGAACAACTCCTCTGAACACTCTCCATGGTAAATGCGGTAGAAGATGCAGAGTGACCCCACATCTCTACGCAACGCCAAAGGATCAAGCCGTTTGGAGAGGGATTGGTCGTCGACGATTCGAACCGCTCTGCGTTGTATACGGTCAAGTGGAAGGAGCTGGTACTGGGGAGCCCCCGCCCAGAGGTGAGGGCAGCTGTACTCCATGTGGGGCGGAATTTGCGCTTTATATAGTTGCATGCGGTGGCCCGGAGTGGGGTAGACAGCACGTTGCCGGAATGTGATTTCCGGCATCGAAGAATCACACCGCGAAATGGTCGGTGGTGATCTTTCTTGGTCATCCAAAGTCGAGTTGGACGCGAAGAAACAGCCCAAAAGGTCGGCCTTCTCCTTCGCAGTGTGGGCCAGAGAGTCATCCTCCCTGTGCAGTGGCGGAATGGCGGGCTGACAAAAATTCCCTTGGACAGCTTTGGCGAGAGACCAGAAGGCTCGAGTCCCTGAAGGGAGCTGGGCCAATCTCTCGCCAAATCTGGCAATGTGCTCTGACTTTGCCTTAGTGATTTCTCGTTTGAAGAACCTAGAGGCTGAGTTATATGCTGTTTTAAGTTCGCTGGTATTGGCATCACGAGATTTCGCCGCTTCCGCCCATGCCTTAAAGCATTCTCGCTTTCGACGCGAGGCCGCCTTGCAAGAACGTTTAAACCAGGGCAGAGACTTGCCACCGATCGGCACCGCAGAAAATGGAATAAAGAGTTCCATGCCCTGCAGAACCACTTCGGCGACAGAGGCGGCGACGGAATCTGGAGCTTCCGGCGAAAAGCACATAGGCCCCCAAGGGTAGGACGCAAAGAAAGACCGCATCCCGTCCCAATCTGCTGACTTATAGTGCCAAATACGGCGACAACCCATAAAGCGGGGCCGTGAAGGGCGCGTAGATGGCACAATACTGCGGACCACACAATGATCCGATGAACCCAATGGCGGGTCAACAGAGACTTGATAGTTCTCCGGATGTGAAGTCAGCAGAAGGTCCAACAAAGAGGGTTTATGACCATCCACATCTGGTATTCGCGTAATCGCAGGGACCATTTGTGTCAGGTCGTAGGCTAAAGCAAAGTCGTAAAAGGATCTTCCCGCGTGATCGGTGGTTTCAGAGCCGAGCCAATCGGCATGGTGGGCGTTAAAATCGCCAAGTATCACGATTTCAGCGGTAGGAACCCTTTCGAGCAGGGAATCTGTAGCCATTTGGATGTGCTCAATGAGTCGGTCAGTTTCGGTATTTCCGCTATGGGACCTATACAGGCATGCGTAGAATCGCGGATGGTCATCGCAGTCTACGCGCAGCCAGAGGTTAGATAGGTCCCTTCCTTCAAGCGTCCCGAGGCGACGAGAACAGATATCCTCTCTGACGTACACGCAAACTCCCGCCCGCGACACAAATGAATGTTCCAATTTGTACCCCGGGAAGGAGAGGTAGGAAGTATCAGCCGGGGAGGAAATCTGAGTCTCGGTAAGAAAGAGCAAGGCCGGCTTCGCAGTCTCTAAATGGTAGTGGACTGCGATGATATTGGAATTCAGCCCCCTAACATTTGTGAAGTCCACGGCGAGCGTGGACGGGGGTGCCTTTGTAGAATTGCTCCGTTTGCCCCGAGAACGATAACTGTTTTTGTTGAGCGCAGAATTGCCTCCCCCAGAATACGAAGGGCAGCCTGTGCGTCCACCACCGGGTGCTGAGTGTCCCGGTGTTGGACGCCCAGAGGGGGATTCTCCACCGCGAGCGCGTGTGGTACCCCCCTGGGGTAGATTCTGTTTGTTCTGCACCTTCATATTTCATATGGGGGGGGATGGGCTCCGGGAATCTCCCTCACCGTACGAAACGCGAGTACAATAAGGCGAACCTATTGCATCACTTAACGCCGGTTTTCTAAGAGACAGTGGTACTGCTCCGGTCGTGCCTGCCCATTTGGCTGAAGCCCGAAGGCAACAGCATGGCACTCCCACTAGGAAGGGGTTGACTGATTGCGCTGATGAAATAACCTCTGTCACAGGTTATTTCACCAGTGGGCGATGGGGTCGTCACGTCCCGACGCCGTAACCATAGCCGAAGCCATAGTCGCATAACGGCATGTAGAGGAGTCCTGTAACACATTTTAACTATTATAAAAAGGCGAATAAAAGGTTATCGTTAAATTAATTCGATTTAGTTCTAATTTTAGTTTATCGCTTATCATTAGTCGCTGCCCTGGTAAAGACATTTAACACACGAGAAACTTCGCATAATGCAAAGTGTCCCAACTTTGACTGATTGACTAACTTTGAAAGTTTTCTAACTTTGAAAAGTGTCGTGAGTTTATTGATTTTTTGCCTTATAACTTTTCTGAGATATATTAAGATTATTTAATTACCAATAATACTCTAAATAGGTCCGTATTCTTAAAACGAAAAACTTCAATAGATTAAGAATAACAAGGTCAAGGTCTCTTAAACATTAATAAAATATGTTTTGATTTGAAAAAAAAAACTGCTCCTTCATTACAGGTCAATAAATTGTGGAACCAATGTTATCATATTTCCTATAGACATAATATATACGTCTTGTCTATGCACAATACATATTATGCAACTTTGTATAATAAATAGGTTAGGAGGTAATCTACTGAAAGTCATTGCCACTTAAAATTATCTTTTTCAGAAAAAATAATATCAAAAGTAATGTATAGAAAGTAAGAGTCTAAGAAATTTAATTTTTAATTAAGCTATCATGTCAAGTAAATAGCAGATAAACTGGTTTAATATCAACATGCCAAAAGATGCATGACTGCAAATTTACTAAATAAACTTATTATAGAATTTATAAAACCTCAAGCTCCGCAGTTACTGCAACATGATGAAAACTACGAACTAAAGTCAATTTAAGTACCCAAATTAGCGAGACTTAAGTTTGTCTGGAACAACTTTTCAATGAAACAACTTACTTCCCGATCCTCTCACGGCACTTAAACACAACCACAAAATTATCACACTAAAATACATGATCAAATCATTGTACACGTCTTTTCACAGCCGAACACCAATTGAAATGACAAAACTTTTATCTAGGGTCAAAGGGGTAGTGTAAATAAAATTATCAGTTAATTAGAATAATTT